GCCGGCTCTTTCGGCTCCCAAGTGGCTCCAAAGATTTTCTGTTGTGTAGAGTACATTTATAACCAAAATAATGTTAAACTATATGTAAAATGGTTTACTAATGTAAAAAAAGCTATATATCAATTGTTTATAATTTCTATGGATTTAATAACTGAACACTTTAAAAAAGCTCCACTTTCCGACTGCTGGTGCTCATTTTCTCACCGTCTTCGTCGCACTCTCCTCCCTCTCGCTCGCCTTTTTCCTCCTCCTCATTCCCTCTCAACTCCCTCCACCCACATGTGCTCTGCTGTGCAGGGCCGTGCAGAGACCTTTGACGGGGCGGGTGCTCAAAGTAAAAAAAAGGGGCACTTATAGAGCAATCCAATAAGTTAGAAAATTCAGATAATGAGACCCTTGGGTTCAAACAACATAATAAAAATATATAAATTAGTGTCATTAGTGTTAGTGGTAGTTCATGAATAATAGTTTTAGTTTTTAAAGCTGACTTATATCTAGAGATGTTACAACCACATTTTTGTCCCTGATCCGAGTCCAAGTTGTTTGATTTTTGATTATCTTCCAACAATGAGTCTTGTTCTGATACCAGGTGGTGATGCAATGCATTATAAAAGAAGAAATAAGTCATCCTTCTGTCTGTATTTGTCATTTTGTTATTTTAGCCTGAAAAGTCACTCATTCAGGAAGTACATTTAACAGGAATCAAGATAATTTATTGCTATTGCACAGGTGTACAACCAAAGATATTTTGTGCTTACTAAAGACAGCTCTAGTAAGAGGTAGCAAAATAAATGTAAAATAAATGCACCACAGAGACTTATCCATTGTGATCTACGGCTATGTTAGCTGAGATCTTTTTCCTGTCAGTAGAAAATTCTTGATCCCATTCCATGATCTCACTGAACTTAACACTAAACATGAGAGCTCTGCTACCAACCTAACAACAACATCCTTTACACAAAGGCACCATCACCACATACGTGGCAAGAGTCGCAGAGAAACTTAGAAGAATCTTCTCCAAACACAACATCCTGGTAAACTTTAAACCCAACAACACCCTCAGACAGAACCTGGTCCATCCAGAAGACAAAACACCCAAACAGAAGCTCAGTGGGGTCGTTTATGCAGTCCAGTGTAGGAGGACTGTCCAGATGTTTACATTAGAGAAACTAAACAACAACTACACAAGAACATAACACAACACAGGAGAGCCACCTCTTCAGGTCAAAACTCTGCAGTCCACCTTCACCTGAAGGACAAGGGACACACCTTTGAAGATGACAAAGTCCACATCCTGGACAGAGAAGATAGATGATTTGAGAGAGGAGTAAATGAAGCTATCTATGTAAAAACGTGAAAACCCCACTTTAAGTAGGGGCGGGGCTTAGATTTCACCTTTCCAGTAACAATAATGCAGCTTTGGTCAAGGTCAAGGTCAATTTTACTTACAGAGCACATTTACAGCAGCAAAGCTACACCAAAGCGCTATACAAGGTAAAACAAATCAAGATACAACCGATCAACAATAAAAACCTAAAATAAGATGAGCACACAACAGTCACAATCTATGATAAAAACTGTTAAAAACTATTAAGATGCTCAAGTCAACCTGCATTAAAAGCCAAATCAAAAAATTGCGTCTTAAGAAGGGATTTAAAATGCTCTAGATTCTGTGTGGTCCTGATGTTGAGAGGTAGCTTGTTCCACAGTTTGGGCCCAACCACAGAGAACGCTCTGTCGCCGCGAGTCTTGTGGCGGGTTTTTGGAACTGTTGAAAGAGCTTGAGAGCTGGACCTCATGGTTCTGGCAGGGACGTAAGCGGACAGCAGCTCAGAGATGTAAACTGGGGCCAGGCCATGAAGGGATTTAAAAACAAAAAGTAAAATTTTGAAACGGATCCTGTAAGAGACAGGAAGCCAATGGAGAGAGGCCAGAACCGGGGTTATGTGATCCCACTTGCTGGTTCCAGTCAGCAAGCGAGCCGCTGCATTTTGGACCAGCTGAAGTCGGTGTGGGGAGGACTGGTCCAGGCCAGAATACAGGGAGTTGCAGTAGTCCAATCGGCAAGACACGAACAGATGGATGACATGTTCGAGGACATTGGCAGGAAGGTATGGCTTCACCTTTGCTCTCTGCCTTAAATGATAAAAACCTTATTGGACCACTGCACTCACCTGTCTGTAAAGATTAAAAGAACCATCTAAAAACACACCAAGGTTTTTAACACAGGGTTTTAGAAAACCAGAACAAGGACCAAAAGGACCAACAGCGTTGTATAAAAGTGAGAACTTTTTTTTTTAATCTCATTCAGTTTCAGTCTAGGTCACACCTTCCTGCATCTAATCAACACGATGACTCACCATCAATAGAGGCTAACGACTCATCAGGAGATGGAGAGGTGGGGTACTCAGAGTAGTTTCTGCTCTTTAAATAACAACAGACAGCTACAGCTTATGAGCTTGACACTCCCATATTCCAGTTAGAACTGACAAAGCTCCTCAGAGGAGAAGTGAAATGTTTTAAAGAAACCAAAGAAGTCCAGTTGCCTTCATCTGAACTCTTTGGAGTAATAGTCAATAATAAAAAATACATAATAAAGTAATAAACGTATATAATTATGCTCACATTCACTTTTACCATCTCTTTGTGGGAGGTGGAACATTTATCACGGTTAACCCTCTTATGACCATAAATATAACTGTTTTTTTAATGGATTTAAAATTGTAATAAAAGTGTAAAATGTTTGTAACTCTGCTCCTTTTTTCAGAACAACCTCAGCTTTCAGTGTCTGGTTTGTATTTGTGTTTATGTTTATTAAAGTCTGTAAAACTGCAGCTTAAATGAAAAAAAAAACAGATTTGAATTTTCTTTGCATTTATTACTAAACAGGAACTTCAAAATGACTTGAGCTAACTATGTCAAAAGAACTACCGGTATTTAAACTCAGAACTGTGTTGCAAACACTCAGAAAACAGTGTGACCCCTGACCTCATGTTAACCAGTTTAATGACTGCAGCCTGTCTTTGACCACAGGTCTATGCTCTGGTCCAGAGAACGGGATACAGTAAAATAAATACTAGGTATCCTAAAACAACACTCATGGACTACTTCACAGCTGTAGCTACATTTCTACCAGCATTATGAAGATCAATAAGCAGATGAAAGTTTAAATCTAAACATTTCATTACAAAAAGTCAACTAATGAAATTCTGCACTGATAACATATTTTCAGATGAATAAATATTTATTGTACGCATAAATAATGCTGGAATGAAGCTGAATCATTTAGTAAACAGTTGAGTGTTCAAATAAAAACCAGTGTGACTTTAATCTGTCCATGTCACCATCTACAGAAACAGCCTTCTGGGACACCTGACCAACCAGCTGGATTTTATTTGTGAAGTTTCCATAACTTTATAAAAGCTGCTGATGAAGATGATCAGATCATCTCCTCCCTTTGGTTCTTGCTCTCCCGTCGCGGTCCGCACCGTTTATTTCAGTGACGCTGCAAAGCTGGTTTCCTTCTAATAGCGATTTTTGGAGTAAAATGAATTACATCATGTAATACCTCGTTGGAAAGCTTGTTTTATGTACTTTTAGAAACCGCTTGACTTATGTTTATGCGATTAGTAATTCAGAAGTTATGGCCCGGAGAATCTAGAATGAGAAACATCTGTGATTCTTTGTGAGTTTCTTTAACACTTCAGAAGTCTCTCTCATGTCTCATTTTCTGTCCCAGACATGCAGCTACCTGACTCTGCTCCACACACACTAACCACGGACTCAAATGCACGTAAACAAAAGCTCTGATATTAAAATCTATCCAGCTGACGTGAAGCAGGCAGAAAAAAACGTACAGTTAGATGAACGCAGACTCCTCTCTGCAGGGAAAACACCGGTCTGTCGTCTCCATGGCTACAAGGTAGAGCGACAGCAAGGACAACCAATCACACGTTAGTATGATGCGGCAGAGCCAATCAGTGAGCTTGTAGGCGGGTGTAAGGGAAAATAGCCTTCAGCTTGAGGCGGCTGCCTCCGCATGGTCCTAGTGCCCGATTTGTTTCACAGTATAACAGTTTTGTACGTAAAATCTGACGAACGACCGGAAAAAGGGCATTTTGGGCACTTCGGACAAAAGGGGCAGGGTCTCAAGCACCCTCCGCACCCCCCTCTGCACGTGCCTGCTGCTGTGTGTCTGAGTCTGATCCTCCCTCTTCCCCGCCCCTACTGCTCTGTGTGTGGACAGTCTGGACACACAGTTACACATGTTGACCAATCACCTGTAGCTTTCACCAAGGCAGGGGGTAGGGGGTAGGGGAGGGGACGGCTCCCAATGACGAGCCGGCTCCCGTCGTTCACTTCAAAGAGCCGGCTCTTAGAGCCGGTTCGTTCGCGACCAACACATCACTACAAAATAATGCAAAACTATGTGTAAAATGATTTACTAATGTAAAAAATGCTATATATCAAATATTTATAATTTCTATGGATTTAATAACTGAACACTTTCAGAAATCTCCACTTTCCGACTGCTGGCGCTCATTTTCTCACCGTCTTCCTCACACTCTCCTCTCTCTCTCTCTCTCTCTCTCTCTCTCTCTCTCTCTCTCTCTCTCTCTCTCTCTCTCTCTCTCTCTCTCTCTCTCTCTCTCTCTTGCCTTTTTCCTCCTCCTCATTCCCTCTCGACTCCCTCCGCCCGCATGTGCTCTGCTGTGTGTCTGAGTCTTATCCTCCCTTCCCTTCCCCGCCCCTACTGCTCTGTGTGTGGACAGTCTGGACACGCAGTTACACATGCTGACCAATCGCCTGTGGCTTTCACCAAAGCAAAAGGGGAGGGGGGAGGGGACGGCTCCCAATGAGGAGCCGGCTCCCGTCGTTTACTTCAAAGAGCCCGCTCTTAGAGCCGGTTCGTTCGCGACCGACACATCACTAACACACACCACCACCAGACTCCAAGCATCTTCCCTACTTTCTACTACTGCTCCCGTCATCTGGGATTTGTGTGTGTGTGTGTGTGTGCTCCCGTCATCTGGGATTTGTGTGTGTGTGTGTTTACTACTGAACTGGGTGTGTTTGTGTGTTTCGATGCCACTCAGACTCCAACACTCCTCCTTCTCTGGTCAGGATGTCCGCTGCACACACGCTAATCCTGCTGCCTCTGACCCTCCTGGTGCTTCAAGGTGAGTGGGCTGGGGTCACGTTGCCATGGTGATGACACTTAGGTGATACCTCACTGTGCACATGGGTTATTTGTTGTGATGGTGTTGTTGTTTATGTGTTTAGGGCTAGGGATAGGCAGCGACAGGAATTTCAACTCTGCAGCTGTTGTGTTTTTAGAAGCTGAGCGTGTTAAATGTGGCCCGGTAAAGGCCAAGGACATATCCAGTTCTGATATATCTTCCTCCCAGCTGCAGGATTGTCCTGTTTGTCCCCCTCATCTATAGTGAGTTTATTTACTTATTTATTTATTAGACTTTCTGAAGGCCTTTGGTCCAACATACAGAGAATCAATATGCTCTTTAACACATTTCAATCCAAACTTGTTTCCATTTCCACCTCCGTCGTTCAGCAGCAAAACCACCATGATTCGTTGTCAAATGCACATTGTTGTATAATTAACAGCAGATTGATGTGGCTGCAGGATAATCTGATGCTGAGGCTTCTTGTTGAGTTTCAGTCATGATAAATTCTTGGTTTTCAATGAAAGTCTGACATTTTAATTTATTAGAGACAAATAGGAGTTATGTTAAGGAATAATTTTGCGTAAATTATTATCAAAATAATAATGTGTATTTAACTGGAGCATGTCATTTCTTATAATAGTTTTAGTTCAGTATTTTCTTTTACACTCAGAGCACGTTTTATCAGGATAAAGGGAATAAAAAGGTCTTTTCATCTTACGAGTTAAAGGTTTAAAACTCTTTGCTTTAATCTCTGCCTAACTCTAAATGGACAAAAATAAAAAAATTAATCTAAAAATATAAAAATTAAGAATAAAAAGGTTATTTGTTTTCCTCATAATTGCTTCATTGTTAATATTAATTAATATTCCCAAACAAGCTCTTATTGTCTCAGATGAATAAAAGCAGAAAATGCTTAGTTTTTTCCTTCTTCTGTGGGGCGGGAATTAAACATTTTTCAGATCTGTCATCTATTGGAAACTGTTGCTGTGGAATCACTCTAAAGTCTGACATCTACACTTTTATTCTGCTCAGGCTTAATTTAACCACATTTGTTGTTTCTGAGACAGATGAGACAATGTTAAAAGATCTGAAACATCAGATATTCGATTCTCCAGCCAAGATGTGTCCAACCCTGGTGCTCCAACACCACCATCCTGCTCCAGATGCCTCCATTTTGTTAGAAAATTGCTCTAAAAGTGAAACAATCAATAAAAATGACTTCAGCAGGTTGCAGACGCTGATGATTATCCTAAATCAGATTTACGGGCTGTTATCGCTCTGCAGTCAGCTGCTGCTACTAAACTCAACATCGAGAAAATTTTTCTTTTAGGTCATTAAAAATCAATGACAGTAGAAAAATCTAATCTAAATCCAACAAAATAACCAAATTCTCCTTAATTAATAAACATTCTCATAAATAACTAATTAAACATTAAACTCTTTTGTGATCTGCAACTAAAGGTTGATGCGCACCAGATCGGATCCGCGCTGACAGATTTAACCACCAATCGGTTTTAATCCCAGCATTAATTAGGAGAACAGAAAGATGCACAGGAAGATAACGTGATGGTTATCTACATGTGTTTATGGCTCTGAAAGGCCTAATGCATACAGCTGGAGCTAATGGGAGCACTTTGGGTCTGCAGCTGCTTTATGGAGTCATTCAGTCTGAAAGCGGCTGCAGAATCAGCTGATGGTTGGAGCGGATTACTCTCAACACTTCAGACCACAGCACTGCGGTCCCCAGTCAGACACTTTTAGTACATCAAATCAGAGAGAAACTGGATTAAAGGAAGAATTAAATTGATTTTTTTAGTACACTTTTATTTAAATAAGCTAAAGATTTCACCTTGTTACTCTTAACTTCATTTATTTCAGGCAGAAACAGATTCCTGAAACATTAACCTTGTGAATTGTGTGTTGTTCAATGTTCTGGTTCCTTCTTTGACGCACACGGCCACACACCAACACGAACCTTTGAGAAAACTGTAACTGATTTTAGATGACACAAACATACTTTTCCTGAAGGGTGTAAACTCTATTTCTGTGAACATAGGCTGTTTTGGAGGCTTTATAAAACAGATCAGAAGAAAATGTTCATTTTATTATTCTAATTCTCCAGGGCAGGTCGTACCTGCAGGCCTGATCAGAACCTGAGCAAGATATGCATCACGGCCTAATTACACACACACACACACACACACACACACACACACACACACACACACACACACACACACACACACACCACACACACACACACACACACACACACACACACACACACACACACACACACACACACACACACACACACACACACACAACAAAGTGTGTGTGTGTGTGGGTGTGTGGCGCTTCTAGACCAGCATTCTTATGAAAGATGCATCTGCAATGGATTACGGGATATCGGAGTCCATGCTCCTCCCATGAAGGATGCTCAAGTGTTCTCTGATCATAAACTCAGACAACTTCCTGGGGTCCTGACTCCCTGACCGGGTCTCCTGGAGTCCATTTGAGCCGGAATGTCAGTTGGAGGTCACGAGAGGAGACCGGCGTCCCAGAGACAAACAAACCAATTAGGAAGTAGTTCATAGGTGCTGTCAGTGCAGTGATGCTTTATCAGCACAGCGATATGTGTGTGTGTGTGTGTGTGTGTGTGTGTGTGTGTGTGTGTGTGTGTGTGTGTGTGTGTACCTGCCTGCAGCACAAGGACAGGAGCTCGTTCCCTCCGGCAGCAATGAGACAAAAACGTTTGTGACTAACAACTCGCTCCTGCAGCTACTCTAGTTCTTACCCAAACCCAGTTCAGGTAAACAAATAGCTGATGATATAAACTGATTGTGATGGAATCCTATCACCTGACCCAGAGTGGACCGGTCCAGACCAGAACCAAGGCCATGGTCCATTTGACAGCACTAGTGGGACCCAGGTCACGTTCCTATGTGGTCCTAAATCTGATCCAGATCTGACGTTTGTCAGAATGATGTCAGTCTGAAGAATCGAGTTACATTCATCCATCTTTAGGTCACAGAGTGAGATGGATATAAAAATAAACTCCCCATTCTCACGCGGTTTTGCCTGAAGAACCTCAGAGCTGATCCCTACGCCAACGTAGCTAACCTGCAGGAAATGCAGAGTCAGCATGAGGAACATTCATTCCTCAGATCTAGATGTTCCTGACATTGTCCAACAGTCCTCTAAACCCCCATCCGTTTTTCTGTGAAACAATAATGAACTCCACCAGCGTTTGTCCTGAAAGAGGTTCTGATGCAGGAGGAGATGTTTTTGTTCTGGGGGGAATTGTCATGGATGGTAAGCATTTTGTGTGAGTCCATCGTGAGTGTGCTATATGGAAACAGAACCATGAACACCGTCTCCTGGAGCTGCAGACGATGATCTTTTCAGCAGCTAAGGAATGTTTTCCTGCTTTGTGTACCTTGGGGTGGGATTGGGAAAGGGGGGGTGGGGGGTGGAGACAGCTGCTGATGTGAGGGATTAACCAGCTTGCCTAATCTGATGTTTGATAATCCTGAAGCTTGGTGTGCAGGCTGGATGGAGGATTTGCTTTGTGACCTGCTGCTGCTGCAGGAATCAGCTGCTCAGTCCAGACCGCTCTGTGATGTGTTCCGCTGCACTTTGAGTCAGACGCTCTCTTCCTGTCTGCTTGCATGTTTGTTTCTCTGCAGTCCATCTCAGCATTTCTGCTGACTCTGGACCAGCTGACTGCTCACGGCAGACTCACTGAGACATAAGACTAATTGTCCTTTCTGTCCCGGTGACCTTGTATCACTGACATTAAAACAATCAGATTTATCAGTTATCTTAAAGGAGACATGCAAAACTCACATTTATCATCTTTTGTGCTGTCATGTAGGTCTCCACTGCTTCTATTACCCAAACGTTAATAAAAATCTGTTTTCTGTCGTCGTCGTCGTCTTCCTCCGCTTATCCGGGTCCGGGTCGCGGGGGCAGCATCCCAACTAGGGAGCTCCAGGCCGTCCTCTCCCCGGCCTTGTCCACCAGCTCCTCCGGCAGGACCCCAAGGCGTTCCCGGACCAGATTGGAGATGTAACTTCTCCAACGTGTCCTGGGTCGACCCGGGGGCCTTCTGCCGGCAGGACATGCCCGAAACACCTCCCCGGGGAGGCGTCCAGGAGGCATCCTGACCAGATGCCCAAACCACCTCAACTGGCTCCTTTCGATCCGGAGGAGCAGCGGTTCTACTCCGAGTCCCTCCCGAATGTCCGAGCTCCTCACCCTATCTCTAAGGCTGAGCCCGGCCACCCTACGGAGGAAACTCATTTCGGCCGCTTGTATCCGCGATCTCGTTCTTTCGGTCATTACCCAAAGCTCATGACCATAGGTGAGGATTGGGACGTAGATCGACCGGTAAATCGAGAGCCTGGCTTTCTGGCTCAGCTCCCTCTTCCCCACGACAGATCGGCTCAGCGTCCGCATCACTGCAGACGCCGAACCAATCCGCCTGTCGATCTCCCGATCCCTCCTACCCTCACTCGTGAACAAGACCCCGAGATACTTAAACTCCTCCACTTGAGGTAGGACCTCTCCCCCGACCCGGAGGTGGCAAGCCACCCTTTTCCGGTCGAGAACCATGGTCTCAGATTTGGAGGTGCTGATCCTCATCCCAGCCGCTTCACATTCGGCCGCGAACCTACCCAGCAAGAGCTGAAGGTCAGAGCTGGATGAAGCTAGGAGGACCACATCATCCGCAAAAAGCAGAGACGAGATTCTCCTGCCACCAAACTCGACACACTCCACACCACGGCTGCGTCTAGAAATTCTGTCCATAAAAGTGATGAACAGAACCGGTGACAAAGGGCAGCCCTGGCGGAGTCCAACCCTCACTGGGAACAGGTCCGACTTACTACCGGCTATGCGGACCAAACTCACGCTCCTCTTGTAAAGGGACTGAATGGCCCTTAACAGAAAGCCACCCACCCCATACTCCTGGAGCGTCCCCCACAGGGTGCCCCTGGGGACACGGTCATAAGCCTTCTCCAAATCCACAAAGCACATGTGGATTGGTTGGGCAAACTCCCATGCCCCCTCCATCACCCTTGCAAGGGTATAGAGCTGGTCCACAGTTCCACGGCCAGGACGAAAACCACATTGCTCCTCCTCTATCTGAGATTCAACTATCGATCGGACCCTCCTCTCCAGTACCTTGGCGTAGACCTTTCCAGGGAGGCTGAGGAGTGTGATCCCCCTATAGTTGGAACACACCCTCAGGTCACCCTTCTTAAAGATGGGGACCACCACCCCGGTCTGCCACTCCCTAGGAACTGCCCCCGATGACCACGCAATGTTGTAGAGACGTGTCAAATCTGTTTTCTGGTTTCAGGAATTAAACAAGCTGTGCCAAAAAGCCCCCTTTTGTGACATCACAATCAGGAAAATTAGCAGCAGCAGAAGCTAAATGTAGCACATCCTTCAGCAGTATTTTCTCCATATTTCTGCTGAGATAACTACATGAGGTCCTGCCCTGTTTAATCGACCTCCAGCAGCTGGTGCCTGTTATTAACACAAACAATGGAGTCACGTTTTAAACTGATGAGGGGCTAATTGGAGCAGGAAGAAGTTGAGAAACATGGAATTAAATCTGTGTCAATAACAGCCATTCTCTGAGCGCGGTTAATGAAGAGCTTAGAAACGAGGTTCCTCTCAGCTCAGTTCGGTGCTCTGATGCCCCCCCCCCCCCCTCTCTGTGTGTGTGTGTGTTAATGAAACTCTGACAGTATTCCCTGGATGCTCGTCTACAGCTGATTAACTATGAAATCAATCCTATTCAAAATGGCCGCCACAGCTAATCAACATTAGCCAACACAGAAATGTGAATGATTAAGTGTCACAGATATGTGGTAACTTCAGTTGCTGAGATTCGATCAGTGACCAAATAAGAAAAAGTCCACCAACTAATCTGGGTTTAAACTGTGATGGTGGAACTGGTTTATGTCGTATTAAAGCAGTGAGACAGGTGGAAGAACCCAACTCCATCATCTCAGGTTTGGTCGTTCTCAGGTCCGTTTGGAGGGTCCAGGTCTGGTTCTGGTCTGGGATCTGAATCCCCTTATTGGTTGTCGGTACCGTCTTCCCTTGAGATGATCAGATAGATGATTGGATAGCTGTATGGTTGGTCCTGATCCAGAGATCCAACATGGTGGTTAGAGAACTTGCATTTCAATGCTTATTTTTGAAATCTAACATCTGATCTCGTTACGTTGTGCTCATAACTTTTCTCCTCCTTCCCTTTTCCTTCTCTGCAGCAGCAGACCCCTTCTTTCATTTACTTTTTCAAAATGGCTGATCTGACTGAAGCCGTTGCTAACCTTCTTTTTCTCTCCTTTCTTCCCCCCATCATCCCTCTGCAGCGTGGTGGCATTTCATTACACTCCAGAGCTTTTAATCAAAGACGATGTTAGCATTGGTCTGATCAGCGTTGTGTGTTTCCTGTCCTCTCCCTTCATTCCCCACCCTCCATCGTACGATTCAAACTAAAGCCCCTCCCCCCAGGGTCAGAGTTGAGGGTAGCACATCGTTGGTTGAGAAATATGCTGAGGCCTCAGTGGGAACTGCAAGGTGCAGTGAAAGTTACAGGTGTGTTGATCCTGGCCGATGATGTGTCATGTGGCATATATAGACCCACGCTTCTATATATGATGGTAGCTCAGTTAACAGTTGTATGTTCAGAATGCCAGAAACTAGACTCAATGCTACCTCTTTATTTCCCCTCTGATTCACCTGCTGAAGAGAAAACTACTAACAAACTGAAATCAAAATTATTATAATTTCCAAGTGAAGAGATGAGAGGAAATAAAAGCAGCGCAAGAGCAAAAGCTCAGCCCGTTAAAAAAAGACGCATGCAATGAGCACTGACAGCAAGCACGCAAAAATTCGGAAGCAGCTAGTGTTGTTTTCTGAAGTACTCATGAGACCGAGTGCCTGAAAGTACTGAGAAAAAACACCACGGCACTTCTGTCAGTCACGGGTGTAAAAAGGAGACAGACGGCCGCCCACGGCTATCCTCTCTGACCCGGTGACCCGCAGCCATGCAGAGACCCGGCCATGGCGCGTTTCTAACTGGGCTTGTGTTGTTTTCCTCTACAGCGGCGCGAGGCCATGGAGCCTGCGTGGAGCTGGACTCTGCCACGGAGGCTGTGGTCAACGAAGGATTCAAAATGGACTGCATTTCCTGTAAGACAAGAGGGGAAGTGCCCGCCACGGCCGTTGTTAAATGGTCCTTCAAGGCCTCAGGCGAGAGCAACTACTCTGATGTAAGTGGTTATGAGACATTCATGAAACCTGATCGCTCACTAATGACTGGATGAAAATCCAGTCTGGATAGAAATCCAGTCCAGAATACAGCCTACGGTTGTAACAGCAATATTGAAAACAGATCACGTGGGACTTTTCTGGGACTATTCTAGCCTACCTGTTGGAATTTTACATTTGAATTTCTTTCATTTATGTTATGTAATAATATTTATATTTTAACTGTCATGCCATACCATATGTTTGTTTTTGTGAAAAAGCATAACAAAATGTGTGTTTTAGTTGAGGAAACACATTCCTCAGTAGAAATAAATGCACTGGGGGAGAATGGAGACCCATCCAAGATGGCGGCCAGCCACTACGGCAGCACCAATAGGCAGCACCAGTTCACGGGGCATCTACATATAGGATGCCTGTGGCAATAACAGCAGGCTACCAGCCAGATGGTAAAAACAACACTTCCTCTATGCCGAAGGGATATTACCGTAATGTGTAATAAGTGTAGGAAGGGCTTTCTACCATAAAACACTCAAGAGTGCTAGCACCAGCTATGAAAATGTATCTACTTATCAACTGTGTATGACTCGCCTTCACTTGTTATCTAGAATCTTCTGGTGCTGATCTGCAACTGGCAACAGCCATGAAACTCACAGAACAGCAGTGAGAAACCAAATTTGACCATAAAAATGTCATCTTACATCATTCTTACATACTGCGCCTTTAAATAATTAAATAATTATGTATTATTTGAAGGAGTTGTTTACTTCTTAACTAATACTAGTGGTGGAACTATTGTGGTAAGAGTGGGGTAGCGTTTTGCTGATGTCCGTGAGAGCATGGGAATGTGTGTGTTTGTGTGTGTGTGTGTGTGTGTGTGTGTGTGTGTGTGTGTGTGTGTGTGTGTGTGTGTGTGTGTGTAGCAACCGTTTCACTTCCGAGTACAAAGACAGGCTGATGAAAATAAATCATATTTTACATAAATGACATCTCAGTAGTTCCAATGGTAAACTATTTTAAAGAGAAGATTTCCAAATTTTCAACAGTAGAATGACAGCTGCATAATGTCTTCAATCACTAAATAACCTCTTCTAATGTTTTCTCCTCTCAGGTAATTAGCCTGGCCTCGCTCCTCTCATGAGAAATGAAATCGTCATCATCAGAGCATAAAGTCGTTATTAATTCATGACCATCTCTTTCTCTACTTGGCCTTAAGATGCTGTTTAGCATTAGCAGGTAGTGCAGACATGAAGCAGAAAGTACAGCTCAGGAGGGCTGCTGCTGGTTTTTGCTCCGCCCTCTAAAACTACAGATGTGTAATTAGCTTGATGGTGTTGGACATCCTGAGCTTCAAGTTTTACTTCACTGACTTGAAACAAACTCATATTTTTGAGGCATCTGTAACTTTTGACTCATCGGACCTCACACATGAAATCACATGACGTAAACAGGATTTGACATTAAAGTGACAGTGTGTATTTTTCCTGGCGATAGGGGGCAGAAGAAACCTAAATTGTTGCAAGCAAGCAGTATTTTTGTGTAGGAGTGAGACCTTACCAACGGTTTCCCATTAGAGTCAAAAAGCCCTAGGGATTGCAAACTTTAGCAAAATAACAAGCACATCAGACTCCCTTTCATCACTGGCAACAAGTGAAGAGATAAATGTGTAAAACAACAACATTTAAGAATGACTAAAGTTTTGTAACCATTTGTTAAAAATCATTAAATGCATTTTGTACTCACTGGCTCCTGTAGAAGGAAACATCTAGCATCTAATATGGCTAGATGTTAGAGACTGATGTTAGACGCTGAGACTTAGACCTGCTCCCATGTATTTTAGACCTGATTTTTATGGTTATATGTTACGACGACGCCAACATTTTTCAACAACCGGGAATTATTTCATTCATTTTCAACAACATTTTGATGGATATTTCCTTAAATTAATGGTGAAAACTACACGTTGTATCTTTATACATTGATATTTATGTCTTTGGGGGGAGTTGTGGTGAACTTAGAGCTTTTTTATTTATTTATTTATTTTACAAATTTTACCTGTAGATCACATGTGTCGGACACAAGGCATTTTTATGTTGCCCGCAACATAAATATAAAAAATATATTAAAACTGACCCGCTGGCCGATTTTACCACAAAGACTACAACTCCCATGATGTCATAGGACATCCGCTTTGCGGTGTTGCGTAACCATGGCAACAAGCTGGTTTACAATTGGGAGCAGCTGATTAACATTGGGAAGGCTAAAATAATACCTCAACTGAAGCCACAAATCCCAAATGAGCTAAAACACAAGAAGCGTGGGTGCAGAGCGGGAACAAAATGGAGACAGAGAAAGAGGAAATTCAAACCATCCCTTCCATCGATCATAATGGGCAATGTGAAATCACTGGCCAACAAGATGGATGAACTCCAAGCCCTTTCAAGGACTCAGCCAGAGTATCGGCAGTGTAGTGTTATGTGTTTCAATGAGACGTGGCTGCAGGACCATATCCCCAATTCCAGCGCCTCTCTGCCAGGATTCCTGACTGTACGAGCAGACAGAGATCTGAAGAGGAGCAGGAAAAGAAAAGGAGGTGGAGTTGCAGTGCTTGTCAACTACAGATGGTGCCATCCAGGTCATGTTTCAGTAAAATGTCATCTCTGCAGCCCAGATGTTGAACTCTTGGCAGTAAGTTGTCACCCATGTTATTTGCCAAGAGAGTTGACCAGTGTTGTCTTGGCAACCATTTATATTCCACCTTCAGCCATTGCTGAAAATGCATGTGATGCCATCAGTTCCGTTATTGCTAAGCTACAAACCCAGCTCCCCGATGCATTTGTGGCTATATCTGGTGATTTAATTCATGCCTTGCTCTCTGCTACACTTCCAACATTTCAACAGTTGGTCAGCTGCTCCACCAGAGAAAACAAGACATTGGATTTGTGTTATGCAAATGTAAAGAATGCATGCATGTCCAAAACAAGACCTCCTCTGGGACAATCAGATCAGTATCTTGTTTTTCTCTCTCAGAATACAAACCACTTGTTCAGAGGCAACCTGTGACAAGAAGAACTGTGAGAAAATGGTCACAGGACGCTGAAGAAGCCCTGCAGAGTTGTTTTGAGACCACAGATTGGATGACTCTCTGCCAAGGATATGAAGAGGACATCAATGCCATGACTGGATGTGTCACTGACTATATAAACTTCTGTGTGGACAATATCATACCCACCAGAACAGTGAGATGCTTCACTAATAACAAACCCTGGATCACCAGTGAACTGAAGAATCTGCTAAATGAGAAAAAAGAGCCTTCAAGGAGGGAGACAGGGAATTATTGAGGAGTATGCAGAAGCAACTGAAGATCAATATCAGAGACAGCAAGGAGGCATACAGGAAGAAGCTGGAGAACAATCTACAGAGGAACAATATCAGAGATGTCTGGTCAGGGATGAAGAAGATCACAAGCTTCAAGCAGAGGAAGGATTGCACAGATGGCAGCCTGGACACAGCCAATTAACTGAACAAGTTCTTCAATAGGTTCAGTTCAGGAACAAACCCAGCATCCTCCTCGCCTGTCCCCAGCCAATCAGACATCCCACCCTCCTCTGATCCAACATTTTCCTGTCATACGCCAGCTCTTTTGTCCTCTAATGCAGTCATGGACTCTTCTGGTTCTATAAATCTGTTTTCAACCAAGTCAGGAGATGCTGCTGCCCCATTTACCTCCCCCTCCCACCTATCTGTCTCTAGAACTCAGGTGAAGAGGCAGCTAGAGAGACTGAATAGGAACAAGGCTGCAGGTCCAGATGGTGTCAGCCCCAGGGTACTGAAGGCCTGTACAGAGCAGCTCTGTGGGATTCTGCAGCACCTCTTCAACCTCAGCCTGGCCCAGGAGAAGGTTCCAGTCCTGTGGAAGACATCCTGCCTTGTTCCAGTTCCAAAAAAAACTCGCCCTTCAGTCAATGACGACTACAGACCGGTTGCTCTGACATCCCACATCATGAAGGTCCTGGAGAGACTGCTGTTGGTCCACCTGAATAAACAAACTAGAACATATCAGGGCCCGCTGCAGTTTGCTTATCGCCATGGAGTTGGAGTTGAAGATGCCATCATCCAGCTGCTTCAACCAATCCACTGTCATCTGGACAAAGCAGGCAGCACTGTGAGGGTCATGATATTTGATTTCTCTAGTGCATTTAACACAATTCATCCTGATGTACTTTGCCAGAAACTCCAGAAGATACAGGTGGGGGCCTCAACTATCACCTGGATGAAAGACTACCTGACAAACAGACCACAGTTTGTGAGGCTGACGAACTGCACATCAAACCAGGCGATCAGTAACATTGGAGCACCACAGGAGACTGTACTCTCACCATTCCTTTTCACCCTGTACACCTCAGACTTCCAGTACAAATCAGAGACCTGTCATCTACAGAAATACTCAGATGACTCTGCAGTTGTCGGGTGTATCAGAGATGGACAGGAAGCTGAGTACAGAGAGCTGGTGGAACACTTTGTGGCATGGTGTGGAAACAATCATCTGACCTTGAACGTGAACAAAACAAAGGAGATGATATTAGACTTCAGAAGAAACAGGGTCGAGTCAAACACTGTTTCCATCATGGGAGAAGAAGTGGAAGTGGTTGAGGAATACAAATACCTTGGAGTTCACCTGGACAACAGACTGGACTGGAGAAAGAACAGCGAAGCCGTTTACAAGAAGGGACACAGCAGACTGCACTTCTTGAGGACGCTTAGGTCCTTCAATGTCTGTAGCAAGATGCTGCACATCTTCTACAAGTCTGTTGTTGAGAGTGTGATCTCTTCAACCATCGTCTGTTGGGGTAGTAGCATCAGAAGCAGGGACCTGAAAAGGCTCAACAGCCTAATAAAAAAGGCTGGTTCTGTTCTGGGGATGACTGTGGAACCACTGGAGGAGAGAATGCAAAGAAGGATTCTCTAGAGAATCAAGGAAATTATGGACAACCTGAGCATTTTCTTCACAAGACTGTCCGACAATGGAAGAGTGTCTTCAGTCAGAGGCTTCTTCAGTTTTGCTGCAACACTGACCGCTACTGGAGATCCTTCCTGCCAACAGCCATTGTAATATACAATAACTCTTTGATGACTTGATTATTATTATTATTCTGAGCTACTACAGCAATCAATTTCCCTCTGGGATTAATAAAGTATTTTTGAATTTGAATTTGAATTGAATTTGTTAGCGTGGAGCCGAAGTGCCCCCTTCTTTGTGTTTTTTTCCAGCTTCTGCTGCCGGTGTCTGCAGCTCCGCTGTCTCGGACAAACTAAACACTCCTCTCACTCAGCGCCGAGTTTACACAGCTATTTTCTGACGTTGAAGCCCAGAAACTGAGATTTTAACCACTCAGTAATGTGTTCACGACTGAAAGAGAAAGTTTTCCAACTAACTTCCAGACAGAGCTGATATAACTCCAGCGAGCAGCAACACGCTCAAATCAGCATGACTCTGTGGCTGCTGTAGTTTTTATTTTTCCTCCCCAACACACAACATTATGGTCAAGCTGCTCAAACACTATCCATGCTCACCCGCACAAACCTATGTGAGCACCTGTTGTCATCTAATGTTGTCATTATTATGATGAAGATGAACAAAACAACAGGAATCTCCTCCTCAGCTCAGGCAGGTATCTGGCTGGAACAGGTGAGCATCACAGTAACTCAGTGGAGCAAACTGAGCTTGAAATATTTTGGTTTTCTGCTCTTTTTCTGCTCCAAAACATGAAAGTTAACAGGCGAGATATTGCATTTTCATTCAGGATAAATTTATATTTTTATTTTGTTGTTGGCCCGTGAGAAAAAACCCTACAGTAAAAAAGAAAGTGGAAAGGCTGCAGATAAATTAACAGAATAGAAAATCCCTCAGTGTGGAAAGCTAGATGTCACAGCAGCGATGACACTTATTACAGGATAAAAAAAGGAGAATAAAAAATAAGAAAAATGAATAAACAACAAGAAAACATAAATCCTGAATAGATTTTAAAAATGCTGAATATACCACAAGTAATGAATACCACTGATGCGTTTTATTTAAAATTGACTTGCTCGTGTGTAATTTGGTTATTCCACATTCAGTGTTAGTGCAAAAATAAGTTTGTTTCCAAATGAAAAGGTTCAAAATTGCATTTATGTCGATGAAGAAAATGTGCAAATTAGCTGTCACTTTTAAAAAAATATTAAGTTTGGCCCGCGACTTCGTCCCAGATTTTCATTTCGGCCCCGTGTGAATTTGAGTTTGACACCCCTGCTGTAGATAGATTCCTGAAGAGCCTCAGTTCAGAGAAACAGAGATCACTTCCATTTAGGCCGAAGAACTAAGAGCCCAACACGTTCTCATTCCCAGCGCGTCAAAAACAAACGCTTGGTCAGCCACCCTCCGCGTCAGACCCCAGACGCCAAAAGTGCCCTTTTTCGTCACTTATGTGCGAAAAGGGTTTTTTCCCTTTTTCTGACTGCAGATCCCAATGCAGCGTAAAACTGACGCGAAGGGATGTCCGCTGATGCAGCACCAAACAAGGTCATTTAACCGCACCTAAACCTTAACGTTTTACTATTTATAACCTTCCCCTCACCCTCATCCTAACCTTAACCCTCTTGCTACCTAAAACGTTACGCTCACTGTGATCAAGCGTTTGTTTCCCATGCATTCTGGCTGTGAATTTTCGTATTTGCCGCCCAAGGGGAACGTTAGAACATACCATCTGGCGAGGGGGAGGTTACAAATACCCTCTACTTTTAACCTCCACCTTGGTAGTTGAAACTTCCCCCTCGCGTTGCCTCGGTCCAAACCCGACCAATGACGAGGCAGCTCCCGCCGCTCACTTCATAGAGCCGGCTTTTAGAGCGACCGACACATCACTAACGTGTTCGCTAGCAAGATGGTTAAGGTTAGGATAGGGGTGAGGGGAAGGTTAAATAACAAGAGGATAAGGTTAGGGTGAGGTACAATGAGCTTGTTTGGTGCCGTGGCTGCAGACATCCCATCTCGTCAGTTTTACGCTGCATTGGGATCTGCAGTCAGAAAAGCGGAAAACCCCTTTTCACACATAAGTGACGAAAATGGGCACTTTTGGCGTCAGGGGTCTGACGCGGAGGATGGCTGACCAAGTGTTTGTTTTTGGGAGTGAGAATGTGTTGAAGAGCCAGTCTGAGAGCACCGACTTAGAAGATTTGAGCTGATTTTAAACAGTCAGACTAGCCATTAGCTCATCAATCCCGAGGGTTGTGAACCCTCTTTCTTTGAACAGAGGCTGTTCAGGGACCTGGCTGTTAACATTTATGTCACTAAAGGGATAAATTAGGAGGAAATGCAATCTCCAACTTTCTCTATTTATTTACAAAAAAATAAAAGATCTGATTTCAGAATCGTCTAATAGCTTCTGTCTTTCCTTTGCTTTCTGTTCTAGTTGTACATCTACAAGAACATGCAAGGTGAGATCTTAGACCCGCGGTTCTTTGGGCGTCTGGTCTGGAACGGCAACAAAGACACGCTAGACCTGCAGGATGGCTCCCTCTACATCCTGAACGTGACCTACAACGACACAGGAACCTACGAATGCACCTTTGAACGCCTGCTGATCTACACCAAATACCAGCATGAAGTCAACAGACCCAAATATATCAACCTCACAGTGGTGCCACAATGTAAGAACAGGAATCAGAACCAAAATGTATATGTCTGGATCTAGTATGTTTGTTCTGCTTGATTTATAGTCACTCTTCTGTCTGGGGGGTTAGGAGGAGCAGCGTTTCACCACACGTCTGAGGGTAGCTTTCTGTAACATTTTCACTCACTTTAGAAAAGCGATAAAAAAAAAACAGCAAAAATATGAAGTTTTTACCCTTCTACTCCTCGGTTGGACTAGATCTTAGCTTCAGAACCACCATAAATCTAGATGTCATGTGTGGCAAGGTGGAGAAACGAGGGCCCGGGTGGCATTCAATCCCCAGACTCCCGGGTGAGAGTCATGCGCGCTAACCAGTCAGCCAAAGGGACATCCCTGTGGCCAAGTAGCCTGGGCGCATGATCAATCGGGATTAAGTGACACTCACCCTGTCACACATGGATGCAGCTGTTGTGAACCACCTTCACAGGTTCTGGTCATGATGACATGCTGCTGTTGTCTTTTTGTCATCTAGAATCAGTCTGACCAGTATGTGGGTTCAAATCCCAGTAGATCAGACCTGTCGGTCCAAACACCACGTGTTCTTGGCAGGTCATCTGAATAAATGCTGCTATCTAATTAGATTAGATATTTGCGTTAACAGTTACTGAACATCTGACTAGTGTGTTTGACAGTTCTGCCTGTTTTAGGTCCTCAGATGTGTGATTGGGGACGTTTAGGATGGTTTACATCCTGCTGCTGTTTAGTATCATGAGGTCCTGCTTTTGCTCTGTGAAGCAGCTGAACAAACAAGATATGCATCTGTTAATCAAACACACATCTTGTTTGTGTGTGTATGTGTGTGTGTGAGAGTCCAGATTAAACAGCAGAAGGGCGTGTGTGTTTAGTCATGATACTGCGTTTTGACGTGACGCAGATCAGAAATACCCCCCCCCCCCCCCACACACACACACACACACACACCCAAACAATTCAAACAAATCAAAAATAGAAAGGTCTTTTATTTTAAATTGTCCATTTGACAAACAGAAAAAGAACAGCTATAACCCCTGTTCTAATTCAGAGCTGAATGTTCCGAGGTGGGGTGAATGCATCATGAAGTTTTGTAGCTGCAGCTTCCTGAGCAGAACAGTAGTTTGTGACTCCAAACAAAGTGGCAGTTACGTTTTACTTACTCCGACTTTACTCTTTAAGCTCCTGATAGTCTTTTTATTACAAATTCATGGTGAAACATGTCCTCAGAGGGTTTTTAATGCCCTAAACCCCCCAAATGTAAATAAACTAAATGTACTGATGGGGAAAAAGACAAAAATGATCAATACAGAGGTGCTCCTCAGGGTTCTGATCTTGTGTTTTCAGGTTTCCTGCCTCATGCTGCAGTATCCTGCATCCCTTATCCCTTTGATCCTGATCTCATCCTGTGTCTCTGCAGACACCAGAGGAATGGCGTCCATCTTGTCTGAGGTGATGATGTACGTCTCTATCATCGGACTTCAGCTCTGGCTGGTGGTTGAGATGATTTATTGCTACAGAAAGATCTCAGCAGCTGGAGAGGAGGCTCTGAGGGAGAACGAGTGAGTAGCGTCTTCTGCTTCATGTCCATATCCCACTGAGCCAACCAAATGTCCTGACATCCTTCTCTGCTGAAGTGTCCCTGCTGCAGTAACACACAAGCTGCTTCAATCTGTCTCTCTTAACCTGCACGTGTTCTGATGCTCCCTTTGGTTTTCCCTTTACTTTCCACCTTGTTTGCTCCTGCAGGGCCGAGTATTTAGCCATCGCATCAGAGAGTAAAGAAAGCTGTGCAGGTGTGCAGGTGGCCGAATGAAGATGGTAGGTCTGGATCTTCACGGGTCAGTCTTGGCCTTTCTGTCTTTAATTTCATTTCATTCATTCATTTCTCCTCATTTAGATTAGACCTCAGAAATAAAATAAAAAGCATGCATTGTTTTTTAATATAGTTGTGTTCTGAACCACTAGGTGGCAGTGTAATGAGTGTGTATCTATAGAGGCGTAGAAGAAGGTTTGAGAGAGTACTGAAGAACAGGGGCGCCTCCAGAAAATTTTGATAGGGGTGTCCAGATGGGGCCAAAGAAATTTTTGGGGTGGCACACCAAATTGGTCCTTGTGGTAACTCTGGGAGAATTTAGCCTGTGGCGATGTACTGCATTGCGCCTTTATTCGTTTTGATTAAAATAACAATACGTATCCAAAACACTTAACTTAAATTTTACAAACACAAACATTTCAGAAATATACATTTCAGTTATTTAAAATGTTATCCTTAATTTAATTTAAATAATGTATTTTTTTAGGTAAATTCACCTGTTGCTGTTTAAAAAACTATGGAGAAAACTTTTTTAAAAGGGTGAGCAGCAGAAACATATGTTTTTTTTAATTCAGAGTATTTCTTTACTCATTAATTGTAACATTTTAATTTTGTTTTACAAATATGTCTTGAATAAAAAAGATCAATATATGGTTTGACTGAACTTTAATATGATTTGTTAACACTGGCTTTTTCTGTGGGGGGTGGGGGTGGGGTGGGGTGGGGGAATGGCACCCCTGGCCACCCCTTGGGGGCGCCCTTGCTGAAGAGCAGAATGAAGATGGGATGTGTGTTTAAAGGGGCATTATGGAAGTTTGACAGCCAAAACATGTATAGAAATAATACATTTCTTCTTAATATATTCTCCTGCAATGCCCTGGTCCTGTAGAATGAGCCCTGGCATTTTTACTGTGATTGCCAGTTTTTCTGTAAAATCACAGAAAAAGAGAGCTGCTCGGGTCGAGCAGGCTGCTTCATGCGCATTCATGCTCAGGCATAGCCCGTAGCATTTGCTATCAGTAGCTTTAGCAGCAGAGAGAGAGGTAGTGCCAACTCAGCGACTTTGTCGCTGTTCCTAACGCCTAGTGATGAAGCTAGCTACATTTCTGAGGACCCTTAGCTACTTTCTTCTAGATATTTCCTGCAAATTAGCAATAAAATAGCCATTTTAGCTCACCTAGTAAGACGTCGGACTGTCGTGCAGAAGATCCGGGTTCGATTCTGGATGTGAACATAATTTATTTAGAATTTATTCTTTACATTAATGGTATATTTTTATACCATTTTTTTAATAAATATACCATTAATGTAAAGAATAAATTTTTTTTTTTTACTCCTCCTTGAACCGTCACCTTATCGTGGTGGAGGAGTTTGAGTGCCCTAATGATCCTAGGAGCTATGTTGTCTGGGGCACTTAGTGCCCCTGGTAGGGTCTCCCATGACAAATTGGTCTTAGGTGAAGGGTGAGACAAAGAACGGTTCGAAGGATCTTTCATGGCGGTTAAAACGAAGAGTCGGAGTACCCGGCCCGGAGGGTTACCGGGGTCCCACCCTGGAGCCAGGCCTGGGGTTGGGGCCCGTGAGCGAGCGCCTGGTGGCCGGGCTTTCGCCCATGGGGCCCGGCCGGGCCCAGCCCGAACCGGATACATGGGCTCGTCCAACTGTGGACCCACCACCCGCAGGAGGAACATGAAGGGTCCGGTGCAATGCGAATCGGGTGGCAGACCAAGGCGGGAGCCTTGGCGGTCCAATCTCCGGACAAGAAAACTAGTTTTTGGGACATGGAACGTCACCTCGCTGGCGGGGAAGGAGCCGGAGCTTGTGGCAGAGGTTGAGCGGTACCGGCTAGATATAGTCGGACTCACCTCGACACATTGCATTGGCTCTGGAACCCGAGACCTGGAGAGGGGTTGGACACTCTACTTTGCTGGAGTTGCTCCGGGTGAGAGGCGGAGGGCTGGGGTTGGCTTTTTGTTAGCCCCGAGACTCTCTGCCTGTGTGTTGGGGTTTACCCCGGGGGACAAGAGGGTAGCTTCCTTGCGCCTTCGGGTCGGGGAACGGGTCCTGACTGTTGTTTGTGCTTATGGGCCAAATATCAGTTCAGAGTACCCACCCTTTTTGGAGTCCCTGGGACGAGTGCTAGATAGTGCTCCATCAGGGGACTCCATTGTCCGGCTGGGGGACTTCAGTGCTCATGTGGGCAATGACAGCTTGACCTGGAGGGGTGTGATTGGGAGGAACGGCCCACCTAATCTGAACTCGAGCTGTGTTTTGTTATTGGACTTCTGTGCAAGCCGCAGTTTGGCCATAACGAACACCATGTTCGAACATAAGGATGCCCACCGGTACACTTGGTACCAGGGCAGCCTAGGTCACAGGTCGATGATAGATTTTGTAGTCGTATCATCTGACCTGCGGCCGTATGTTTTGGACACCCGAGTGAAGAGAGGGGCGGAGCTGTCAACTGATCACCACCTGGTGGTGAGTTGGATCAGATGGCAAGGGAACATGCCGCGTAGACCTGGCAGACCCAAACGCATAGTGAGGGTCTGCTGGGAACGCCTGGCAGAAGAACCTGTCAAGACGGTCTTCAACTCCCACCTCCGGCAGAGCTTTGACCACGTCCCGAGAGCAGTGGGGGACATTGAGTCCGAGTGGGCCTTGTTCCACTCTGCGATTGTCGAGGCGGCTGTTGCTAGCTGTGGTCGTAAGGTGGCCGGTGCCAGTCGTGGTGGCAACCCCCGTACCCGCTGGTGGACACCAGAGGTTCGGGGAGCCGTCAGGCTGAAGAAGGAGGCCTACAGGGCGTGGCTGGTCAGTGGGTCTCCGGAGGCAGCAGATAGGTACCGGATAGCCAAGCGGGGTGCAGCAGTGGCAGTTGCCGAGGCAAAATCTCGGGCGTGGGAGGAATTTGGTGAGGCCATGGAGAAAGACTATCGATCGGCTCCAAAGAGGTTCTGGCAAACTGTCCGGCGCCTCAGGAGAGGAAGGCAGCAACTCGCTCACACTGTTTACAGTGGGGATGGGGAGCTGCTGACGTCAACTGAGGCTATAGTCGGACGGTGGAAGGAATACTTTGAGGAGCTCCTCAATCCCACCAATGCGCATTCCGAGGAGACCCAAACGCATAGTGAGGGTCTGCTGGGAACGCCTGGCAGAAGAACCTGTCAAGACGGTCTTCAACTCCCACCTCCGGCAGAGCTTTGACCACGTCCCGAGAGCAGTGGGGGACATTGAGTCCGAGTGGGCCTTGTTCCACTCTGCGATTGTCGAGGCGGCTGTTGCTAGCTGTGGTCGTAAGGTGGCCGGTGCCAGTCGTGGTGGCAACCCCCGTACCCGCTGGTGGACACCAGAGGTTCGGGGAGCCGTCAGGCTGAAGAAGGAGGCCTACAGGGCGTGGCTGGTCTGTGGGTCTCCGGAGGCAGCAGACAGGTACCGGATAGCCAAGCGGGGTGCAGCAGTGGCAGTTGCCGAGGCAAAATCTCGGGCGTGGGAGGAGTTTGGTGAGGCCATGGAGAAAGACTATCGATCGGCTCCAAAGAGGTTCTGGCAAACTGTCCGGCGCCTCAGGAGAGGAAGGCAGCAACTCGCTCACACTGTTTACAGTGGGGATGGGGAGCTGCTGACGTCAACTGAGGCTATAGTCGGACGGTGGAAGGAATACTTTGAGGAGCTCCTCAATCCCACCAATGCGCATTCCGAGGAGGAACCAGAGCTGGGAGGCCTGGGGATGGACTGTCCGATCTCGGGGGCAGAAGTTGCTGAGGTAGTCAAACAACTACACAGCGGCGGAGCCCCGGGGGCGGATGAGGTTCGTCCTGGGTATCTCAAGGCTATGGATGTTGTAGGGCTGTCATGGTTGACACGTCTCTACAACATTGCGTGGTCATCGGGGGCAGTTCCTAGGGAGTGGCAGACCGGGGTGGTGGTCCCCATCTTTAAGAAGGGTGACCTGAGGGTGTGTTCCAACTATAGGGGGATCACACTCCTCAGCCTCCCTGGAAAGGTCTACGCCAAGGTACTGGAGAGGAGGGTCCGATCGATAGTTGAATCTCAGATAGAGGAGGAGCAATGTGGTTTTCGTCCTGGCCGTGGAACTGTGGACCAGCTCTATACCCTTGCAAGGGTGATGGAGGGGGCATGGGAGTTTGCCCAACCAATCCACATGTGCTTTGTGGATTTGGAGAAGGCTTATGACCGTGTCCCCAGGGGCACCCTGTGGGGGACGCTCCAGGAGTATGGGGTGGGTGGCTTTCTGTTAAGGGCCATTCAGTCCCTTTACAAGAGGAGCGTGAGTTTGGTCCGCATAGCCGGTAGTAAGTCGGACCTGTTCCCAGTGAGGGTTGGACTCCGCCAGGGCTGCCCTTTGTCACCGGTTCTGTTCATCACTTTTATGGACAGAATTTCTAGACGCAGCCGTGGTGTGGAGTGTGTCGAGTTTGGTGGCAGGAGAATCTCGTCTCTGCTTTTTGCGGATGATGTGGTCCTCCTAGCTTCATCCAGCTCTGACCTTCAGCTCTTGCTGGGTAGGTTCGCGGCCGAATGTGAAGCGGCTGGGATGAGGATCAGCACCTCCAAATCTGAGACCATGGTTCTCGACCGGAAAAGGGTGGCTTGCCACCTCCGGGTCGGGGGAGAGGTCCTACCTCAAGTGGAGGAGTTTAAGTATCTCGGGGTCTTGTTCACGAGTGAGGGTAGGAGGGATCGGGAGATCGACAGGCGGATTGGTTCGGCGTCTGCAGTGATGCGGACGCTGAGCCGATCTGTCGTGGGGAAGAGGGAGCTGAGCCAGAAAGCCAGGCTCTCGATTTACCGGTCGATCTACGTCCCAATCCTCACCTATGGTCATGAGCTTTGGGTAATGACCGAAAGAACGAGATCGCGGATACAAGCGGCCGAAATGAGTTTCCTCCGTAGGGTGGCCGGGCTCAGCCTTAGAGATAGGGTGAGGAGCTCGGACATTCGGGAGGGACTCGGAGTAGAACCGCTGCTCCTCCGGATCGAAAGGAGCCAGTTGAGGTGGTTTGGGCATCTGGTCAGGATGCCTCCTGGACGCCTCCCCGGGGAGGTGTTTCGGGCATGTCCTGCCGGCAGAAGGCCCCCGGGTCGACCCAGGACACGTTGGAGAAGTTACATCTCCAATCTGGTCCGGGAACGCCTTGGGGTCCTGCCGGAGGAGCTGGTGGACAAGGCCGGGGAGAGGACGGCCTGGAGCTCCCTAGTTGGGATGCTGCCCCCGCGACCCGGACCCGGATAAGCGGAGGAAGACGACGACGACGACATGGAGAAAGACTATCGATCGGCTCCAAAGAGGTTCTGGCAAACTGTCCGGCGCCTCAGGAGAGGAAGGCAGCAACTCGCTCACACTGTTTACAGTGGGGATGGGGAGCTGCTGACGTCAACTGAGGCTATAGTCGGACGGTGGAAGGAATACTTTGAGGAGCTCCTCAATCCCACCAATGCGCATTCCGAGGAGGAACCAGAGCTGGGAGGCCTGGGGATGGACTGTCCGATCTCGGGGGCAGAAGTTGCTGAGGTAGTCAAACAACTACACAGCGGCGGAGCCCCGGGGGCGGATGAGGTTCGTCCTGGGTATCTCAAGGCTATGGATGTTGTAGGGCTGTCATGGTTGACACATCTCTACAACATTGCGTGGTCATCGGGGGCAGTTCCTAGGGAGTGGCAGACCGGGGTGGTGGTCCCCATCTTTAAGAAGGGTGACCTGAGGGTGTGTTCCAACTATAGGGGGATCACACTCCTCAGCCTCCCTGGAAAGGTCTACGCCAAGGTACTGGAGAGGAGGGTCCGATCGATAGTTGAATCTCAGATTGAGGAGGAGCAATGTGGTTTTCGTCCTGGCCGTGGAACTGTGGACCAGCTCTATACCCTTGCAAGGGTGATGGAGGGGGCATGGGAGTTTGCCCAACCAATCCACATGTGCTTTGTGGATTTGGAGAAGGCTTATGACCGTGTCCCCAGGGGCACCCTGTGGGGGACGCTCCAGGAGTATGGGGTGGGTGGCTTTCTGTTAAGGGCCATTCAGTCCCTTTACCAGAGGAGCGTGAGTTTGGTCCGCATAGCCGGTAGTAAGTCGGACCTGTTCCCAGTGAGGGTTGGACTCCACCAGGGCTGCCCTTTGTCACCGGTTCTGTTCATCACTTTTATGGACAGAATTTCTAGACGCAGCCGTGGTGTGGAGTGTGTCGAGTTTGGTGGCAGGAGAATCTCGTCTCTGCTTTTTGCGGATGATGTGGTCCTCCTAGCTTCATCCAGCTCTGACCTTCAGCTCTTGCTGGGTAGGTTCGCGGCCGAATGTGAAGCGGCTGGGATGAGGATCAGCACCTCCAAATCTGAGACCATGGTTCTCGACCGGAAAAGGGTGGCTTGCCACCTCCGGGTCGGGGGAGAGGTCCTACCTCAAGTGGAGGAGTTTAAGTATCTCGGGGTCTTGTTCACGAGTGAGGGTAGGAGGGATCGGGAGATCGACAGGCGGATTGGTTCGGCGTCTGCAGTGATGCGGACGCTGAGCCGATCTGTCGTGGGGAAGAGGGAGCTGAGCCAGAAAGCCAGGCTCTCGATTTACCGGTCGATCTACGTCCCAATCCTCACCTATGGTCATGAGCTTTGGGTAATGACCGAAAGAACGAGATCGCGGATACAAGCGGCCGAAATGAGTTTCCTCCGTAGGGTGGCCGGGCTCAGCCTTAGAAATAGGGTGAGGAGCTCGGACATTCGGGAGGGACTCGGAGTAGAACCGCTGCTCCTCCGGATCGAAAGGAGCCAGTTGAGGTGGTTTGGGCATCTGGTCAGGATGGCTCCTGGACGCCTGCCTGGGGAGGTGTTTCGGGCATGTCCTGCCGGCAGAAGGCCCCCGGGTCGACCCAGGACACGTTGGAGAGGTTACATCTCCAATCTGGTCCGGGAACGCCTTGGGGTCCTGCCGGAGGAGCTGGTGGACAAGGCCGGGGAGAGGACGGCCTGGAGCTTCCTAATTGGGATGCTGCCCCCGCGACCCAGACCCGGATAAGCGGAGGAAGACGAAGACGAAGTATATTTTTTTACAGTAAGATGCCCAAATTTTTATTTGAGACTTGCCGAACGGCATTGAATTCATAGATAAAAAAGATGTGGGTTCAACTTTCATTTTGGAACAATTTTTCAAGCAAGGGAAGGGCACGATCTGAGCATGCAGGAAGATTGAACCATCTAAAACCTTTGTCGGCTGTGCTGAAGAGAAAGGTACAGAACCAAATTATTTAATTAATGAGCTGCAGGTTCTCCTGTCCTCTGTCCTCCGGGCCACACACACACACACACACGCACACGGGACTGTGTGTGCACGTACAGCATGCGCGCCTCGTGCACGAGCCTACTTAAGCTGCCGTTACGCTTTTGGCCTGAGGGGGCAATCGCGAGCATAAAAATTCAAAACTCCGTAAAGTCCCTTTAATTGATTCTCGACTGTAATAAAGTTCTGTGGCAAAAGTTGCAGCTGCATGCATTCCTACCTGGGTTGGCCCAGGAGAGAGGCCCAAACCGCCCTCTCCCCTGCAACCTCCTCTTCCTTTTAAAATAATTAGTGTGAGACATTTCTCCTTAAAAATGCAATCGTTCTGTAATTGTTTTGTATTTATTTGTTTTGATGAATTTACTTTATTTCAATCAAAACACTAAAATGAAATCATGTTTCTATGTTAATGTATTACTCTGAATCAAGCTGAAACTAGTAACGTTTTCCTTCTTTTATCTTCAACTTTCAGGTTGATGAAGAATCTGAAACAGCTTCTCAGAGGAACCCACCCTCTCCCCTCAACAGAACCAGAACTCTGAGGTGTTTTTTGTCGGTCAGAGCTGTAGACATGTCTACTCATTCTAGATCTATGCCCTTGCCTCTGCATGGTGACAGCTGATCAGCTGATGCTCCCCAACTCTCCAAAGATCTCATTGCTTTGTTCTATCTGAGTCTTTCCACCACTTAAAACTAAAAAACTAAACATTTAAAGGGAAAAATTACAAAAAATGTGTGGAAAAGAGTTTTAAAACCATTTTTATACCAGAAAGACCAAATCACTGCCAGGTATTTAAAGCAGACTTTCTGCTGTTGTCTGATCATTTGTTGTGATGTCAGAATATTTAGGTTTTGATATTATACTTAGATATAATAATATATCATTTTTAGGTTTCTGCAGGTTTTATTTTCATTTTAATGATGATTAACAGAATAAGAAAAAATAAATTCACCATTAAAGAAAGATTATAATTCGAATTAATTCTAATGTTGTATTAGAAATATTATATAACAATAATTTGTAATACTAAAAGTCAGAAAATAAAGATGCGGTCCAACAGAGAAGCAACAACTTTTATCTTCATCCTTTGAAGATAAAAACAGGGTCAAAATTCAGCTTCAGCTGATAAATCTGTACAAACAGCGACGCTCAGTGGCCATCTGTCAGAACTATGAAATCCACAACAGATTGGTCCTCTGCTGCACATTTTTAATCTAATAAATAAATAAATAAATAAAACAGAATTAAATGAAACATTCAGAGATCATTCACTGCCCTTGCCACCTGTTGACCCTCCACCAGGGAGCAGCAGTCATGTATAGATTAGTTTTGAAGGTACTAATCCTGATTCTCCACAGGGATGCCCTGAAGCCAGGAGTGACACACCCCTCCCCCCATATGATAATAAAGGTTTGAATTGTTTTTTAAAACTTCGCTGTGGTGAACGTTCACCAGCATGCTTCAAAGCGGGGAAACCAGACAAGGAAAGTTCAACAATCTCAGAGCTGGAAGCTGCCGCTCTGCATGTTTCTGCTGGTCTCTGTTAGGTCAGACCCAGAGTATCTGAATGCTGTTTGATGGGACAAAGTAAAAGCTGAACTTTTTAAAACATTAAACACAAACGAGTTAAAACAGGCCATTTCCATTTGACCTCCATCTAATTGTCAGCTCAGAATGAAGCAGCAGCTGAATTCAAGCTTCTGCGTCCGTTTTCTGTTCATTTCAGAAACTAATAAAGCAGCAATTTATTCTTTATGTATGAATGTTTGCTGTCACAAAACAATAAAACTAACTGAGACAATAAACCAAAGTGTCAAGAGTTTCTGTCAGATCATGCCACGCACAGCATAGACTATAATATATCTGGGTCAGAGCCATTGAATTCCGGGCCTCGAGGGCCGTTTTGGTTTTAACCCTGCTTCAACACACCTGATTTCAATCAGCAGGTGATTAAGAAGCTTCTGATGAGCTGCTGCACAGGTGATTCAACCACTAAATGTAGTATGTTGGACCAGAGAAACCATTAAAATGTGCTGGATACCGGCCCTCAGAGCTGGGAATTGACCAACACTGATATAGGTTGAGTGCAATTCTGCCAGGAGGGTTTATGTTGATGTGTTCATGAGCAACTACCGGTGGCAGACTGGCCATTAGAAGAACTGTCGCCTAGCTGCTGAACTGGCCCGCTAAATATGCCGACTGCCATTCAATTATTAAATGTAACAAAAACCACTTCTGCTTAATTTTCTACAAATGTAGACTAGGTACTTGGTGTGTTTTATATTAAGTAAAAACTTGAAGCTTTTATTTATATAGGAACATTAAAGCCATTTTCTTCTAAATTTGCTTTATTATATGAGAAATATGCTTTTGTGATGTCACAAAATGACCGCCAGAGGGTGACAACTGCTGAAAAAGTCAAAAGTTCGAGAAAAAAATAAAATACTTGAAGGCTGTGTGTGTTTTAGCTAAACTAGGTCAATAGATTTATCAAAAAGACAAAGTTTTAATCGAGACTTTAAAGTAGAAAATAGTGCTTTTATTTTTAAGATAGCTTTTATTACAAGTGTAGTGTAGGTTTGTTGTAATGTGGCAAACTGGCCAGGAGGGGGCGACATTTCTCCAGCCGAAAGATCAAGTTGACTTCGTTCTTCTTTGCTGACAAACTCAAAGTTTTTGCAGAGCGTCACCTGGAGCAAAACATGAATCCTGCAGCTTTAATCCTCTGGATCAACAACTCGTAGTGTTTCAGATTTAAGATGCTGAAAATGTTTACGGAACATAAAATAGCTGAACAGATTTCTTCACCTACTTATTCATGATTATTTAATCCAAGATTCTGACAAAATGAGCAGAAAACTCAGAATCAACCCTTCAGTTTCCTTCTGAAGCAAATAAACATCCCCCGATTTAACTTTTGATACAATAAAAATTGTAATGATCAAAAATAATCCATGATCAAGTTTACAAATTTACCAAAAATATATCCAAACTTGTGGAAAGCTTGATTTTTACGCACTGCCTCAATTTTCTTAATCATTCTGATATTTGATTTTTTTTTGTCTATAAAGAAAATTGATATTTAGAACAATTGAATGTTTTATTTTTAATTCTTTAAACAATTTAAGCACAAACAGTGAAAAAAGAAAAATGCTAAAATTTGAGCCAAGGAACAAAGACTCAAAGAGCAGCAGCGTCATTGCAGGTTTTAGGATTTTCTTTTTTCTCCACGTTGTTTACAATCAGAATCAGAACATTACAGAAGGTTCTTCTCTCCACTCCCTCGTCCCAAATAAATACAACAGGTTTCAGCAGAGAGCCGTGCACAGCAGGGCCCGTGGGGTTCTGCAGCCACCAAACTCAGGACAACAAACGGGACGGTATAGGGAGGGAGATCAGAACCAGACGGGGCCAGAACATGGAGGATCAGAACCAGACGAGATAACATGGAGTGTGATCAGATGACAGACAAAACGTTTTACATCAGTGAGAAAACAAATCATAAGAAAAGAAAAAGTAAAAAAGAAGCAGAATGATTCAGATTATTGTCTCAAACACAAAATAAAAACTGAAGGATGGTTTCCCTTTTTCTTCATCTGGGTCTGAAAAGTTCTGCTTGGTCCTTTTGTTTTGAGTCGGCTGAAGATTCATGAAAACATGAGGAAAAAACACTGATATGAAAACATGCAACATGATAATGTAACACACACACACACACACACACACACACACACACACACACACACACACACACACACACACACACACACACACACACACACACACACACACACACACACACACACACACACACACACACACACACACACAGAGAGAGAGAGAGAAATGTTCTTTCTCACAGACATAATATTTCATCTCTCGACTCTTCTTCCTGAAACATTCTTGAAAAACCCAGTTCTTATTGCTTCCACCCAGTTTTAGTTCTACTAGTTCCTGCTGGGCTGAAACACAGCAGTGAATCAGAGCGCAGAGCAGCCATCACATGACTTCTTCAGAGTAGTACGAGACTTCAGAGGTAATAATAAATACTGCCACGATCCGGACGGGCCGGACAGTTCTGGAAGATTTGGCCTCAAACCCAAACGCTTAGTTGATTTGTTCCCAGCTGGTTGGAGGAGGGGCGGAGTCTAGACCGATCTGAAAATGATTGACAGATGAACAGGCCCACCAGTGGCCCGTTTTCATGCACTATATACAGATGAGATGCAGGATTATTGCTGTGGTTCTGGAAGCTTTGGACCGGGTCGAAGCTGAAGGCGTCTGATGCCGTTTCAAGTCAGTCAGGAGTGGAGACTTGTGGGTGGTGTAGTTCGCCGGCGTGCCCCACCCACGACAAGTTCTGATTCTGAAATGTTGGACAGAACCGACAGTTCTGGGTCTGATGGTCCTGGACAGCTCAGGATTCGCTCAGAGTCTCTGTGAGGGTGTCAGCTGAAGGGTCCTGCTGCACGTCCGACACCACAATGTTCCGGTGGAGTTTTTCTAAAGACTGCTTCATCTAGGAGACAAACACGGACATGAGGGACGACCCGGTAAAGAGCAGAAGTCAACATGGATCTGAGTTCTGATGATTAGAACCACTGGGCCGACTCACCTGGTCCAGGAGCGTGACAGAGGACTGAAGGATCTGCTGCCACTTACTGAGCTGTGCCTGGTGGAACTGTCTCTGGAGGTGTAGAACCTGAGCCCACTCCCCGGCCGTCTGAGGCAGCGGGCTGGCAAGAAAACAAACGGGTCAGAACCAAAAAGAAATGAAGAGCCAAGAAGCTCCCTGGTCAGAACCAGAGGTTTACCTGTCAGTGATGGAGTAGGAGTGCCACCTCTCCAGTGTATGAGCAGCTCTTTCCAGAGCGTACAGCTTATAGAACAGCAGCATGTTGAGAGCCACCAGAACCACCAGACTACCGGGTCCAAACACAAACACACAATCATTAAAATGGTCCACAAATTGGGAAGAAAACAGGCATGTGGAACAAAAGGTACTGGGTTTGGTGCTGGTGAAGGGTCAGCTAAAAAAAAAACACACACAGGAACAACATCGATGATACACACACCAGTTAATCTGAGACCTGGTTCTGATGTCAGAACAGCCACCAAACGGGCTGAAAGACTTCATGTTGGAGACGACTCGAACACACTGCAGCTCAGGAAAAACCCTGAATGTTACTTCTGACGTTTGTGTTTCTGTCTGAGTTAGAAATAAATCCTGTTTTAAAAATCCGGGTTTACACACTTTAGTCCGCGCTAAAGCCCAGCGCCAGCTAAAGGCTGGAACCGCTAACAGCTAGTCCCCCAGCTAACAGCAAGTCACCACTAAAAACTAGTCCCCAACAACAGCCAGTCACTGCTAATAGCTACTAGCTTGTCCCAGGCAGCTAACTGCTAGTCTGTGCCAACAGCTAGTTTAAAATAGCAGCTTGTTCCAGTTAAAGGTTGAATATGGAACAATTTAATAAAAAGCTATGTTTTTAAAATAATACCTCCACGGGGCGTTTAGGTGTGCAGAATGAAGGTACAGTATTTCCTTTAAAAACTACATTTTCAAATATTTATTTTCATGGGCACGACACTGTGTTCATGCTCACCAGCCAATAGAGGGCTGCACAGTGTAAAATGGCTGACTCGGCACAAAAGACGTCATTATCCTTCTCAGAAGAGGAGCGGCCATAAAAGACCTAAGACCAGGGTGAGTTTAGGTGAAGCCTACAACACATGGACCCAAATAAAAAATGTCAGCAGCAAACCTGGTATCTCGATGGCTGGAAACCTTGTTCTATTGTTGCAACTACAACCTCCACACACTAGATGTCGCTTTGGTGTTCGTGTTCCATATTCCACCTTTAAACGGTTACTCTACAGGAAGCACATTTTTTATACAAATATTGAATTTTGGAATATTTGTTCGCTCCTCCTTGAACCGTCACCTTATCGTGGTGGAGGAGTTTGAGTGCCCTAATGATCCTAGGAGCTATGTTGTCTGGGGCACTTAGTGCCCCTGGTAGGGCCTCCCATGACAAATTGGTCTTAGGTGAAGGGTGAGACAAAGAACGGTTCGAAGGATCTTTCATGGCGGTTAAAACGAAGAGTCGGCGTACCCGGCCCGGAGGGTTACCGGGGTCCCACCCTGGAGCCAGGCCTGGGGTTGGGGCCCGTGAGCGAGCGCCTGGTGGCCGGGCTTTCGCCCATGGGGCCCGGCCGGGCCCAGCCCGAACCGGATACATGGGCTCGTCCAACTGTGGACCCACCACCCGCAGGAGGAACATGAAGGGTCCGGTGCAATGTGAATCGGGTGGCAGACCAAGGCGGGAGCCTTGGCGGTCCAATCCCCGGACAAGAAAACTAGTTTTTGGGACATGGAACGTCACCTCGCTGGCGGGGAAGGAGCCGGAGCTTGTGGCAGAGGTTGAGCGGTACCGGCTAGATATAGTCGGACTCACCTCGACACATTGCATTGGCTCTGGAACCCGAGACCTGGAGAGGGGTTGGACACTCTACTTTGCTGGAGTTGCTCCGGGTGAGAGGCGGAGGGCTGGGGTTGGCTTTTTGTTAGCCCCGAGACTCTCTGCCTGTGTGTTGGGGTTTACCCCGGGGGACAAGAGGGTAGCTTCCTTGCGCCTTCGGGTCGGGGAACGGGTCCTGACTGTTGTTTGTGCTTATGGGCCAAATATCAGTTCAGAGTACCCACCCTTTTTGGAGTCCCTGGGACGAGTGCTAGATAGTGCTCCATCAGGGGACTCCATTGTCCTGCTGGGGGACTTCAATGCTCACGTGGGCAATGACAGCTTGACCTGGAGGGGTGTGATTGGGAGGAACGGCCCACCTAATCTGAACTCGAGCGGTGTTTTGTTATTGGACTTCTGTGCAAGCCGCAGTTTGGCCATAACGAACACCATGTTCGAACATAAGGATGCCCACCGGTACACTTGGTACCATGGCAGCCTAGGTCACAGGTCGATGATAGATTTTGTAGTTGTATCATCTGACCTGCGGCCGTATGTTTTGGACACCCGAGTGAAGAGAGGGGCGGAGCTGTCAACTGATCACCACCTGGTGGTGAGTTGGATCAGATGGCAAGGGAACATGCCACGTAGACCTGGCAGACCCAAATGCATAGTGAGTGTCTGCTGGGAACGCCTGGCAGAAGAACCTGTCAAGACGGTCTTCAACTCCCACCTCCGGCAGAGCTTTGACCACGTCCCGAGAGCAGTGGGGGACATTGAGTCCGAGTGGGCCTTGTTCCACTCTACGATTGTCGAGGCGGCTGTTGCTAGCTGTGGTCGTAAGGTGGCCGGTGCCAGTCGTGGTGGCAACCCCCGTACCTGCTGGTGGACACCAGAGGTTCGGGGAGCCGTCAGGCTGAAGAAGGAGGCCTACAGGGCGTGGCTGGTCTGTGGGTCTCCGGAGGCAGCAGACAGGTACCGGATAGCCAAGCGGGGTGCAGCAGTGGCAGTTGCCGAGGCAAAATCTCGGGCGTGGGAGGAGTTTGGTGAGGCCATGGAGAAAGACTATCGATCGGCTCCAAAGAGGTTCTGGCAAACTGTCCGGCGCCTCAGGAGAGGAAGGCAGCAACTCGCTCACACTGTTTACAGTGGGGATGGGGAGCTGCTGACGTCAACTGAGGCTATAGTCGGACGGTGGAAGGAATACTTTGAGGAGCTCCTCAATCCCACCAATGCGCATTCCGAGGAGGAACCAGAGCTGGGAGGCCTGGGGATGGACTGTCCGATCTCGGGGGCAGAAGTTGCTGAGGTAGTCAAACAACTACACAGCGGCGGAGCCCCGGGGGCGGATGAGGTTTGTCCTGGGTATCTCAAGGCTATGGATGTTGTAGGGCTGTCATGGTTGACACGTCTCTACAACATTGTGTGGTCATCGGGGGCAGTTCCTAGGGAGTGGCAGACCGGGGTGGTGGTCCCCATCTTTAAGAAGGGTGACCTGAGGGTGTGTTCCAACTATAGGGGGATCACACTCCTCAGCCTCCCTGGAAAGGTCTACGCCAAGGTACTGGAGAGGAGGGTCCGATCGATAGTTGAATCTCAGATAGAGGAGGAGCAATGTGGTTTTCGTCCTGGCCGTGGAACTGTGGACCAGCTCTATACCCTTGCAAGGGTGATGGAGGGGGCATGGGAGTTTGCCCAACCAATTCACATGTGCTTTGTGGATTTGGAGAAGGCTTATGACCGTGTCCCCAGGGGCACCCTGTGGGGGACGCTCCAGGAGTATGGGGTGGGTGGCTTTCTGTTAAGGGCCATTCAGTCCCTTTACCAGAGGAGCGTGAGTTTGGTCCGCATAGCCGGTAGTAAGTCGGACCTGTTCCCAGTGAGGGTTGGACTCCGCCAGGGCTGTCCTTTGTCACCGGTTCTGTTCATCACTTTTATGGACAGAATTTCTAGACGCAGCCGTGGTGTGGAGTGTGTCGAGTTTGGTGGCAGGAGAATCTCGTCTCTGCTTTTTGCGGATGATGTGGTCCTCCTAGCTTCATCCAGCTCTGACCTTCAGCTCTTGCTGGGTAGGTTCGCGGCCGAATGTGAAGCGGCTGGGATGAGGATCAGCACCTCCAAATCTGAGACCATGGTTCTCGACCGGAAAAGGGTGGCTTGCCACCTCCGGGTCGGGGGAGAGGTCCTACCTCAAGTGGAGGAGTTTAAGTATCTCGGGGTCTTGTTCACGAGTGAGGGTAGGAGGGATCGGGAGATCGACAGGCGGATTGGTTCGGCGTCTGCAGTGATGCGGACGCTGAGCCGATCTGTCGTGGGGAAGAGGGAGCTGAGCCAGAAAGCCAGGCTCTCGATTTACCGGTCGATCTACGTCCCAGTCCTCACCTATGGTCATGAGCTTTGGGTAATGACCGAAAGAACGAGATCGCGGATACAAGCGGCCGAAATGAGTTTCCTCCGTAGGGTGGCCGGGCTCAGCCTTAGAGATAGGGTGAGGAGCTCGGACATTCGGGAGGGACTCGGAGTAGAACCGCTGCTCCTCCGGATCGAAAGGAGCCAGTTGAGGTGGTTTGGGCATCTGGTCAGGATGCCTCCTGGACGCCTCCCCAGGGAGGTGTTTCGGGCATGTCCTGCCGGCAGAAGGCCCCCGGGTCGACCCAGGACACGTTGGAGAGGTTACATCTCCAATCTGGTCCGGGAACGCCTTGGGGTCCTGCCGGAGGAGCTGGTGGACAAGGCCGGGGAGAGGACGGCCTGGAGCTCCCTAATTGGGATGCTGCCCCCGCGACCCGGACCCGGATAAGCGGAGGAAGACGAAGACGAAGACGAATATTTGTTCGACATATTTTAAAACAAGTTATCCAACCGTACCTGGAAAAGCTACAGTTAGCTGCTGCTAGCTATATTTGCTAGTAAATAACGGTGTGAAACGAAACTGGCGATGCATCTTTCAACATTTTACGAGTGTTTTCTCAAACTGCAGCACCCCAAGCTCCACCTGCCAATCATCTCACCGAGCTTCTGCTCAGCAGCTGAAAACGCACCAGCAGCTGGTGTTTCAGAGAAAAACAGGACAACTTAGTCACACGTAAAGCAGGCTGTGGGGAGGACTGGACAAGGACGGACACACACACACACACACACACACACACACACAGTCAGAGTGTGTGTGAAGCTGGTGAACCACAGCAGAGTTCTGACAGTTTGTGTGAAACAGAAAAGGAACTAAAACACAACAGAAGCAGCCATGTTTGATCTGAAAGCACACAAACTAAAATACATGGTGAAGTTTTCCAGAGCGTGTGTGTGTGTTGGGGGGGTGGGGTGGGAGGGGGTGTCCCCACATATAAACAGCCAGAGGAGAACCAAAGCCTCTCATACCAACCTGATACAGATCCTACCCACAGGTAGAAACGCAGAAAGGAAGGAAGAGAGACAGCGAGAGAGGCACTGTGTGAGTCTGTTAGTGAGCACTGAACACACATCCCAGAACCAGAACACCAGAGGGTTCAGTGGGTCACCTCAGACATGGGAGGGGAAACTGTCTCACTGAGCTGAGGACAACATTCAGGAAGACAAACAGGTTGTGTGTTTGTGTTCTTGTACTTACTACCTACTGAGGACCATCATGAGGTTTTCAGCAACAGAGAAAAGTAATTTTTCTAAGTGAGGTCCAGTTGGTTTTAGAGGTGTGGTGTGAAATAGTTTTAGTTAAAGGCCCCGTGTGTGAAATCCATTGAAATCATGATGAAAAACTGCGACTCTTTAGGGCCGTGCAGTTCAGAGGAAGTATTGCAGCTACGGTGGCTCGCTCACGAGTTTGACTGTATAATCAATTTCCAACCTGTGTAGCCTAACTCACACAAAACTTAAAACTAGCTACTCGACCTCTTTAAAAAAAGCATTTATAATTATGACTGTTTTATCAGCCTACCAGTTCTGAAGGAAGCTAGTTCTGCTAGATCTTGAAGCTGTCACGATTCACACACTGAGGAGGGGTGACGTCAGCCGGGATGTCAGGTGTCGGGAGATCGCGCTTCAGGCTATTTTCACAACATTTGTGATAAACTTTTACAGAAAAAGTGTGTAATGTAATGTAATAATGTTATGCTTGTGAGTTTTTAACTATATTTCCTCCAAAAAACAATAAAAAAGATACAGTAAAAACATTCTTGTTCACTCTTTTGCAGCAAGCTTATTCATCATTTTTGAAAGTTATGTAAAAGGATGTAAACTCACTCAGTTAAACCATCTTTTGAGCTAGTTTAGTCCTCATAATCAATCAATCAATGCTTTATTTATAAAGCGCCTTCCGCAACCCTGTCAGGAAGCCCAAGGAGCTGAATGGACAACAAGTTCTGTGAATTTGGAAATATTTGCTCTCGACTGCCTAAGGGAAACAGAATATTTCAGGGTAACATAATTTCCCACAACACCCATTTCACGTGGCTCATGGTGCCTCGATGTAAACACACTGGCTGCCGCTATACCAGCTTATATGGATATGGAGCGATCACTGGCTGATCGTTAGCCACGGTTGGTGAAGGAGGCTTGGCGAGCCGGGGACACGTTGTGGACATCAAGTAAACAATATTGACTTATCCACCAGCTAATCGTGGCTCACAGCTGGTGTGGCGGAGATGGGCGTCACAATCTACTAGTTAGTCATGGCTAGAGCAGGGGAGATGCTGTCTATGCTGTGCGTAAACTCCTACGGATTCCCAGCAAAAGGAGACCCAAGTCTAAAGGTAACGTTTGAGAAGAAGCCCTCTGTGCCGGAGCGTCTCTGTAACGCGTGGAGAACTACATCGCTGTTAGTAGTGTTGTGGAGATAAGATAAACAACGCTGATTAGCCACTGGCTAGCGGACGAGCGCTGGAGCGTGTTGGGCGAGACGGAAGGCTGTGGGAAGAGAGGAGACTTGAGTAGAAGGACTTTGGAGCGGACATGCTGGGACCGGGTCGGGAGTTCTGGTATGGACACGCTAGGACCGGGTCAGGAGTTCTGGTATTAGGAAAAGATGGACAAACAACTTGAGGTGAGTTTGGGAGTCAGAGACACCAATAGGAGGCTGGCGTCCAGATAATAGCGGGCGGGGGTCTGAACATATGCAGCTTCCTTGTGTTGGACATGATGACGAACTGACAAATTTTATGTGTCTTTTCATTTAATTGTTTTTTTATTCAAACTAACAAGTACAGAAGTGGTGTAGCTATTCTTTTCTATTACTTAGTTGAATTAGCAGACTTTATGCTTCCAGGGCGCACTGCTGCCCTCTGCTGGTTCTTTCAGGTTACAGTCATAGTCCAAACGGGTAACATGGAGCTTGTATGTTCCTAAACTGCTACTGTATTTTAAGATGGTGGATAACCATGGGGCACAGGATTTGATAGTAAACTGGTAAAAATATCACACACTGGGCCTTTAAGGTTAGGGTACGGATCAGGCATAATACAGTCACAAAATGAATGGAAGTCAATGGATGGTCCTCACAAGGACAGAAATGTGTGTGTGTGTGTGTGTGTGTGTGTGTGTGAGAGAGTGAGTGAGTGAGTGAGTGAGTGAGTGAGTGAGTGAGTGAGTGAGTGAGTGAGTGAGTGAGTGTGAGAGTGAGAGAGAGACGGTGTTTGCATTCAGTATTCAGACCTAATGATCATGTAAACCCAGGTCAGTAAAAACAGGAGCATGAAGGAACAGTCAAAGGGATGACACACACACACACACACACACACACTTGAGCTCACATGAAGCTAACGATGAGGAGGATGGTGGAGATGCTGCTGTGTCCTCCAACACGAGAACGCTCTCCCAGCTTCATGAACGGAGCTCCTGAAACACATCAAAACAAAGAAATGATGATTCCAGAACCCAAACTACCATCCAAGAATGATCTGGACCAGAACTCCAGACCCAGTCCAGGACTCCTGACCATCTAGTCCGGCTGCTGGAAGGAAAATAAAAAATGAGTTGATGGGTACTCTGAAAAGTTCTGTATTTTTCTGTTTTGTTTGAAATAATAAATGATGAAACCTTAAAAAAATCTAAGCTATCTAATCTCTAATATTGAAAAAGGCTTCAAAGTCACCCAGAACCTCCTGTTGTGATGTGTAACATAAAACATGCCACTAGAGGGCAGCAGAATAAAGGAGGATGATCCAGAGGCTCTATCAGAGGACTCACCGGTCTCCCTACGGTCCCTCTCCTCCCCAACTCCTCGGTCTCCTCTGAGCCCAGACTCAACGCCTCCTCCCTCCCTCTCTTTCTCTCCCTGCCACCGGGAGCAGTGCCGTTTTCTGCGCCGCAGAGTGGGCGGAGTTTTGGCTGCATCTGCGCCCACGGCTTCGCCTGCAGTTACCACGGAAACCTCAGACTGCAGCAGCGTCTCCAGCTTGCACACCTCGCTCTCTGCATGGAGGAAGGAAGATGAAAGAGAACAAACAGAACACAACTCAGCTCTTTTCTGTTGATGTTGGTCAGAACCGGATCTGAAACCGGCCCGTTTCTACGGATCCTTGTTACGAGTTAGATGGTTGATAAACAAACGCAGCCTGAACAGCTGAGTTCAGTGTGTGTGTGTGTGCTGCTGCTCACCCATGTGTCTGTAGTACTCCTCGATGCCGCTCCAGGTGTTCTTCTCGATCAGAGCCTTCACCAGACTCCACGGCTGCTTCCTGTAGCAGATATCTGAGGAAACTCTAAAGAGAAAAAACAAAATCCTGTCATTTCAAACCTGAACATAAAGAATCACGAGTTATCACAAACAGCTTATTTTACTTAAAACTGTCCCTGAGCTGCTCCGATCTGAGGACTGGGGTTGTGTCAGAATCCAGGGATTGGATCTTTGTCGGCCAATCAGGTCACAGCGCCGCAGCCGTCTGTCTAAATTGAAAAACTCCTTCAAATGTGGCTCAAAAATCCAACCCGCTTTCCCCCAAATGTCAATCACAGGTCCGGTGTATCCTTCACTGTGGACCATATTTAGTTTGTTTATTCACACAGATTTAAGGAGGATTAAAAAACACTTGAGATGTTTTCAAGTGGATCCTAACCAAACAACATAAACTAGTATTAACGTCCAGAGAGACTGGAAGCAGAGGAATTGTGATAAATTATATCAGCAAAAATCTAAAATCTAAAACAAAAGCTGAGTCACAATGTGTTTACTCACCACTAAATCAAAGCTCCTGACAGATGGGTGTTTAACTCTGCGGCGCAGAACCTTTATTCTTTGAGCCTGATGCAGATGACCTCAGGTCAGTTATGGAATATTTATGTTGTTTCTGCAGCATCAAACTTGTTGCATTTTCAAAGTAAAAATGTGATTAAATGACATTCTGACTCTTTAGTGTCCTGATTCTATTATCCAACTCTCAGCATTTTTTCTAATTTATTTTTCACTCACTTCAGACCCACAAGCTGCCGTTTTATCAGCAAAAAATCATTAGCCTGTTCTGTTCTCTGTTCCATATCTAATCTCAGACTGGATTCCTAATCAGAACATCAACAGCCAATGAGCCGAGACCGAGGCGCGTACCTGCAGCTGTCACTCAGGTGCAGCGCAGATGGAGCTCACCTGAACACAAACGGTCACAAATTCTGGAAATATGCAGATTCTAGTTTCATTTGGTTCCATTTAAAATCCCAAACAAAAACAACCTGTGAGGAGTAAGGCTGCTCTGTGTGTGTGTGGCTGCAGGAGTTTGGTCCCAGCAGCCTTTCTGGGTTTTCAGCGACAGCAGCAGTGTGTTAAACACTCATAATAATTCATCTAAGCTAACAACCTACATTTTTATTGATCGTAATAAAATCCAAAGTTTAAACATGTATGAAGATTTCCTGGATGCGTGCGTGTGAAACTCCTCTTAACGTGCTTGAAGTCAGACCTTTAACCCACAGATAACGAACAGCAGCGGGTCTCAACCAACCAAACGGTAGGTTAGACTCTTCTTCTGTGGTTTTTAGCTTGATGTGTTTGCTGGTTTGAGCATTAGAGTTCCATGAGGAGGAAACCACCTCCTCTCGACTGATTAGTTTTATTTTCTATCACTTCTTGTTTATGATGAACGCACATGATCACACAGCTCGTGACCAGCTGATTTAAACGGTGAGGACATGAAATCTGGATGAACTCAACCTGGTGAGGATGTTCGGTTCTGTTCCTGAACCCACCTGAGTCGGCTTTTGTGTTTGTTGATGGAGGTCAGGCAGTATCTGTGGACAGTGTAGAAGTAGTCTTGGTACGGGATGCCGGAGGTGATGACCTCACAGTCCACCACGTAGCACTCGCCACGGGAGCAGCTCTTATGCAACATCTGAAACATGGAGGTCAAAAGTCAAAGGCTTGTAAACTAAAACTTCCTGTGGAGCTCAACTTTCTCTGAACTGAAATGATCCGTTCTGAGGTACAAAAGCTGAATCTGACCTGAGTCTCGACCACGGGGGCGGTCTTAGGGCCAAGGGGGTTGTTGAGAGTGATGGTGTAACTCAGGATGCGGCTGCTGTTCCCGCTGCTCCCCTCCTGCTGCCATTCGCCCACCGACAGGTCTGAAGGAAGGAGACAGGAACGACTAGTCAGGAAAAGACGGAAGCTGAACTGCTCAGGAACTTTAATCCTGAAGAAGCCACCATGTCATCAGCTGATTCATCACGCCGTCCTACTGAGTCAGAGACGCCTCAGAATAATAAAGTCCTCCAGTAACACAACAGTTTATCTGTAGTTAGCTGCACGCTAGTTAGCATCTGTTCCACTAGGCTGTTCAGCTTTAAGTGAAAGGTCAAAGGTCAAACAGGTTCACCTCCAAGTTTGTGTGTCTGTTTGGTGGGAAAATATGTCCTAAACCAGTGGACAGTTTAGACCGATGATAATAATCAGTGAACAACTACAGCTGATCAACATAAAAATGACCGCCACAGCAAGGTGACCTTCGCCAAAACACAAAGACGTCTCACAGCCCTTCACTTTTACAAATATAAATATAGTTAGACCCATTTATAGCTGTGAGAACAGGTCACAAGAGGTCACAAACTTGGCACTATCTGAACCAAACTACCAACCTTGACCCTTAAACTAAAGAAAACAGCTGATTTTCACCACGATAAGCTGGAACCAACAGGAAGTTGTGCTTCTCAGCTTCACACTGGCCGCTGCTCTAACTCGGCCTGACGACAGAAATGTTTAAAGTATCGACATGAAACATCGGGGCGAGGTGACGCGAGTCTGTCCACCAACAGGCCAGTGAGGAGCAGAACATAAACACACCCAGCTGTAACCGTCACCGTCCAGGACAAACAGGAAAGACGGGATTTATTCTTCTGGAACAAGTTCATACAAGTTCATTATTAGAGCTCAACAAAGAGAGAAATGGCGTGCTAATCAAGAGTCTGGCTGTTCCAGCAGGAGCAGACCTACCGGTGAAATGTCTCTGGGAGAAAAGGTGCTGCAGGAAGTGAGTGTCTGCAGAGAAGAGCAGGTCGTGAAGCTTGTCGACACTCATCCGTACGACAGCGTTGATGTTGAGGCGCCCGCTGAGGTCCGCACAGAAAGACTCCACCTCACCTGAAACTTCAACACAAAACAGATTTCTTCTTTGGTCACTTTTCTTCTAGTTCAGGTGTCTGCAGACCTGAGATCAGTCAGAATCAGCTGGAAGGGATCAAAACCTTCAGCATCCAGGATCATCAGTAACATCAAACACTAGAAACCTTTCAGAGGTTTTAAGTCTGAGCAGAGACACAAGTGATTCATTATTATCATTATTAGAAGTGATTTAGCAGGAGCTCATCTGACGTTTCTCTTCTGCTCTGGTTCCAGATCAGAACGCTGAAGGTTTCTGGCTGATCACAGCAGCAGTTAAAAGTCAGACTAAATGTGACCTAATCCTAGTAATAAAACACTGAGGGGGCCGGCTAAACCTCATATTCATATTTTACAGAAGTTGTGAACGTTGTTTGTGAACGTTCAGAAATCATCATGTTTACAGAACCTATCTAAGAAGACTGACCCAGTCTCACACAGGAAGTGTTTTCTTTCCCACTTCATTAACATTACTAAATAAAGCACCAACCATTTTTCCCAACACTTTCAAAATAAAAGCACATAAACTGTGATTATTTATTCATAAGATGTTAATCATAAAGGACTGAAGGTGAAAACTGCTCCTCTGATCGTGAAGGTTTCAGAGCTCCGACCACAACAGCGGCACTGGAGTCGTTAACGTGAACCCGACACTGAGCAGAAACAGAACCTGGTCACACGGAGGATATGCAGATGTCTGATGGTGATTTCTGGACCTCTGACTAGAGGATTCACAGATATAATCAAATTTAGCCCTAGTTCTGCTCAGAAGTTAAAAACAGCTTCATTTATTCATCTCTGAAACACAAACTTGATTAATGATCTGAGTTACTGATGCAGGTCACTTTAGGACACTAATAAACTCCTCATCTGAGTTGGACTGAAGGTCTTACTGGTTTCTGATTCACACACTTTATGTTTAAACTCCCAAACACTGAAGGGAATTCAGGGTGAATCATTGATTTTGTTCCAGGTAGAAACAACTAACTTTATGTTAAAGTTTGATAAAGTTTTTCTGCTGATGGAGGTGGAACCGCTTGATCAGAAACCAGAGGGAACGTTGAGCTAGTAACACTAACGTGGTACCACAGCAGCTAGCTGACATAATTAACTCACTGTTAACAAACTAAAGCAAAAGGTAATCGCCATGGAAACGCATCTTTAGCATCACTGGCTTTATTTTGATGCACACCGATGTGATAAGGCTCAGTGTGTCACATCTAAAACGGTCCGGGTGGAAGCATGTTCTCGGATTATAATCCTCCATTAGAATGTAGCGGTTTCTCTCACTTGGTAGATTATTATAAATAGAGCCCCCTCACACACACACACATTTTCTGACAGACTCACTCTCTTCCTGCGTGTCAGAGGAGTTGCTGGGGTCTGTGGGCAACTCCTCGTCGTTGGTGATGTCCAGCGAGGAGAGGTTTCCTAGACTGGTGGTGGGTTGGGGCAGCATCTGATTGGCCAACTCTGACCGACTGTCCCCTCCTATTTCATCTAGAGTCTGATTCAAAGAGAACAGATACTTTTATTAGGCTGTGGCCACATTAGCTGGGTCACAGCTAGGGTTGTCACGGTAACCGGTGTAACGGTAAACCCTGGTAAAAAAAGTTGACAATAATAATAACCGTCTTGTTTTTAAAAATATATTATCTTGGTGGATTACCGTGGCTGCGGTGTAGGCGGGGTGACCCTTACCAGCCACCGTATCATCTGCTGAAGTTGCCGGCGGCACATGCGCGCTTTGATGTTTACAACCAAAACTTTCTTGAAGCTAAAGCTGAAATAATGGCCAAAGGAGGAGACGGCAGCGCTCAGGACATTTATTATCCCTCAAAGAAGACAAAGTGGGAAGTACGGGCATCTTTTGGATATTTGAAGAATGCCGAGGGACAGTTGATAGAAGACGGCTATCCTGTTTGCAGCACGTGGAGAAAAAGTGTCTGTGAAAGGCAGCAACGCTTCAAATCTCATGACACATCTGCGTGACCATCACCCACAACTCTACAGTCAACGCAAGGCAAGCTAACGTTAGCGTTTTAGCTAAAATGCGTGATCCAAGGATTTGGGTTGAGGGAGAACGCAACGAGTCGCTATATAAAGCAGCCGCAGCGCCGCTACCTGCATATAAACCGTGTCGCGGACACCCCCATATTGAAATGACGCTATGCATTACGGGGCTCCCAGGGGCAGATAAGAGTTGGTCTCTCTCAGAGAACAATTATGAATTTAACAACGATTACTGCCTGATGACATTTTCCCACATCTGCAAAGCTCACTGGAAGGACACAAACCGAGGACAATATTTTCCTGATATAGGGTTTATTACTCAAGTAAGGGTAAAAAAGTATCTGATTAGAAGGCTACTTGAGTACTGAGTATCATCTGGTCTAATATTTTTAAAATGATGACATCAAACAGACACAAAATAAGAAGTTATGGGCAAATATTGGTATTTTAAAGACTAAAGGGGAAATATGTAAACAAATAAACAACATAATTACAAAATAACACATTTTAGGCAAAATTTAGACACAAACCGAGGACAAGATTTTCCTGATATACAGGGTTTATTTAGTTGTCTGGAAATGTAACACGTTTAAAAAATATACCGCGATAATACTGAAAACCGTGGTAATTTTGGTCACAATAACCGTGAGGTTAAATGTTCACACCGTGACAACCCTAGTCACAGGTCACAGCTCAGATGAGATGTGACCTCAAGAGTCCTGCGTGTTTGTTTAGTTTATCTTCATGTTTCCAAGGTAACGTCAGATCCCCAAAGAGCCAATAGTGGAAAATCAGATTTGCATAATCTGAGCACAAGGAGCCGACTGTTTCTAAACAGAGGAAGTCAAGAATAATAATAAAAAAAAGACATGTTGGGTCTAACAGGTGAACAGTATCAGAGTCGGGAACAAAACAATCGAAGACTTGGACCAGTAGCTAAGAGCTGCTTCTCTCTCTCCAGATGATCCGAAGCTTCATTAGACACAGGAATGAAACCAGGAGAAAATGTACCAGGAACACCTCCTCATCTTTACTATGAGACAAACCTGATGGAGAACAGAACTAAAAACAGATAACTTCTAAAGAAAGGTCCTTCCTGATATCTGGAGATGAACTCCAGAAGTTCAGATTGTGTTCAAGAAAGAAGGCAGTCAAATTTAATAAAATTAATAGGAACCAACTGTTTTATGTGCTTTGCATGTTTTAAAAAAACAACTGCTCGTTTGGCACAGTGCTGTGTGGATGTGAACATGAAGACTCACAAAGGTGACGGCAGCAGACACTGAGGTGCTGGGGGGAGCGGCGGATGGCAGCGAGCCCTGGGAGCTGGGCGGGCTGGCCTCCATGGGTTCTGACCCGAGTCTGCTTCCTGATGAGGAGGGAAGCTCCACGGGCAAGCAGGAGGAGGGGGAGGTCAGGGAGATCCCACTGAGGCTGGTGGTTGATGGAGGACTGCTCAGACTGCAGGGAGCTAGGGGGGGTGGGGAGCTGCCAGTGGAGGGAACTGACACTGAGCTCAGGTCCAACAGATCTGTGACCGACACCGATTCATCTCCTGGGCTGCAGAGCCAGAACAGCAAATGAGAAACATGCAACCAGTTCAACTCATCATGCAAAGCATCAGTGCTGATTGGAGCATGCAAACTAAAGCGTCCGCTCCAGGAGGGTGCACATTTGCATGTTCATTCAGCAAAAATCTGGCTCTGATTGTGCAGCACAGCTTCTGAAACACAACAGAGGATTCATAAATCTGGAGGAGTTCTACTCACAGCAGTCCGTTCATGTGTTCACCGGTGGGGGAGACGTAGTCGTCGTCCTCACTTGTGAGGCCCAGTTCGGTGCCGTAACACTGGTGCACGATGTGCCACAGCTCTTTGGGGGACAGAGACTGAAAAACACAAACTTTATCTCTTAAGTATCGACTCCGTTAGTTTTGCTTAGCAGAATCTGTAGGTAGCTGTCCTCTCTGGTGAGGGAGGCTCGTGTTTGAGCTACTTTCATGTAAACAAAGTTCATTTAACAATAATTATCCTTTTATTCACCTTAAAAATGAAATAAAAAATGTGAGGAGGGTGTACCCATTCTGGTTCTGTAGACCTCAGCTTTGTAAATAACAGTAATCTGAGAAAATGACCATAATCTCAGCCTAGTGTTTATGTATTCTTAGCCTCTCCCTCCTGACTCTACGCTCCAGTCTGAGATATTTGCCTCTGCAGCAGAGTGGGCGAGGAGGTGGTACCTTGTCCAACAGTGCGTTCTGCCACAGACGGAAAATCATCATGAAACTCCGATCCCTCGCCCCAAACGATGTAAAAAAATGCTGCAGGGGGGTGGGGGCACGCCAACAGAACAGGAAGGGAAAACAAGAAAAAACAGAAATCAGTGAGACTTCTGTGACAGTTGGATTTCCTGCCTGAGAGGTTTGCTTCGTCAGACTGGAGATCCAGTTGAGTCAGCTGGTTCTGACCTGCTTAACCAGCAGAAAGGGTCCTTAAACACACACACACGCACGCACACACACCTTGTCATTCTCGGTGCTGATCTGGATGGCGTTGGGGATCAGCTTGGCCGTCTTCTCCTTGGTCATGGATGTCACGTCTTTCAGCAGGATGGTGATCTGAAACAGAAACGGATGTTTCAGAGGTCTCATTAACCCTTTGATTTTAGTGAGTGTGAACACCGTGCACATGTGACCTACTGTGGTTTCCCAGCGGAAGATGTTGCTGTAGAAACAGAGCCAGTTCTCCGACAGATAGAGACGGCCTTGAAGCAAAATGTCCTTCTGCAGAGCGCAGGAGTAGTCTGAGAGATGAGAGAGGAACAGAGAATGGGTCAGCTGACAGACAGGAACCTGCCTCCACCTTAAATCATCTCAGAACATTCATGGTTTTATTTACACCAGGCTTACTGGTAGCACTGGGACACGCCCCCTGAGCTGAGCAGCTCCACCTGCTAGCCAAAGAACGGCACTATTGAATGTCACCATAATGCTGTAGGCTGTTAGCCCAACGGGGATCAGACGTTAGAAACGTAACACAACTCCTGATGCTATTTGGATCCGTTTCTAGACTGAAAACTTGTCAGGATAAAATCAGGAAAACTGTGATTAGTGGGAAAGCAAAGAGGGATCAAAGTGAAATAACATTAATAATAATGTTTGAGACAGACAGCAACCAATCCATGCTGGTTTCACTAAGCTGAACACATGCCAACTTTAGTTTAAAGCTAATGAGCCGACATCTTAGACACTTTGGCCTAAATGGAATGTTGAAGGTGTTTTTTTCCCATTAACGCAGCACACACAACCTCTAAAGACTCGGTAGCTTTTACCAACGAGAGTTACAACATTTCATCTTAGACAGGTTCTCCATTAAACCCGATCCTGACTCTGGTTCCAGTAGCAGATATAGATGAACCCATTTGTACGGCCGATAAAAGGTCTCTACTTCAGGTTAACTACATTCTATGTGTTCTTAGTCAGCGATCGCCTAGTTGGAGGGGACATCACTCACTCACCCACTATAAGACGCTCAGTGTCCGGCAGTTTTTTGAAGATTTTTCTAAAGTCTTCATTCCGTTGTTTGTATGTAGGACTGAGAACCTGAGGAGGAGAAGCAGAGAAAAGGACTGAACAGGGTTTATTTGACTAAGCAGCAGAGAAAAAAAATAACTTAGACTTTGTGACATTCTCTGGAAACAGGTAAGTTGTTCATGTGTACTCACATTGTACCAGCTCTGCATTTTCTGCAAACAAACAGGAGAAAGTATTTATTATTCAAGTCTCTCTGTGGCAATACTAACGTTAGCACAGAGCAGATTTCACACATGGAAGTACACGATAAGATGCAGTTAAGCAACCCTCCATTGTTTCCACATGTAAACGTGGTTTTATGTAACCACTCAACAGGTCTGATTTCTGTTCTCCTGTTTTATAAATGTACAGGTCCAACAGAAACTCGTTAAATTTACCAGAAAACCACAGCAACAAGCTGGAGTTTTAACACACACCACCTGTTCAGGTGAAGGGTTGATGTCTATAATATTCTCCACGGTTGCTCTTATGAGAACTGGTGCCATAAAAATAAAAACTGAATTTAAGCAGTTTACTGATATAAAACCGCTTTTACCTACAGACCCTGGGCTGCTGTAAACCCCTCCGATGTTGGTTATTTGGCTGAGCATGAGAAAAGATCGGCTCTTCTGTTCAGCCTACCGCAAACGCTTCAACTCCTTCCTGCTCGTCTGTCTTTGAACAGTTTGAGTCAGAGACCATTTCTGTCTTTGAGGATGTTGCACATCAAATGCCTCTTTAACCAACTTCAGAGCCTTTTAACTGCATTCAGTTTGGTTTCAATCTCACCAAACTGCCCTTTTGGGAGCTTTTAGAGATTGGTTTACCATAACTAACTGCAGTTTTAGTCCTTTTGGACGTTCTGCTGTCATTGATTCTGTAGACCATAAAATTCTGCTGTCACGACTCCAGCTGTATGTTGGTACCGAAGACTCAGACTGATGATGATTCTATTTGACTAACGGGAGTTCTCTTATTCCTGTTGGAGAATGTTCTTCTGCTGCAGCTCCTTTTAGGGGTTCCTCAGGGCTCTATACTGGTTCCACTGCTGTTGAACTTATATTTGCCATCTTTACTCTCTACCTTTAGAAATGTAGCATCTTTGCCCACTGCTTTGCAGACAATCTCTTGGCCTACACAGTTCAAACCACTCAAGTGTTTGAATAACATCAAATCCTGGTTTAAATTAAACTTTTGCAGTCTAATTTTTTTAATTCATTTATTTCATTCAAAATAAAAACAATAAAACATATAAACAATAAGATATACAAAACAAAATTTTTTATTTGAACAAAAAGGAGCAGAATGAAGAAAACATCTTATAATTTTCTGCCCCCTTTTCCAGAAGAAATAATCTTATTTATATACAATTTTGATTTGTCAGACACACATACAGATTCATTTTAAACTTTTTCCTGTTCTTAATTCCAGAGCGATCATGATCATTGATTTAATTTACATTTTCATAATTATTTAGTACACTCAATGTGGTACATTTTTGAATATATTGAATGACAGAGTTTTTTTTATTTCCCTTTTAAGGTTAATCCATAATTTAACACCATTTACAGATATATTCCATTCCTTAATTTTAGTTATAAATCTAGGTTTTGTAAACACATCAGTTTCTTTCAGCATGTAATTACTAGTCATCTTTTCAAATATCCCCTGAATGTTTGTTGGCAGAGTACTTAAAGGGGCATTATGGAAGTTTGACAGCCAAAACATGTATAGAAATAATAAATTTCATCTTCATACATTCTCCTGCAATGCCCTGGTCCTGTAGAATGAGCCCTGGCATTTTTACTGTGACTGCCTGTTTTTCTGTAAAATCACAGAAAAAGAGAGTTGAGCTGAGCTGCTCGGGTCGAGCAGGCTGCTTCATGCGCGTTCACGCTCAGGCATAGCCCGTAGCATTTGCTATCAGTAGCTTTAGCAGCAGAGAGTGAGGTAGTGCCAACTCAGCGACAAAATCGCTGTTCCGAACGCCTAGTAATGAACCTAGCTACAATTCTGAGGACCCTTAGCTACTTTCTTCTAGATATTTCCTGCAAATTAGCAACAAAATAGCCATTTTTCGCTCCGAACCTTTTTTTGAAAGTTATTTAAGCTGTAATCAAGGATATAAATGTTACAGATGCCAAAAACGTCAGTGGTGGTTTAACTCATCTAGTTAGACGTCGGGCTCTCGTGCAGGAGACTCGGGTTCGATTCTGGGTGAGAACACAGTTTTTTTAGAGTTTCTTTTTTACATTAATGGTATATTTTTTTACAGTAAGATGCCCAAATTTTTATTTGAGACTCGCCAAACGGCATTGAATTCACAGATAAAAAAGATGTGGGTTCAACTTTCATTTTGGAACAATTTTTCAAGCAAGGGAAGGGAATGATCTGAGCATGCAGGAGGACTGACCCATCTTAAACCTTTGTCGGCTGTGCTGAAGAGAAAAGGTACAGAACCAAATTATTTAATTAATTAGCTGCACGTTCTCCTGTCCTCTGTCCTCCGCCCCCCCCCCCCCCCCCCCACACACACACACACACACACACGACAGTCAGCTCTCAGAGCTCTGTGAAGCTGACCCCGGTCAGCTTCACAGAGCTTCATCTCAGCTGTTATTTTTGTTAAGGAGTGTGCACGTACAGCATGCGTGCCTCGTGCACGAGCCTCTTATTGAAGCTGCCGTTATGCTTTTTGCCAGAGGGGGCAATTGCGAGCATAAAAATTCAAAACTCCGTAAAGTCCTTTTAAATTGGCTTTATACATAGTTTGTAAGATTTTCCAGTCTTTTAAATCATGAAATTTCAGTAATTCATATTTAATAAACAACGGGTTTGATGGCTCTCTACAGCCACCATAATTGATGATTCTTAAAGCTCTTTTCTGTAAAATAAATAAGGGTTGTGTATAGTTTTTGTATGTTGCTCCACAGATTTCTACACAATAAGTCAAGTATGGAACAATCAGAGAATTGTACAATGCCAACAAACCAGAATTAGTCAGTAAAAATTGACTCTATAGCTGCTTTTACAGGACCATAGCGTTAGCAAAACGGGATTTGCCGCGGCTCCCTGGGAGGACAAAGATGGTTTATAAGATCAGACCGTAGCAGTAATGTGGTGCGATCGGATGGCAATTTTATAAAAGATTAGGTGATGGCTGCATAAAGGGGGTATGGGGGCGGTCTCTGCGCTGCCGCAGACTTCCGTTTATCTTGGACATAACTTGCTTTTTATTGTGATTGAAGCCGTGATCGTTAAGGTTTTTAACAAGCAGCTCCTAAAGGTGTCTGTCCCCATCAGTCCCTGTGCAGTCTCTGGTGATCTGAGCTTCAGCTCTAACAGAGAGGCCCATGGAGTGCTGCGGTGCTCCAGTTTGCCATTTCAGCTGATTTTGTTAAAAAAAAAAAAAGAAAACCTTATTGCCTGTGTTTACTTTCATTTTCAATAAATTTGCCAGCCGGAGCTCAGCAATAACTACCCACGTCATCATGATATCTGCCTCTGTTACGCCAGGGCGCATACAACAGACCATTACCGCAATATTACTACCAAGCGAGGCAGAACGAATGGCGCAATATTCGCGCAACGCCATGCCGACACGGTGCGTTTAGACATACCACTGCGGTAATATTACGCCGATTTGCCGGCATGGTGTAAAAGCACCTTATGTAATACTCGTACGGATTTGGCAATTTTACCTTTTATGTAACTAACAGTTTTAAATGAAAGTAAGACTGGTCACACGATTTGGAAAATCTCTTCCTCAGAAAAACTGTTGATTTCTGCAGCATTTTAGGAATTCCAGTAAAGATGGAAAGGAGCGGCCATGTTACCTGAGCGACAGAGTTTCATTACAAATCCTTCAAAACTAAATCTAGTCATATATCCATCAAAGCTCCAATGGAATGGAACCGTTTACCTGCTGTTTTAAGGTCTATTACATCTTTTCATCAGTTTAGAACTTTGATGAAAATATAATGCCCACTTGTAACTGTTTCTGCTTTTCTTTGTGGTTCAACAAGTACGCATTTACAGTAACTCTGACTCCTAATTTGCCTGTGTACATGCGTGTTTGTGTAACTTTTTTTTCTCATTTACTTTGATTATTCAAATTGTAGTTATTTTATGTTTTTGCTTTTTTCCCCAATGATATCACATTTGTATGGAAAATGTGCGTTATGTTGGTCTTTTATTCTCATTGTAAATTTCAATGGACTTGAAAACGAAAAGGTTCATCTCAAGTGGTTCTCATCCTGATAAAATATAAGTATACAAATAAAAATAACAAATAATAGTCAATAAAGACTTTTGGAATCAGCTGTGCAGTCTATAAACAAAATGTTTTTAAAAGTTTTTTAATAGAGATAATCTCTGGGTCTGAAAGGTTGAGTCGCTGTGACACAGATGAGTCCGCCTTACCTTGGCATTCCGGCTGAAGTGGCGAGAAGCCAGCGGGTAAGCGGATGTCAGGGAGGAAGCGGAGGGTAAAGATGGCAGCGGGCTGTCTGAACCTCCACCTCCTCCTCCACTGCTCCTTTCTCCTCCTCCCTCACTCTCACTGGCCTTGCCTCCCCCAAGGACCCTGCGCCGCAGAGAGGGGGAGCTGCCGGGGGTGCTGCGTGGAGAGTTACTGGCTGTACTGGAGACACAGAGAGAGGAGCATCTCAGGGGAGGACAGACGGCACTCTTATTTTAATTTCTGTGACTTTTAACATCACGCTGAGAAAAAAAAGCTGCAGGCGTTTCCTTTCTGATAAATCCGTGCAGACCAAAGAAAGGAAACGCAAGGTCACAAACATCAGATGAGCTCAAACCAGACAGCAGAGACATCAGGAGACATTCAGTCAAGACTTTCTCCTAAAAAAAATTAAGGTCTGATTTACTGGTTGTTTATGTTCACTCACCACCCGCTGAGAAAGAAAAATAAAAAAAATCTATTTAAAACCACTAAATGAGCCTCTGATCCTGACATCCACCCCTCCCTGTTCTGCCACATGCATGTGAGAAATATCATCCAGTAAGTACCTGTACCAGTTCCTGGGGTCTGAGGTAGGCTGTGACCTTTGCTCCCAACATACTAGGAGCATTTAAAAATGACTGATGAACTTACAGCACTTGTTTGATTTTTCATTTCTGCTGTCACATGTCAAAATACGAAGTTTTAGTCTAAAACAACGTTATAAACAATAATAAAATGTTTCTTACGCTCCGACATACAAACTATACTGAGAAAGGTTTACGGTCCAGGTTGCCATGACAACGCTGGGACTATTCTAGGAGAAAACAGTTTTTTTAAAAACTTTTTCAAAGTTCCAGCATCATGAGAGCGAAAGTCTGAGACTCACAACATCTATGATGGCAGCCTAGCTTGTAGGAATGGGAATCTTAGAGCAACTCACGATTTGATTTGATTTGATTCAGATTCTCGGGGTGCCAATTCGATTCAGAATCGATTCTCGATTCTCAATTTAAATCGATTCACAATCAGTATTAACAAAGAGTGTCAGCTCCAGGATGAACTACTTTGTTGTACAAGTTAGTTAAAGCTATGGGACATTTTTATTTGACTTTAAACTGGTCTTGCTCCAAAAATACAAATTTACAATGTAAAATAAAGTGATTCTAAAACTGTAAACAGAAACAATCTTTTGACCAAAAGGCAACATTTATTTTTGCTCACCTTGTAAAATATAACAAATCTGTAGTTACCCAACAGTAGCTTTGAAAGTAATAGGTCAAATACTTTTCAAGTATGTGTAGAAACAAGTTACATGAGTAATCCTGAGTACTCATTTATCAATTTAGAGAATAAATATGAGAATATCTCAAATTTCTGAGTATGGAAAAAAATTACATTCAAGTGCCCTCTTATCAGCAGATTCAAACATAAATCATCTCAATTTATGGGACCACAAAAGTAAACGGAGTACTGACTCTCCTAACAAAGATCAAAAAGTGCATCTCAAACCTGTAACATGCCAAATATTTGAGTTCTTGGAATCGATTCTGAACCTTTGTGAATCGATTCTGAATCTTGATTTTTTTTCAGCACCTCTACTAGCCTGGTACCAGATCAGCTTCCTGTGGAACTTCAGAAGGGAAACAGGTGCTGGTTGAGTAGCTGGACCTTGTGGTGGAGGTGTGATGGATGTAGAAGTTTCAATAAACAGGAACAGCAGGAACAAGCTAGAAACACTGGAGGCTGTGACCCCTTAAACGGGGAGAGCACTTCCATCAGACCTCAGAGATCTTTTTTTTGGAAGAATGTGGTTGTGGCCTGAACCCTCAGCCACACGAGAGGACATCTCCTGATAGGGTTTGTAAGCTATGGGTGATGATTTGATTAATCAGACCTGATAGATAGAAGCGTCCTCTCCTCACAGTCAGCCAACTCCTCATGTTAATATTTCACAGCCTCCAACTGGAGCTCTGGGAGGATTTGGAATTAGTTGTCTGATATAAAGTCCACATCTGCAGGTTAACCGATAACAGGCTGTTAAACCAGCCGCATGACTGCTAAGTTTCAGCGTTTCTGTCCTGAAACATCTCAGGATGGAGCTGTGAGGAACCTACATGTTGATCCAGCTCTGAATGCTGATGACTTCATTCATATCTGAGAGGAATTACAGCAAACAAAGGACAGAAGGATGGATCCAGATTAGCTTTGCACAGGTCTAAAGTAAACTCTAACCCAGATCATCTCAGACCGTAACCATGGCAGCAGAGAGGAGCTGTTTAAACTCTCAGCAGCAGCTTTTTTCTGTTTCTTCTCATCAGATAAACAGATAATCTGCCAATATGCAGCCAAAACACCCCCTAATCTGTGCCAGCAGCTCTTTACAACCTATTAACGGGACAAACTCAGGGGGTGCTCCGTTCCACCGGAACAGAAACAAATGTCCACCTCCATCAGCCAATTTCTCCCAACAGTATAATCTTTAGGATTAGCTCCAGTTAACCGGAGGCACAAACCAAGCAACGGTTCGCTGCATCATAGCACCGGTCCGGTCCGACTCGGTTTAACAACACTTACTCAAACATGTCATGAAGCGTTTTACATCCAGTTGATGCTCAAAAACACGGAGCAGCCCTCCGTTACGGGATTATTTTCCCGGAGTTTGCAGATCTAAGCCCGAAGATCCGGGGCAGAACCGACCGCTGCTCCGCCGCGCGTCCTTCACTCAGCCTCGGACAGAAACCGGACCGCTGCCCCGCGGTCGGATGCTAATTTCCCATCGTGATCGACGCCCCTTCGCACCCGCAGGTACTGGACAGACCGACAACAAGACCCAGTAGCGGGCTGCCGCCTCAGCGCCTGTCGGTAATCCCTGTGCAGCCGAGCAGGAGGGAGGGGAGAAGGAGGAAGAAAAAAAGGGGGGGGGGGGGGGGGGGGGGGTTGAGGAGGCCTTGCCTGTTTGGTTCTGAGGCAGTATGGATGACGAGGCAGAGCCAAACTGAGGGTTTAATCTGGACTCGGAGGAGCGGGTCACCATCAGAACGCACCGATCAGAACATCGGACTCCTAAAATCCCAAATGCTGCTTTTTAAATCACCAGCATGTTATAATAAAAAAATGTATTTCGCAACATAAATTCCAGAATTTGGGAATAAAAACAGACCCCAACCATTACGACCATAGCTGGAGCCGCTGGAGTTCTGTTACGGTTGATCTAGATGATTATGATTAAGGAATAAAACGTTGCAACAAATCCAAACGCCTGACTGTGTCCACCGGACCACAGCCCAGAGCCCACCCAATCCTTTAACCCTCAAGCTCTGTGTCCATCTCTGGATTAGAGGCCACATCATAATCCAGACTGGCTTGAGCCAGGCTCACATGCATTTAGCCCCCACCTACATAATCTGCTTTCCTGAGATTCACAGATGACCATTCTGAAACGAGCACGAGCTGAGAAGGTCTGGGTCCAGGGTTAATGCTGGCCCCGGCATGACATCATCAACATTTCAGCTCAGTATCAGGTCTGAGCTGTTTTTGTATTTGTTAATGCTCATCAGCTGTGGCGGCCATAAACACATCTCGTGTTCACGTTCAGAGTTTCTTCAGAATCCATTAAGTGGTTTTGGAGACACTTTGATGAGAGAGGCAGGCCTTGCCCAACATCACCCATCTTCAGCCTTTCAGCAGCGGGTAAAAAATAAAACCGGATGTGGGCGAACCAGATTATATGTAAACCCAACTGGTGAAAGAGAATATTTCAGTACGACTGAAACCAACAGGAACACAACCAGATCAGCACTAGGAGTCGACAGCTTGAACATGGATGACTGAATTAACTGATAAAGGGATTTAAACATGAATCAGTCAGGAACCACCTCAGACCTACTGGTGTCAAATCTTTTACCCAAATACAGATTTTTTGTCTACGTCAGGTGAGTTGTCCACACAGCTGATGTTTACTGGACGCCAGTGCTGCTCTGCACCATCAGCTCGGATGTTTAACCTACAATAATTCGCCGGGAAACTGGTTCAAAAGGATCTAAGCTGCAATAATTTCAGATGACGAACAGAAAGTTGATTAGAATATCAGAAAAGTGTAAAATGACAAAAGAACAGACCAATAATTGTAATAATTATGACACTATTAGTATAAAATAACGTACATCGTTATTTTAATACATCCCTACTTATATTGATGTAATATCGGTAAATATCAGTTATTGGAAATAAAAGCAATTTTAATATCAGGTATCGATATCCGCCTTCATTTTCACTTTGGTGCATCCTTGATATAAACAGAACTTATACTGACGTTTGCGATATGAAGCCCAGAAATCATTTATTTCCACGTCAACACCACCAAATTCTTTTTTTTTTTTCAGTTGTTTTTTCCTCACATTTCTACATTTACTGATCTGGTTTTCAGAAAGAATAAAAAAGGGATAAAATGGTAGTAAAAATATTTTTACAGGCACCTAAACACTCCACAACTGTATCTTTATCAGCATGATATAATTTACACATGGTGCCTTCTGTGCTGGTGAAGCAACAGTGTTTGACCTTGAGCCTTGTACCAAACCGTCATCAGCTGGGCCACGGTTCCGATCCGGATTAATGTGCAGATGAATGATATAAGTGGGTCAATAAAGCCGAGTGTGAATAAAGGTTACAGCTGCTCATATGGAGGATCCCCCCCGCAGCCCACCACAGCTTCTTCTGATTGGACTCACATGACATCATCAGACCAGAGCCCACTCCCATTGGCTGCAGGTGATGTCATCATGGTGTGGAAGGATGAATGTCTCCCGCCCCCAGCTCCTTTTAACTGACACGGCTCTGTTTATTTCTAACACCAGAGTCTGTTTCTTTGTTTACATTTTACATAACCACTCTGCCGCTCATCTGTGGGTTAAAATCTAAAGCAGCAATAACTGCATGACAGAACTTATCACAAAAATATTCTTACTCATGAGCTGAGTTTTTTTTGTGCCATTTAAAAAAAAATCTGATCACAAATCAGCTGAACTTCATTTCATGTGACCAACTAAACCAGTTTTCAACGCCGCCTCAGCCAAACCCGCTGCCCAATTGTACTCCTTATAAAAAAAGAGGACCTTTCTGCTTTGCAGCCATTGGTAAATCTGGTCTCCATGGACCTGAATGCAAATTAGCCGGAGGTTTTAAAGTGAGTCCAGCAAACAGGAGCCAATAAAACCTGGTGCTGACAGAAGGAGCAGGCTGTTCTGAGTGGTTTAACCTCTGGTTACTGAGGCAGACATCTGTGCACACTTGTGTGTTCTTTAATGAGTCTTCTGTTCTAAACATCCCAGCGGGTTATTGAGGAGGAACCCAGCACTGACCTGCAGCTGTCCGCGTCCGAGTCTCTGCTCAGCAGACTCCTGAGTGACCAACGAGACCGCCGGTTGGGGGAGGGGCTACGAGACAAGGAGCGGGATGGCGGCAGGAGGAGGTCATGTGATGGGCTGTGCTGACATGGACTCCCTCCCTCCAGCTGAGTCTTCACTGAGACTGGGGGACCGTGCCCCTCCACAGACTCCTCCACTAGAATTTGAGGCATTTGCCCCGATTTTGCCTGAGGAGAGCAGCCATGTTCTCCTGAACTTAGTTTCTTGGTTCTGGACCTGCTGCGGTGGGATCGGCTAAGGCGGCTGGGCCGTGGCAGTTGGGGGCTGGGGGAGCGGGACCAGGACTCTGTGTCTGAGGACGGTGGTAGGACAGTCAGCGTTGGGACAGCCAGAGTAAAAACCCCTGGTCTCACAGGAGAGGTCATGGTCATCCTCACAGCTTACAGTTTGTTTTAAGGCTCAGCACCACAACAACAATGCTGCCTCTTCAGTCTGATCAGGTGTTTTGGGAGGGTGAGGGGGTCATACGGAGTGTCTGAAAAATCAGAAAATATGAAAATCTTGTCTCTGCCAGAACAGCGGGTGAATCCTTTCCCCTGTGAAGTATGATAAAAAGTCCCACCTGAAGAGGAAAAAAAATCCACCCAGGCAAGAAACCCACAGATAAGTTTAAAAACTGTGGTGGTGGTGGGGTTACACTTTTAGACTTAGTCGGAGGTTCAGCAGAAGCTTTCCAGTCTTTCTCCACATCCGTTCTTCAGCCAGTCTCCAGCCTACATCCCTCTTCTTTCTCATACAGCAGCTTTTCCCGTTTTCTGCAGTAATCTTCCTCTTCATTCCTATCATTCCATCCCAAGCTTCAGGCATGCTCCTTTAGGATCCATTTCATCTCTGCAAGAGCCAGAGCCAAACACACATCTGTTTGCTACCTGAAGAGTGGAAAAAGCTGAGACCTGGCATTAAACCTGCCATCCCACCTCTAAACATGTAACTGAATGTTCTCAGCTGAATTTTCCACCAACTGGCATATAGATGGTGAGATTAGGATTATGTCTGTCAGCCCTTCTCCTGCCTGCTCTGGCAGCTCTAGGAAAATCAGGTGTCATGTGACAACCATGTTGATTACCTCCTGCTCCTGTTGCAAGGCTAATCGATAGGGCTTATTTATGTTATCTGTAATTCTGTATTTTTAGAACTGATCACTTTTAAAATTTTAGTGTCAATATTTATGATAAAAATTCTTTAAAGTAACCCAGATGTAGCCAGACTTCAGACATTGTGGCTTCATGTGGATGTTGGTGCAGAAAATGATTCAAATCAAGCACAAAGTAAGTGCATGCACAACACACACACACACACACACACACACACACACACACACACACACACACACACACACACACACACACACACACACACACACACACACGACCTGATGCCTCCTACCAAGGTTACGTAAACTCAGATAAACCAGCACTGATGTTCAGGGTCAGTACTGGTATCGTGTCTGTGCACAGCCCTGACCTTCAAATAACGACAATTAGCGAAACACCATTTATTTTAATTCCTGATTAAAAGTTATCCATCCCTGATCTCCTGCAGGTATTTCAGCCCGAGTACTAACCCCAAACATCCTTGTCCAGCTCATCTAGAGAAACTCCCTGATGTTCCCAGGACTCTGGAAGTTTCAAACGTCTGCTCTGGTCCTAGATCCTATGGCGCGATGCTGAGTTCACGGACCAGGTTAAATGTCGGATTTCATACAGCTGTGTGGTGTGTTTAAGGACCAGGTCAAAATCCAACATTTGGAACTGTCAAATACTTTTAGGGTTTCAAGTCAAACAATCACTGATTAGGTTCTCAAGAGCATTTTGAGAGTGTATCTACATTTGAAACACACTCGGGTTGTCTAACAGAAGCGCGCGCGCGCGCGCGTGTGTGTTGTTTGCCTTCAAAGCAGCCACCTCCAGAGCAGAGCCTCATGTGATCTGTTTGAACAAGAACAATCTTGGCACCAGCATGTTTGTCCAGAGTAATCTCCGTTAATCTCCGAGCTGCCCTGATCTGTTTTACAGCCGTCAAACTCAAACAATCTCTGGTGTCTTGAGGAGCAACACAACCAGGCCAAAAACTCACCCGAACCAAACACATACTGATACCGAGGGTTACAACTCCCCGACTGGGTTTGTGGGTCAGGGTGAACACCTCAAACCGACCGGTACACGGACCGAACCGGGCGGCGTTTGAGCAGCTAGAATCAGAAAGTTCCTCCGGAGCTCCTACCTCCCATTGGACGAGTTTCCTGCGTTTCTGCCGTCCAGTTCGGCCTCGAAGGCGAGCCGGGCCACGGTGGAGCGGGAGGTGATATTAAAATCCACTTTTTCACAAGAACACATCAGCATTCTCAGACGTGAGGAGGAGGCATCTACCGGCAGCTGCTAACCGTTAACCGCTAACGACGGAACCCCCCACCTCTCAAAGGCCCAAAGGCTCAGCTGCACAGTTTATATTCCGCCAGAGAAAAGTCAACCCTGATATCTCCCATTGTCTTTTTACAGCAGCCCTTTAAAGTCCATCTGTTAGGCTTACTTTACAGCTAGGAGCCGAGTTTTAGCTCAGCATCCTGGCGAAACTAACTCGGGTTAAAGTGCCTGACAAAAGCGCTTTTTGTCAAAAAGTGAAAAGAAATCGAAGCCAGCTAACAAGAGGAGGAAGAAGGAGGGGTCAAAGAGGGTCACCTAAACCACAAAAAACAATCTGGTTTAATTTGACTACAAATACAAACTCAAATAGAGTTTCAAAACAAAAATCTAACTCATGGTTTTAAAAAATGACCACCTGTTAAACAAAGTCAAAAAGTCTCAAAACCCAAACTAAACGCGCACCCCTCCAGACAAACTTTGTGGTACAGTCCAGGAAAATAACTGTCTTTGGAGATGTGGCGAGACCAGGGCGAGTCGGTACAAGGAGGTGTTTAATTCTAATGAAGTTCGTCTAATATCAATTAAAAACCCTATTTTCAACTACTTTAATATTAGATAGAACTAATTTTATATGTACATAAGCAGATTGAAACGTCCTTGCTCCTGTTTAAGATATAACTTTACAGTTTGCATCTTTTTCTATCAGTTCACATTCACATGAAGCCAAAATGACAAGTTTAAAAACTAAACAAATATTAACAAGTACAGAACCCCCTTCCCCCACCCCTCATTAAATACATTTCAGTCAACATGAAGAGAGTAAAATCCAATAAAGGTAACATCCTGACCTCTTGTGGTTAAAATGGTTTGTGCATTAACTTTTACTACATTTTCAAAACTGTGGAAGCATTTTTCTGCCAACTAAAAGAAAAAAAAAGTCACATGTTACATCAAAATATGGCCTTTTAAATATTTTTATGAAAAAATAAAAAGTCAAACTTCAGAGCTTGTGAGAAGGAAAGTGCATTGCTGTCACCCTATCAAAGTAAAATCCAGTTTTTGATATAATAACATTAAAAGTTTTTTGTGCGAACAAAATGTTTTATGAAATTTCAACAAATACACTGACCACGATTTAGCAACAAAACATTATTATTTGAAGGACATATATCATATTGTAATAAGGTGATAATAGGTGCTATTGTTAAAAAAATCATCAGCATGTATTTTGTAATAATGTGGAAACATTCTGTTAGAACGTGAAAAGTATATTGGAAGACCATAAAAATATTGCATTATAACTTGAAATAGATAATATTCAATTGAATTTTTTTTTTATAATTTGAGAAACATTTTATTTTGAAAGGATGGCAGAAATGCAACGTTTTTTTATCACTGGAGAAGCACTGCTAATTTAGAAATTCTAAGGCATAACAAAAAAAAAAAATACAAAGCTGTAATTCCGATTCTGAAAGATACAATTTGAGATTATTGGTCAAATTTCTATAACACAATCTAAAAATGGAATGTAATTGAAAGTCTCGTTTATGACTTATAAAGTCTCAGTCATGAATTTCATCTTATAACAAGGATTTTAAGTCAATTTAGACATACCATGTTTCCATTTTTTTCTTGCAAGTGGCATCAGCAGCTTCCATACAAACCAGAATAACTAAACAATAATGGTAAGAATCGGTGTGGTGAGAGTAAAGCAAAGTGAGTTCTTACATTTAGCACCCTGCAGCATCATCGTTTCATTTGATCCCTCAGATTCACACAGATTAGATTTCTTCACCAGGAAACAACAGCAGAAAGAAAAAGTCACCTTGACCGTAGCTGGAAAAAATACAAACACATTTCAGAAGATGCACACATTTCATGAATAAATTATATTTCAATGTTTCTGAAGGAGAGTTTTTTTTTGTTTGGAGATTTCAGATTCAATTTAGAAACACATTTTAATCAAAGTCAGCAGCAGATTTGTTGCAGCTGAAACTGTTATTTTGTGTTTCTGCTACAAAAGGAACATGATGCATTTTTAGCTGTTTTTAATACCCTAAACAGTAAAAACAAAACAGCAACATCAAATATTTTCTCAGTGAATAAAAAACTCTGAACTAAATTGATTACACATGAGCAAAACAAGACTAAATCTAACCATGTAAATGTTGCCATAATTGTTATCAGATAATTGGACTCGGTAGACATAATTTAGTGGATTAAAATAGTCTTCACACTTTTGTTTTTCTGCACAGAAACACCATTATTTTTAAACATTTTACACATTAAAGTCTTCCACATGTTGATGCTGAGAATTCGCAGAACACATTAAGCAGATTTTTCAAACTTCAGAAGACAAACTTGTTAATAAAACAGATCAAATCCCAACTGTGACGGAAGCAGAGTCCTATAGATTTTATGATCAAACAGCATCTTGGTAAGAATCTGTCCTTTTACCTGCCTGTCAGTTCTCACACTGAGCCTGCAGCTGCTTCCTTTCAAATCAGCAGCAGAGCATCACAATGACTTGGCAATTTCACATTTTCCATCAGCTTACAAACATCTTCTGTCCTCTTTGTCTCCTGCGAACGCTCCTGTGTCATCAACACTTTCTAACGCAGCAAACATGTGCAGCCGGGGCAACAAAGTGCTTGACTCCGGCTCTCAGGGAGATGTGCAGCCTCCAGCAGCTGAATCGGACGACTGAAACTCAATCTGAGCTAAAAATAAAAGAAACACCACCAGCATAGTGAGAGAGGAGGTGTCTCACTGGCTGTTTTGTCTAATACACACATGCACAGAGGGTTTATCATATGTCAACATTTCCTTGAATTCCCCCTCCCCCCCTGCTGGTGAGCGTGCCACCCTGGGGGAGTTTCTGCTGGTTTCCTGGGGACGGTTCATGATGACTCTGTCTGATTTGTTTAGCTGTTGAAGAGCAAATACAAGGTTATGGAGGGTTTGCACTGTTGTCAGAGGCTCTCTGTGTCACATGGCTGCATCTTTTGCAGCATCCCTGACCCACAAACCACCCAAACAGAACAACGTGTTTCATTTGACCCAACAAGTCACAGCATCAATCATATCAACACATTGTTTTCTCAGCACGCATGTTCTGGCCTTCCCTCCGGTTTTTCAGCCTTGACTTTGTTTTTATCTCACTGTCCAGACGGCCCCGGCTGACCGTCAGATACACAGATAAGAGCTGCTCAGACAGATTTTTATCAAATCTGTGGATTACGTGTTATACTTAACAAAAATGGAAGGGCAGCACATTGAGAAGGAAACCATGAAGTATTGGTACTAATGAAAGGACATTTGTATCCAAAACGAAACAAACAGTTAGAATAACATCCTTTTTCAAGTTAAGAGCAATTAAAGTCACTCAAGTGGAAATTGGCTTTGTAGATATTCTTTGTATAAGTTACAGACAAAATGTGTGTTCAGTCCTGTTCCAAATTCTCCTCCTACCAGTTTAGGCGTAAACATTTTAAATGCATTTATCTGCATCAACAGTTTTTGCACCATACCAGCCAAGGGCCGCACAGAAACCATCAGAGGGCAACTGATCGCCCATGGGCCACACTTTGGACACCCAAAGAAACACGACGATAGATTCTGTTCAAACTACAAACAAGTAAATTGACTAAAAATATAAAATAATAAAAGCAATTAGTTTCTGTTATTGAGTTGTTATTGTCTCTCGTGAGCAGAGGTGGACTGGCCTAATCTGGCATTTAGGAGATTTAAAAAAATTATGAGCAAGAAAATGATTTCTGAAGCTGCCTCACTCAAAGAAAAGCTCTGATTGGTCAGCCCTTGTGGCCTGATCAGGTTCCGCCTACTATCACATATCATTAAGTGTTTGCAAAAGTCACGCGATCTGCACTTTTAGAGTTTAGACAATAGTTTCTTCTTCTTCTTCTTCTTCTTCTTCTTCTTCTTCTTCTTCTTCTTCTTCTTCTTCTTCTTCTTCTTCTTCTTCTTCTTCTTCTTCTTCTTCTTCTTCTTCTTCTTCAGGCAAATCAAAATCAGTCAGGTTAATTTTATTCTGTGAGATTTATAAAAGCAGAAAACACAAATGACAAATTTAAGGTTTTCACAAGCAAGCAAACAAATCATCAAAGAAATTAGTCACTTGCATTGAAAAAGTGGAAAAAATATTTAAAAACTTCAAAACCTGTGATATAATGATTCCAGGAATCTTCAGAACAAGAAACCAGGAGTAACAGCATCGCTGCCATATTGGGTGGGTTCCTCGCTCTCCAAACCCAACTGGAGTCAACGCAGAGTGAGCAACTATGCCCATTTGTGTAGCCTACAGCTGAAAAAAACGGTGCTCTACTGAAAACAGATCACACAAGATTGTTTTTGACTTTTCGCCATCCCATTCTGCTTCTGTTCTATTCTGTTAGTTAATCAGAATTCTCATGGGACGGGCTGGGATCAGAATTCTCATGGGACGGGCTGGGATCAGGCTTCTGCTCTGGTTGGTTGTTGTTGTGACAGATCTCATCATCTCAGGTTTCTTTATAACTTGACTCGTTTCACACCAGCTAAATTTAGCCGCCTTCGAGTCAGACCAATCTGCAGGGTGAAGCTCCAAAGCTCCACTTGTCTGGAAACAGTCTCCGAAGTCTGAGGAGTTCAACGATGAAGCTGTTCACCATGACGACTGTGGAACCAGTCAGGAACCAGGAGGAGTAATCTCCTTCTGTAAAAACTTCTGGGAATGTTTGGAGTTTATAAAAGTTCAGCAGAAATGATTCTCTGTTTGTGTTTCGTGGCTTTCTTCTGTCTTCTGGGTGAGTTTTAGAGTCCAAACTGGTTCTGCTTGCTGATAAAGTTCTTATGAGGATTTTTTAAGTTTTTGTCTGCTTTTGAACGGGTAAGAGATCGGAGAGGTTCTGAAGGTCTAGTTTGACAGACTGAAGGATTTACACATTCCTGCTCCTCCATTAAAGAAAAGATCAGAAAATCTGGAGGACTCAGGACCAAAGAGAAGGTCTTATCTGGACCACCAAGACCAAGGTCTCTGATCCCTCAGACAGAACCACATCCAGAACTGTCTTTCATCACAGCAGAAATGAACACTGATGTTGACCCGATCCAGAGGAAGGGCCAACTTCCCTGGGCTCCATCTGGGATGAATTAGAATCATAGTGGAAAATGGACCAGGTGGATCTGTTTTAGAGAGGAAAAGGAACATCTACATTGGTTTCAGCTCCAGGTCTGAAAGCCCTATTCTGTTGGTGTGGGCTGGGATCAGGGTTCTGTTGGTACGAGCTGTGATCTGGGTTTTATTGGCGTAGATTGGGATCGGGGGGTTCTGATGGTACCGTTCACACAGAAAGGTCCATCAGAGATTTTATAGGAACATTTCCTGCCCTCAGAACCTCAGCTGGTCCAAGAGCCACACTCTGCTCACATCACACTCCTTAACGGGAACAACACAACTAGACCAGATCCTGACCCATTCATCCCCTAAGGTTGATGTGTCAGAACATCTGAAACTGGACCAGGATCAGGTTTTAGTAGGACGAGTTTCAGCGGAACCAGATGGATTCTAATAAAGAAAACATCAGAATCCTAAAGTCTTTCATTAATTTTTTTCTGCACTTTTATATTTATTTTGTGGCATTAATTAATTCCAGATAAATAATTATTTTACAATTTGAATAAATTTGAAGGTAGTGAAGTTCTGCCGGTTCTGGGAGTGAAGCTGAAGTGAAACAAAGTTAATGTGTAAAAATTAGACTCTTTGCCGATTACATCATCTGATCCGGTTGTTTAACCCTGACTCCTCCCATCCCATCCTGAAGCGTCTCCGTGTGATGCCGGCTGTGCCGAGGTAGACTCTCTGACTGAAGCCGTGGCAGGAGAAGGATTCCTGCTCGGTTGCATCTCCTGTAAGAAGAGAGAAGAGGTTTCGGCTTGGGCCACAGTGGACTGGTACTTTCGGTCCAAGGAGGAGGACGAGTTCAGTCATGTGAGTTCAAAAGCGTTCTGGGAATCTAGTTTGGGTTCTTGATCCTTGGCAGGAATCCATCCATGAGCTGTCTTTCTCCCAGATTTTCCACTATGACCACCCCACGGCCAGCATCCTGGACGAGGCCTTCAGCGAGCGGCTGCAGTGGCGGGGCACGCTGGACCAGGACATCCAGGTCGGTGCCGTTTACATCCAGAACATCACCTTCAACGATACCGGCACGTACCGCTGCACCTTCCATCGGACCCTCTTCCTGCCCCGGAGCAATGAGAAGGTCACTGTGGAGAGGGTGGTGGAGCTCACTGTGGTGGCTACAGGTGAGGTCAAAGGTCAGATTCAAACAGGATAGTCAGATGTTTCACAGACACACTCATGGAAGGATTTATTTAGAAGATTTTTTTTAGATTTTTCCTCCAGATGTGAAGAAGAAATCTGCAGAGAAATGAATTTTTTCTTCTTAAAGTCACATGTTATTTTGTGTTTTCAGCCAAACGCGGGCTGGTTTCTGTGGTGGCGGAGATCATGATGTACGTGCTGATCGTGGTTCTGCAGCTGTGGCTCATCGCTGTCCTGGTTTATTGTTACAAGAAGATCTGGAATGAGCATGAAGACAGAGAAGCCAAGAAGGCTCAGAAGGCCCAGGAAGCGTGGGTTTGAAATTTAACAGGATAATTTCAGTTGGAGGTTTGTTAGCTGTTGGATTTTATTTTATGTTCTGTTTTGTTTTTCAGACTTTTGGAGATGAAGGATAACTGCACCAAAGTCCAGACAAAGGACTGAGCTGGTCCCGAGGGCCACCACCTTCAGAGCAGCAGACCGGTGTTTATTAAACCATCATGGCTTGGATTACATCATGCAGCAGTTAAATCTTAGTTTTATGCTAAAGATTTTTGCCTTTAAAAGGGAAATATGAACAAATGTGACTTTTATGTAATGATTTTCTTTCTGTGAAAAGTGAATTTGTTTTCTGAAAAGTTGACGTCCTCAGATTTCCTGTTAATAACTTTATTAACCCAGATCCAAGTTTGCAAATCCAATAAAGTGTTTTTGTTTAAAATCTCCTCCTTTTTTCTGACGAGGGAAAAGATGTTTGTAACAACAGATGATTTAATAAACAGATGTGAATAAAATCAAACACACACACACATACACTTTCTCTTTCTCTCATTTGCACGAACACACACATACACACACACATGCACACACACACACACAAAAACACACACGTGCACACACACACACACACACACACAGTCTCGTTCTCTCTCCCACACACATACACTCACACACACCCGCCACCCACACACACATGCACATGCACACACACCCACTCACACACAAAAACACTTGCACACACCTCTCACACGTGCACACACACACTCACGCACACACACACACACACACACACTCTCTCTCTCTGTCTCTGTCTCTCTCTCTCTCTCTCTCTCTCTCTCTCTCTCACACACACACACACACACACAAACACACACACACACACACACACACATACACAAACAAGCACACACATCCACTCACACACAAAAACACACACGTGCACGCACACACACACTCACACACAAAAAACACACATGTGCACGCACACACACAGTCACTCTCTCTCTCTCTCTCTCTCTCTCTCTCACACACACACACCCACTCACACACAAAAGCACACATGCACACACACACACACACACACACACACACACACACACGTACACGCACACACACACACAGTCACTCTCTCTCTCACACACACACACATGCACACACAGTCTCTCTCACATGCACGTACACACACACTTTCCCTCTCTCACATGCACGTACACACACACACTTTCCCTCTCTCACATGCATGCGCACATGCACAAACACACGCACGCACATGCACACACACACACACAATCGCTCTCTCACACACATTTGCACGCATGCACACATATCTCTCTCTCTCCCTCTCTCTCTCTCACACCCACACACACCCACACACACACACACACACACACACACCCACACACACACACACACACACACACACACACACACACACACACACACACACACACACACACACACACACAACACACACACACACACACACACACACACACACACACACACTTGGAGGACATCTGAAGGAGGTTGTGTTGTAATTTAATCTCATCTCCATTCTTCTGCAGACTGAAGGCAGCTTTGTTCTGCTGCAGCTCCACAGAAACACAAACTTATAAATCATTCCCATCATAGTAAAACTCTCCACCTTCTAAAATGCATCATCTTCATCATCAGAGTGATAGTGAAGAAGATGACCACAGAGCATCCTTAGGATGAGTTGTGTTTGTTGTTCTTTAGCTAAACCTACAGCGAGCAGAAGCTCTGACCTTCACTGTGACCTTCGCTTTCATTAAACCTGTTGACGTGATGAACTCCGGTTCTTCTCCACGTAAAACCATGAGGGCTGAGAAGGCTGGACGTTTTCCCTTCAGCAGACCTGAAGCTCCATAAAGTTTGAGATGATTCCTGTCTGATCCCAGGTCCTCCACAGGTAAGATGCTGGACAACAAGAAAACATTTAAACTGGAAATGATTTCTTATTAGTTATTATTTAAACTGACTCTGATCTCAGGTGTGTTAGAAAATCCTCCTAACGAGCCGAAGGCCTCAGGAAGCAAAGCTCCAACATTTGTTCAGATTTTATGTTTGTTGCTGTTTTTGTTTAACAACTTCTCATATTTGCTGAATCTCATCTTTTGAATTCTATATTTTTAGATAAAAATATTCAGGTTTAATAATTTACTGAGTTTATTTTCAGGCTCCAAGATTACGTTTATGATTGTTTTTGTTTCCTTGTAGTTTAGTTTTCTTCTCTGAGTAAAACACAGATGAGCCTCATTCAGAATCTAAGTAGTTGTATCTTAAAGCTAAAGTCTAAATGTGAACGTGGCAGTTTAAATATCAGTCTGCATCAAAAGATAAAGTAGCAAAACTAAAGCAGGGTTAAAACATTTGGCCTCTAAGGAATCAGAACCCTATTGGTTTACAATGTGTTTATTTAAAGGCTTATTTTTGAACAATGTTTAAAATGTTTTATAATATTCTGTATATTATAAGTATATTACAATAATTTAAATGTGCATTTATCTTATACAAACTAATGCAGACATGTCTGCTTCTTCATGGTTTAATGTTTCACTTTTATTCTGAAAGTCTCTGACTGAATAAACGTTAAATGAACACAAAAGAGAAAAATAATAAACGTTTGTTTTTAGTTGCAGTTTCCTTGGCGTCCATCAGAGGTCAGTCATGTCGCACATCAACAGCACCGAGCTGCAGTCTCTCCTGATCTCCCTCCTGCAGCACTGCCTCAACAGCTCCAGGTTTCTGTCGCCTTCACTCTCTCAGAACTACACTATCCATCAGGCAGTGCAGCAGACAGCTACAGCCAGAGGCCACTCTCAGCCTGAGGCGGTTATCTACATCCTCCTGGTGGTAGGCATGTTCAGCTTCTTCACCTTTGGCATCATGCTCAGCTACATTCGCTCCAAGAAGACGGAGAGTTCTCAGGACCCGTACCACCAGTACATCGCTCACGACTGGGCCACGGTGGTGGTGCCATCCAGGGCCGTAGCCGAGGCTCTGCAGAAGGAGGCTGACGGCAGTGGGGCCCAAAGCAAGGAGTCAGTTGTCATCTGCAACCCTGCCGTTCAGCAGAAGCTGGAGTGATGGAAAGGTTTCAGACACTTTGCAAGTGGTCTGGATCAGCAGGTCTCCAGCTTTTCCCAGGAATTCCACTGGAATTATTCAGGTTTAAAAGCTGAACACCAGCCAAAGTCCAGGAAGACTCTTAAAAGTCCTCCAGAAGGTCTGGAGAACTGTTGATTCAGAATCACTTTCATTGAGGCATCTGGGAAGAAAAACTGGTTTATAAATATTTTCTAATATGACAACAAGTCCAGGTTAGATCGTGTCGGTCTGTTTTCTCCCACTGTAGCTACACAGAAACAACCTCTAGCACCTCCTGGTGTTCTAGTCTGACCAAGACTTTCAGAACCTTCTGGATCTTTGACTCAACACCTGATTACAATCCTGCTGTTCTCTGATTAAAAGGCACCACTCAGCTGGACTTTTATTTTGACTTTAAATAAGCAGATGAACGTGTCATGTTGAAGCTGAATAAAGAGCTCAGATGAAACGTGTCTGTTGTGTTTAAAACAAGCTCCAGCTTAGTGTCTCATCAATCAATCAATCAGTCAATCAAATCTTAGTTTGTTCTGTAAAATTAGAAGATGGCTAGTTTAATTTGGTTTTTCAGGATTTATTTCTGCAGGTCTGAGCTCATAAACAATAAAGGGTCAGAACCGATACACGGGTCGTTGTCAGATCCTGGACATGAAGAGTTCATAAGGCATCATTTTAACAAAACATAAAACAACTTCCTCCTGAACATGATGTGATTTATGTTAAAACAACAAATAAAATATTTTACTTTAGCTTAATTTAAATAATTTTACTAATGAAATCTAGTTTTCAAGCAAAGGTCACCAACCCGATGATGATGATGATGATGTTTGCATCATCGTGAATCTGATCATCTTCCTGCGTCTTTAACACGTTTAGTCCTGCAGACGCCTGATTAAGTCTCACGGATTTAGATCAGACTCTGGAGCAGAATTCCCAGAGGAGCTAAGATTGTGTTGTTTTTGGTTCTGCTCATTTCTGAATTAACAAACATTTAATCAACGGAAGAAAAACTGTTTTTCATCCTGCGACTTTTTAAAACTGTTCCATGAAATGAGTGATCGACCCGTGCCGGCCAGAACAATCCGGGATCCTTCTTCTATTATTTACACAAAACATCGTCAGTGCTCTGGAGCGGAGAAATCTTCAACCTCAGATCGATTAGGATGTTGGTTCTGAACCGGTACTTCTGGTACCAGTTTGAGACATTTCCTCTAACTCTTCAGCATCGGAGGAATCTCTGCATCCAGGACACCAGTCCCCGGCTTTTAGCTCTAGTCTTGCTTGAAGCGTTTTCTCTCTTTTTCTCCTCCTTCCTCCTTTGACGCTCCTTCTCTTTGTCTCTCAGCTGATCCATTCGGCGCTGCTCCGCTCCTCTCACGGCTCGGTCCAGCTCTCGGACAAGACTGAAGTGGACCATCTGCATGCTGAGCATGGGAACTATCAGGTTGTAGTTGTCCACCATCTTGTTGAGTTTCATCAGATCCTCCTCTACAGATGCGCACAGCTGCTCCCATTGGTTTTGTTCTGAGGGGGTCATCGGGTCGCTGAGCCGGGCCCTCCCCTCTAACAGCCGGTTTCGGATCCGATCTACAGACTCTCTGATGTCGCGCTGTGTCACCACCCATGAAGGCTGGTACCCATTGTCGATCAGGATGCGGTTCAGGTTATGGGTCATTGGATCGGCGTATGGGTTGTACTCAAACTTGCTGAGGGGTTTCCCCGCTCCACTCAGGTTCTGGAAGTCCCCCCGAGCCATGGACTCCTGGATTAGGTCCTCCACGAGCCGCTCCACCGCCTGCGTGATCTTAATCTTCTGACTTCGCTGACGCATATCCCGTTCCACCATGGCTCCGTCTGCTGCCGCCGCCCTCTCGTGCTCCTTCTGTCTGTAGTTCAGAACCTGCTCAGCCGCCCGGTCCACACGGATCTGCCGGTACTGACGCTCCCGCTGGCTGGGCGTTCCCATTCCCACACCATCATAGCTGAGATAGTGTCTGTGCTGCAGAGCGGCTCCTCTGGATTTCTCCTCCTCATTCTCCTCATCCTTCACTCCACCTGCTCCAACTTTGCTCTGATGGGCCAGAACGGCCCGGTAAGCCTCCTCAACCCGAGCAAACAGAACAGCATCGGCTGTTGCTGCCCCGGAGTCCGGATGGTAGAGCTTGGCGAGGCGCAGATAGGCGTCCTTCACTTGAGCCGGGCTCCTGTGGCCCTCGTCAGGCAGCTGCAGGCGTCGGTAGCTCTCCTGGAGACTGTGGCTAATGGGGCGACTCGAGCTGAGCAACCTGAAAACCTCAGAGTGTCGAGTCACAACGAGCAGGAATCCCCAGTGGCGGAGGTCGCTGCAGGGTGCAAGAAGGAGGCTGCTCCTCATCTCTGATACGTTCCTTAGATCTGAAAAAGCAAAACTTTATGTTCATCGACATATATATATGGGTTAGAGTCAAGTTCATCGTCACAATCACAAAAAATTACTTTGTGTTAAACATCCTAAACTTTCAGCTTTTCATTATAAATAGTTAAAAATGGGACATTAGTTTTTAACTTTGTTTACAGCCCGTGTCCTTCATCTTTATATTTATTAGATTTTCTGCATCTTATTTTAAAACGATCATTATTTTACTAAAACTTTATTACTTGTTTTAAAATGAAGTTTAAACAACACAGTGTTTTCAGCTCAACAACAACAACAACAACAAAGATAAAAAGGAAACATATTTTGTTATTTCTAAATAATATTTTTTAAAACCTAACCTTTAAAACGATTAACTGAACTGAACTCATAAAAAACTACAATCACAAACCTACTCAGGGCAGATTCAGGACCAGCAGCTCTCCCCCATGCCCGAAAGGTTCTTTTTCAGGTGTTTTAACCAAAAATATTCATGATTTTCTATGATTCTGAGATTTTCAGGTCACCTGTGTTTAGTTTCCTGGTTTTTTTTCTTCTGTGGTGGTTTCCAGCCTTGTTACGTTGACGCCCCCTTCTGTCTGAATAAGGATGTGCAACTCTGGAGAGAATAAAACGCGATGGAAGAGTAAAAAAAAACAAAAAACATTTCACTGAAATGTTAAAAAAGGGGCACGTTTATTTTTTTTTAATTAAGTTTATTGTATTTTAACAACAAAAAATGTGAGATCTTGCGTGGAGTCCCCGATTGAGGGAGATTATCAGTGTTCTTTTATGTCTTCCACTTACTAATAATTGCTCCCACAGTTGATTTCTTTACACCAAGCTGCTTACCAATATATTACATATTTTTGTTAATGTCTGATAACACCTGTACACACTTTCAATTTTGAAATACACAACTGAATTAATTTCATGGCTCTTAAGATAAAAACATTGTCATCAGTTTTATTTTAGTAATTTAAAGGAGGATTTATTGGAGCTGCTATTATTATTTATTCTGCTGTTCAGGTGAATACCAAGGCTCCAAACTCACTCAAGGTAAGAGAAAACATCAGTGTGTTTGCTCAAGAGTTCCTGAAACACAATAACAACAACATGTTTTGATCAATGCTGCAAGGAAACCTGCCAATTCACACTTACACAATAAAAGTTTTTCTTTAAAATTCTGTTATTGTGGACATCTTAAACCCATCTCAGTTTAGTGGTCTATGGTCATGAGCTTTGGGTAGTGACTGAAAGAACGAGATCGCAGATCCAAGCGGCTGAAATGAGTTTTCGCTGCATTCTCATTGAGTGAGTAGCTCAGTCTAGATCTGCTGCTCCTTCACACCAAGAGGAGCCTGTAGGATGTCCCCTGGACACCTCCATGGTGAAGGGTTTGGGGCATGTCAATCTAGGATGAGACCTAAGGTAAGACCCAGGTCACGCTGGGGGACTTTTGGGGGTTTTCCAGCAGAACTACACATATCAACTCAGATGGGTTCAGTTCGGTTAGAAAGCCTTTTTCAACATCCCTGGTATCTTCTATCTACCCCCAACTTCTTAGTACCGCCTTTCTTTATGGGTTCCAAGAGGGCTGAGCCAGTCCAAAAATGCGATGTCAGCAACTGTTGGTCACTGATACGCTAGTTGTACAGTCACTGGTGATTCCAGAGCTTTCTGCCTGATATGTGCGTCCTTTTCCAGTTTCAGAGTCTGACAAAATGCCACTGTCAATGCTGTGCTTTGCTGGGTTTTTAGGTGACATACAGTGTTGGGCATATTACATTAAAAAAGTAATTAGTTACTTAGCAAAGTAACTGTGATGTTGTTTTTATGATTTATAATGCAATTCCATTATATAATATCTATAACATCAGAGATTTTATACCTGAATGATTCTTACTATCTAGAATAAAAGTTTCAAATATCTGAAATGTTCATTTATGGTTCTTCTGTTTGATCCAGAGTGATTCCACTCTTCCCAGGGTGGGTGTGATGTTGAAGTGTCCAGCTGAACTGAACCTGTTCAACAAATCCTCTTTTTCATTGTTGTTTTATTACTTTATTTATTTTTGTTTGTTTGTTTAATGACTTTGATTTGTGTTCACTCAAAAACATTTTTATTTATACAATATATTTGATTTTGAAATGAAAACAAATCAGGTTAATTCAAGGGCATTTTCCAGAGAGTTTGCCCAGTCTGTGTCAGTTGTGTCCTTGAGCAAGGACGAGACACGTCACCCTCCCGCCTGCTGGTGGTGGGCGGAGAGACCCAGGTGAGTCCCAGAACACCTGTACGATTTAATCATCTGTTAGTGCTTGTATGTATGAATAAATCTTTAAAGTCTGGTCCTGAAGAGGTATGCCTTTATTTTGCCATGAAACAGTTATTAAACAAATCTTTTTTCCTCCTCAGATGAACACAGCATGGATTGTAATTCCCCAAGGATGCCAGAGGTACAAAAACTTCAGATTCTTCTGACTTCTGTACTTTAATAAGATTTTTTTGTGCGTTGGGATGAGATTTTATGTGTTTATTTAAATAATTTCTTTCAGGTAGCAAACATGACATCAGTGAAACAAAAGCTTCTGAACATGCTTGATGAGCTGACAAAGGACCAATTAATAAGGTTCAAATGGTTTTTGAAGGACATGACTTCCAACCTAACAACGAGTCTCCTGGAGGACAAAACTGCTTGTGATCTGGTGGATCTGATGGTGGACATGTTCAGCTACCAGGCAGTGGAGAGCACAAAGGAGGTTTTCAGGAAAATAAACAAAAATGATCTGGTTGGAAAACTGACTCAGTCAAGGTGAGATGTGACGGAGATTTGAAAAATAGAAAATCTGGTTTCATTCAAAAGCTACGTTCATAAATCACTTTTCATTTATTTCTGTCGGTGAGTATGTGTTAGGGTTTGAGAACACGGGTAGAAGGTGTTGTAGGTGTCTGAAAAATCGTGGTGAACTCAGTTGTGTGTGATTGTATCTTTGTGTTCTCAGATGAATACTGACGTTTCCATCTGGGCTCTGTGACCACTCGGACCATCTGCTGAACACTAGTTCTTCATTCTCAGGATTCAAAAGATCTCAATACATTGCTTGGAGGCAGAAAATGACACTGCATGGTGAAGAATTGGGGATTTGTGTTTTATAACATTTCATAACATTTTTATTATGTTCATTTTAATGAAAAAAACATATTCTTAAGAGAAAATTTTCAGGCTTTCGTCTTTGCACTCATCTTAAAATGATACTTCAGAGAAATATGGTTGTGTGTGAATCTTAGGTAAGATAAGAAATCTCTTCGTTGTTTCTCTGTGGGGACATTTTTTGTGGACAGGCTTGAATATCATGAATGCAGATTCAAGTCTGACATGGCTGCTGTTGGATCACGTCCCTGACTCCTAACGTCTGTCTGGTTTTTGGGTTATAAAAGAGGAGCGGAAAATGGTTAGAATAGGAGGTGGATGAGCAGCTCTCGTCAACAACAGATGGAGTAAACCAGGACATGCTATTGTTGTCTCAGCAGCCCAGATGTTGAGCTGTGAGTAAGAGTCTGCCAGATGCTGTTGAGGTGGTGTCATGTCATCGGTACGAAGTTGCTAAGCAATACACAACCCTTAAATCAGAGGCAATATTTGGAGATTCTGCTGTTGCTTCAGTGTCATCGTCCACATCAGGTGGTGCTGGTGCTCACATTTCACATGACTCAGTGAAATATTGCTGCTGTGTCTTGATGCTGACGGTCTTTTGTATTATTAGTGATCAAGTCATGGTGTCCCTCAAGGCTCAGTTTTGGGCCTCATTCCATTCCTGTTAGATATGAACCTTCTTTTATGAACATGTTGGAGTTTTCTGGTGGAGAAAGTTGGAGGGTGTCAGTCCTCGAGGCCTGTGCCGACCAGCTGTGGGATTCTGCTGCAGCCCTGGGGTTTCTAAAGTCCTTTTGATTTTGACTTGAATTAGATTTCATCAAAATGTTAGAATAGAAACACGAAGAATTAAGAATTAATGAAAATAATGATGCAATCCAAACTAAAGAGGACATTTTCAGAAGTTTTCCAACACCCTGCTTTGTGTCTGAGGAACGTTCACATTACTGACTGAATATAATTTTAAAACAGCTTGCCCCACGTTACTGGTTTACAGATGCTCACTTTTTAGAAAGTAGAAACATGTTTCTTGTCTGTTATTATAAAAGTTTTCATTCTTTTGTATGAAAAGATCTAATCAGGCATCAAGTTTTTTATTAAAATTAGAACAAAAGATAGTGTTAAAACATTTTATTGAATCTAATGAAAATATTTTATGAAAAGAATGTTTTCCACATACATTCTGTGCTCTTTGTTTAAAAAGAAAATTCACTTCAGTATTTAATTTCCTTCAAGGTCTCTGATGAGGTAAGGCTCCAGATCTTTGAGGATTATGTAGAAGATATCTTTGCAGGCTCTGGCAGCTCTCAGAGGACCATCGTAGACCGCTCTTATCTTGGCCTGGTTGGTGGATTTAGAATGGATCTCAGCATAAACTTCATGGTTTATCACTTTTTCCATTAAAAGCTTGTCCAGGATGGGTCCAACGACGCTCACCCTCTGGATCAACTCGTTTCTGTGTTTGTCCACAAAATGTTCCTCTGAAAAATACAAACCAAATAGATGCTTAGTCCCCGTTACTACTGTTATTCGGAACTAAGCTATTTAAAGTAGAGAAGAGTTCAACCAAAGCAAATCTGCATCATTTATGTAGAATAGAAGCATACTGGTTTGTTTTTAGGATTTTTATTAAAGTATTGATATAAAATTATTAAAATCTGGATAGAAACAAGCTACAATCGTGTCACTTTTGTACACAGAAGCAGGTTAGTTTGTATACAGTGTGTTTATAATCTTGTGAAAATTAAACCATTTGATAGTGGCAGGTTTTCTTGGCTAATCTATCTTATTCATTCATGTGAATGCGTGAATGACTGTGTTGTGAAGCACCTTAGGTGGTTGTAAAAGGCGCTATACAAGCACAAGCTATTTACCATATTCTAAAAAGTTTTATTTTGACATAAGATGAAACATTGGGTACCCCACTCATAGGTAAAGCACAGATGTGTTCTCATTTCCCTAAAGTCAAATATCTGGATATGTCACCCAGACACAAGGAGAGACAGGATCAGGGCCAGTATGGATCCTTTCTCCCTGATTCTCCAACCTGAGATCTGCAGCTAACTGGCAGGGATGGGCAAAACATGAATATGAACATGAACATACCATAGTATGTTTTCTGATCCAAATGCAGGCTATGGGGTGTAAAGTGTAACTGTGTAAAGCCACTGGTCCCAAGGCATTATGGGTAGCAGGTGTTTGCAGCAGTGCTGATTAGTTTTTCATCTCAAAATAAAGGCTGTAAACATTTTATTATAGCTTTAATTCATCGACATTTAAATTTTAATCTGGGCTCCTCTGTTTGTTCTGAGTGACCCAAACATCCCATAATATGATAGATATAGTAGAATAACTCACCATTAGTGGAGTCGAGGACTGATGAGCGTAAAGCTGCTGCTTTAGATGCTGAAATAACAAAGACTCACAATTAGATTTTTTCAACCAAAATAAAGATGCTGCTAAAATATCACATGACTCTGGCTGTGAAACACTACTATGTATGTCTCTTGATGCTGATGATCTTTTGTATTATTAGTGATCGGATCATGGCATCCCTCAGGGCTCAGTTTTGGGCCTCATTCCATTCCTGCTGTTTATAAGCCTTATAAAACAAGTTTGAGTTAAAGTGACACCAACTGACTTCCCTGATTGAAATAAAAAAATATTAATGAGTGAAACGATCACAGAGATAAACGAGTCTCTAGGTCCAATCAGTAAGTTTGTCATTAAAATGAGAATAAACAGATTTTCCTGCTTGTCACCACTACGTAACACCTTGTGGGGGCGCCATACTCAGAAATTCGGTCATCTTGAGCTGCAGTTTCACTTCCTGAAGGAGAAAACTAGCTGAAGGAGCAAAATAAACTTACAAAATGTTTTTTTAATCAACAAAAGTTTTGGTTAAGTGTGTATTATTTATGACTGACTTCCTGTATCATAACATATTAAAAATGATCCTAGTAATAATGGCAGATATTCACCTGCACTAATACTCAGATTGACTATTTGGGTTGGTTTTTCTTAAGGATATTTTTTATTAAACAAGAATTTTGTTTTGAATTGTTCTGCTTTTTTCCAGACTGGACAGAAAAACTGCTGAACTCTAAACCTGAGTGTTACATCTATTGTCCAATGGTAGGGACTGTGGGCAGCTGGATGGTACGCAGGATTGGAAACAGCTGGTGGATCTGGGCCAGAGACTTTGGTTTCCACCTGAGATTGCATCTACCCACGACCTGACATTGTGTTGTGGTCAGTGGCTCTTAAAACCATTTACATGATCAAGCTCACTGTACCTTGGGAGGATGCAGTGGAGGAGGTTAATGAGTGCAAGATACAGAGGTACACTGAACTTGCAGCTGAATCACAACAAGTTTGATCTGTCGAGGTGGGATTCAGATTTACAACACACACACGAGCTTGATGTGTGGTACCAGCATGATCAGCGGATGGTGATGGATCTCTCCAGAGCTGATGAAAGGGACAGTCAGTGTGGCTCTGGCTTAAAAGAAACAACTCTAGCTGGGACTCAACTGAGTAGATAGCATCTTGGGGGTGAACCCAATTGTGACATAAAACAAAACAGGACAAATGGGGTCTAGTGGTGTCTTTTTCACCACTCTGTAGGTAAAGCAAGATGTGTCCCCCTTTTCCTAAAGTCAAATGTCTCATTATGTCACCCAGACACAAGGAGAGGCAGGACCAGGACCAATATGGATCCTTTCTCCCTGAAATCTGCAGGTAACAAACCTGCCAGGGATGGGTAAAACTAGAATATTATGGTATGTATTCTGATCCATATGCAGGCTATGGTGTATAAAGTATAACTGAATATAGTCACCAGCCCCAACGCATTATGGGTAACAGGTGTCTGTAGCAGTGCTGGTTAGTTTTTTATCTCAAAATAATTTCATCAACATTTAGACTTAAATCTTGACATCTCCTCTGTTACTTATTTCTTCTGAGTGACCCAAACATCCCATAATATGATAGATACAGTAGAATAACTCACCATTAGTGGAGTCGGGGGCTGATGAGCGTAAAGCTGCAGCTTCAGATGCTAAAATAACAAAGACACACAATTAGATTTTTTAAACCAAAATAAAGATGCTGCTGAAATGTCACATGACTCTCGCTGTGAAACACTACTAGTATGTCTCTTGATGCTGATGATCTTTTGTATTATTAGTGATCGGATCATGGCGTCCCTCAGGGCTCAGTTTTGAGCCTCTTTCCATTCCTGTTGTTTATAAAACTTCTTATATGATCAGATTTTCCTGCTTGTGGTGTCACTACTACATAACACCATGTGTAGGCACCAAATTCAGAAATGAAGTCATCTTGAGCATAAGTTTGACTTCCTGAAGGAGATAAGGGGCTCAGGCAGCAAAGAAAAGTATTATTATTATTATTATTTTTTTTACAAAACTTTTAAATTATCTAAAATGCTGATGAAGTATCAGCATCCTAGTATTAATTAGCTTATGTTCACCTGAACTAATACTCAGATCCACTCTTTGGGTCTGTTTAATTCTAAAGAATCTGTTTTATTAAACATGAATTTTGTTTTCATTTTTTCCTGTTGTTTTTTCAGACCAGACAGAAAAAGTGCTGAACCCCTCAAATTAATAAAACATCTGAGCAGATGTATTGCTGATCTTGTTGGTCCTGTTTCAGGTTCTGACTAGAATCAATTTACAATTTATTTCAGTTTTATTCTTTATATTTAGAGTTTATTTAAATGTTTTTCTTTTTAAGAATAGTTCATTAAACATTATCTCCAGCAAACGCAAACTATTCTATATAAGCTTCACTTGTTTTACGGTAAGTATGTGTTTAAGACTCTTATTTTGAAGAGGTAAAGGAAGTAGGCTACCTGCGTTCTGATCATAGACTGGTTCTGATACAGATGTTGCAGCAGGAGTAGCCAGAAAACCAATAAAAGTACTCGGTCTGTTATTTACTCGATGAAAACACAGCGAGAAAAATCTCAACCTACTTCTTAATAGTTTTTTTTTTCATTTCTTACGTTTTTTTCTAATCCCTGTCCTTCATTACCCCCCCCCCCCCCCCACACACACACACACACACACACACCACACAGTGAAACTGAAAGTAAACCTATTAAAGGCAAATAAAAGACCGTAGAGTGTTAAAATGTAGATTTACAACTAAACAAGAAGGTTCCGTGAGATCAAAGTAAATATCAGGTTAACTGATAAACACCCAGCTGTTCTGGCTTTAGTGTTAGTTTAAAAAAAACATCTGTCCAGACGCTTACCGAGTTCGTCTGCGTCTTCACTGCAGCCGATGTCTCTGAGGATCTCTTCGGTGACCTTCAGCGCTTCTATCCCGGTGAAAGTGGAGATCATCACATCTGCAACATCCAGGAAGTTTTTGCCTTCTACTCGGTTCCTCCGCACGCGCGGGTCCTGTGGACGGTCCACCAGCGCGTGGCAGAACTTTTCAAAGTTCTCTTTGGACAGATTCTCCAAGGCGGACCACAGAATCCTCTTTGGTGTTTTAGGAGCCATTTCTCACAGGATCAGATATAAAGCAAAGTTCTGCTTGTTGCTGTTCTCGGATCAGATCCGATCTCCGCTGCGATTCCGGTGATGCGTTCATGAGCTGTCGGAAATATGTAGCTACATTCAGTGAGCATCATGAAGCTAGGAAACCGGTTTGTTCTATTTTGATCCCTTGTTTGGCTTCTTCTAATTCTTTAGATAAAAACCTAAAGAATCATTTGAAGGTTTTACATTTACTTTAATATGCACATTTTATTAAAATAGAAGTGTTTTCACCAGCCTGCATGTTATACATTCAATGTCAGTGGCAATGAAATCAGAGAAATGGATCAGATATTCAGTCATGAGCCTAATCATAAACACACCCACGTGTGGTTTTGGATCCAGATGTTTGCAGATGCTCCATGAAGAGGTTCTGGACCAATTTGTTTGTTCCAGGCAGGTTCTCTTTCTATAGCTCTGGTTTGATGCAGACCCTTCTCTATCGGCGTTTGTCCTAACCATCGACATAGATATATAACATATATCCTAGCGCGCGCTGGAAGGAAGGAGGACGCGTTCATGGTCACTGGGAAAATACAACATAAGTATTTAAAATGTTCTCTCGCTCTCTCCGAATAAAATTCATTTGCTCTAATCTTAAAACTACAGTATGGATGAACGATCATGAATGATTTCATTCTGCATTCTAAATGAGCTGAGAACAGAAAGTCGGTCATTAATATAACAGTAAATGACTCAACGCTGCCTCCTGCTGACCCAAAATAGTAAGTACACGCTTTCAAGATTGTTTAAGGAATTTATTTAGAGATAAACATCATAAATCAGTTAAGCCTTCAGTGGGAGTGGCTGGAAACTGTTTGTTAATCTCAGCAGCCATGGAGGTAGACATGAGTTTTGTCTAAAAATATTCATAATAAAATAAATGCACAAAACTCTACATGTGTTCTTATAAACATTATTTACAAAGTGTCCTCCTGCAGATGCTGCAGCAGGTCTGTAGTGCTTTCTAACTCCCGCAGAACTCCTCATGAGCTCCTGAGCTTTAATCGACTTTCATGGGAAATTAATTTCATGATGTAAAAGTTTTATTTGAGAAAAGTCACCCATGTGTCTCTAAAACACAACTGTTTGATGGATTTATGATGATTATTTTTCCCTGAAATGCAGCATCCGAGTTTCCTGCTGCAGAATCAGCCCTTGATGACAACTCTTTGGTTCCTTTAACCTGAAGAAATGAGTTCCTTGTCTCATCTGTAGAACCGGGTTTCTCTCAGGTGTCTGGGTCCTGAGACCTACTGCGACGCCCACATCCCGCTGCCCTGCTCGGCTGCTGTGACCCCTGCTGTGACCCCTGAAGGCTGCCACGACTCAGAGTTTGTGGGCAACATGTTCAGACTGCTCAGAACCTCCTGTGCCGTTTTTCCCAGCATGCCTTGCATGTCACAGACGAAGCGGTAGACGTAGCGTTTGCCCGCCGTCTTGTGGATGATGTTCTTGTGGTAGTAGTACCGTAGGCCACGGCTCAGCTTCTCGTAGTTCATCTTGGGTTTATTCTTGCACTGACCCCAGCGTTTGGCCACCTGGGCAGAAAAAACACAGTTCAACATTCAAAAGGAATACAGGAAAGTTTATTTTAACAACATAATAAGGATTCAAACTGCTAAACTGAAAATTTAAATTAGTTAAGGGAAAAAAATCACAGTTTTATCAGCTAGTTCATGAGCACAAAATCTCACTTAAACGCTTAAGTCTATTACAATAATAATTTTACTAAACAAACATAATTTCCTGACTGACTGTAGGTCTGCTGTTGCTGGGCGGTTCAGAGCTGTGACCTTTGACCTGAACCAGGGTTTTAATCCTCACCTCTGTTGGGTCTGACATCTTGAACTCCCAGCCGTCTCCGGTCCAGGAGATGAACGTTCTGCAGGCCGAGTCCAGAAGCAGCTCCAGTAAAAACTGCCACAGCTGGATCGGGCCAGAACCTGAACAATTAGGAAATAATTAATAAATTCAGTTCAGTATTAGGTGATCAACCTTTTTGCCATCGGGTCAACCTCCTGGTGGAGAATGTTTGGTTCCCAAATCAGATTAAAACCATACATTTAAAAATAATATTTGAAGATAATCATCATCATATTTTAACACTTTTACATTCATATTAACATATTTATAATTTAACTAATTTTACAATAAAATTTAACTCTTATTTATTCTTGGACTGGATGTTAAAGAGTCAAAATTCTGACCTGGATAAGCGGACATTCCGGGCAATGGACCATCTCTGTCCGACCTCTGAGGGGCGATGGTTTTCCGTTTGGCCACACGGGGACAGAAGTGCTCTGCGGACTGAGGGGTGGGATTTGAGGGGCGGGAGGGTGGAGGTGGGTGGGGAGGGGAGGTGAAGCTGGATGATGGATATTCAGACCAGAAGGATGACGTCTGTCTCTGTCCGTCTGAGTCGTAGAAGTTCTGATCTGGTTCAGCTGGAAAACACCAAAGGTTAATTGGATCAGCTGTGTGTGTGTGTGTGTGTGTGTGTGTGTGTGTGTGTGTGTGTGTGTGTGTGTGTGTGTGTGTGTGTGTGTGTGTGTGTGTGTGTGTGTGTGTGTGTGTCTGTGTGTGTGTGTGTGTTGAGGGGGGTCAAAGGTCTTACTCTTTAATGTGAAGGGACTGTGGCTGCCCTCCACAGCTGGGCTGAACTGCCGGTTCTGGGGCAGCAGGTTCTGGTAGGTCTGCAGATTCTCCTGGTACCCGGTCTGAGACTGGTCCACAGAGAGTCCATCTGAACACCAGGAGAACGTCAAGAAAAACAAAAACCCCGGAAAATGTCTGAGTAGAAGTCCTGGACTCACCGTGTGAGTACGAGGAGGTCCACCAGTTAAAGTCCTGACAGGAGTTCAGGCTGAAGAGGTCCGTGTCACTGCAGCTCCCTGGAAGGAACAGAAACCATAAGTACCAGACCAGGAGCCCTGTGGAACTCCTGACAACAGGATACTGGAAGTCTTACCTTTGGAGTCATGAAGGTGAGAAGATTTGGGTGGTTCTGGGTAGCTGCTGTCCACGGCGTACTGGTTCTGTCCAGAAACGGTACTGTCTAACAGAAAAGACAGGTCTTCACCAGCGAGGTCTGGAGGTTCGACACAACAGAGTCAGAAGGCTCATGCTGGTTAGGAACCGTCTAGAACCCAGAACCAGCTTGGAGGTTCAGAACCAGCTGGTTCTGGGTTCTGGTCACAACACGCGAAGATCTAACCATCTCCTGCAGCAAAGCATCATGAAGGTCAACTGATGCCTTCAGGGGTCACAGGAAAAATCTGACTTCATCACAAGTTTTAAACTAAATTCTTAATGTCAGACAACACATCCGAGTCTGTGATCTTAAAAACAGCTGATGGTTCTGAAAGTGAATGTCAGGACCCCAAACTGGGCCCTAAAAAACACAAGAATGTTTAGGAATAAAACTGATTCATACACGAACCCAAATGGATAAAAAAAGACTAACTTGATGTTTAAAACCAGAACCAGATTGGGTTCTGGATCCCTGTCCTCTCTGATTTCAGCCTCGGAGCCTTTGAAGGTTGATCAAAGCTGACTAACAAGACGGGTTTGTGAGTAAGTGGTGGGTTAAGAGTTCTGGATTGTTCAGCTCAGAGGACGATGGACCCGGCTGGGAGGAAACTGGGCTGGGAGGGGGAGGAAGAGCAGGAGGAAACGCCAGCGGAGGGAGTGTGACAGAGGAGTGATGGACTCTAAATCTGTTGGAGGAGGAAGTCTGGAGGAAAGGATTAGCGGAGACGGAGAGAGGAGACTTTAACCTGACCACCCAGTCTCTCCTCCCTGCATCATCCCACCCTCCAGAACCACACCCGGTTCTGGTGTCAAGGTCTCCGTGAGGAACCTCTGACAGATGTGATGATGGTTAGTGGGGATGTTTCCTCTGGCCTCCAGCTGCTGGAGCTCAGAGGAAATTGGTCAGACACACAGAAACCTCCTTCACTCAGCAGAACACGAAGGTCCAAACTCACCAAAAGATCCAAAGTCGAACCCAGCCGGTACCTCCTGTGAGCTGAATTCTTCTGTGTAGTATCCAGTGTGACAGATCTCCATCTCAACTCTGGTGGAATTCAGATGAGCACAATATCTGATTATGAGTCAGAACCAGGGGGATGAAGGTTCTGCTCGGTCCTATAAGTTCTGCTGGGTCCGAACCAAAACAGCACTGATCTCTTCAAAATAAAACGACAAAACAAACCTTTAATTTGAAATATTTCCTGTTTTTGTCTCCGGTTCTGATTAGTTCTTCCCGGTAAATGCGGTTCCGTCCAAAAACGTTCCTGGTGCAGAACTCTGCTGTTGCTCGCTGGGTCTGGTTCGGTCGGCGGGCTGGGGGTCCGGTACGGTTTTATAAGCACGCAGGCGGGTGGGCGGGGCGCGTGCGTCGTGACCTGCGGAACCGAGGTTTGTTTAACAAATTGTGACGCAATCACCCCCCCCCCCCCCCCCTCAAAGACACAAGACATTCATTCATAAGAACCGAACTAGTTGCAGGACCGAACCAGATCCAGACAAACCAGACTGTTTCTGATTAAAAAACAATAAAAATAAACAGATTTTCTGCTTATAAAACATATTTTGAAACAAAAATATTATATACTAAAATAAAAGGTTTGACAGAACGCAGCAGCTAATTACAGCTGGTAAATAATCACAAGTTTAGATTTTTAGAAATGATAAAATCAGTGAATTGTTCTTAAATAGAGTTCAGCAATCCTAAGTAAGTCACAAAGATTAAAGATTTAGTTATTTTAGTATTAAAAAAAATAAAACCAGAACGTTTGTTTATTTATGAAGAAAAACAAAAATATTTAGATAACCACATAAAAATATAATTGATCAAACGTTTTTCACCAAATGCTCTTTATTTTCTCTTTTCTTGCTTTTATTATTGTCTTCAGTTTTCAATTAAAGAAAATGTATTTTGCAGTTTATTTTAACAGACTTTATAGGTTTGTAGATGACAAATTTCAGCATTTCTATCAGACTTGAAGGTCAAAAGTTTCACCAACAGACTTAAAAAGTCTCAGAATTCTAAAAAAACTGTCAAAGTGAACAAAATACATGTTAAATTGAAATAGTCTTAAAATTTTTACTTTAATTAATTCAAAAGATAACATGAAAACAAAACATTTAAACATTTATGGACTTATTATTATTATTATTATTATTATTATTATAGATGCTGTTATTTCCCAATCTGGAGAAGATTCGTGACATTTTGACTAAAATAAATCCAGTTTAGTTCGACAAAATCAAGAAAAGGTTTTAGTTTGGCTTTGAATAAAAGTTTTGAACCAGTGAGATCCCTTTAATCGGGCGGGTTTCCTGATTCAGAGCACGAAGCTGCTGAAACTTAGTTTTCTTTGTTTGGGAGGGACTGGAACCAGTTTGAGCTCTTGATGGTCTCACTGGGACCCAGAGACCCGCAGCGGGTGGAGCTGAAGGAGCAGCTAATGAAGTGGAGGAAGAAAAGAAAAGATCTGGACCAAACAATGGTCTATAAACACACACACACACACACACACACACACACACACACACACACACACACACACACACACACACACACACACACACACACACACACACACACACACACACACACACACACACACACACACACACACAAAGGATCAAGTGAAGAAAGTCTGAAATCACAGCATGAGTGGCTGCAGCAGATAAGAGAGGGGCCAGAGCCCTGTGTAAACAAACACGCGCGCACACGAAGGTGCAGAATCCATCTGGAAAAGTGCAGCGGGGTGAGATCGTGCGCAGACAGGAGTCGTGATTGAAGAGCCCCCCCCCCAGCACACACACACACACACGATCACCAACGATCGAGAGAGGGAGAGACAGAGGGAGAGAGAGAGAGAGAGAGAGAGAGAGAGAGAGAGAGAGAGAGAGAGAGAGAGAAGAGAGAGAGAGAGAGAGAGAGAGAGAGAGAGAGAGAGAGAGAGAGAGAGAGAGAGAGAGAGAGAGAGAGAGAGAGAGAGAGAGAGAGATCATAAACAGAAGGTTCAGCACTTTGCTTTTATAAACTTTCTAGCTGCGCATTGAAATACGCAACAATCTGCGCATTTGATTTACAGGCACTTTGGTGCATTTAGCCCTTCAGAAGTTAGCGCCATTACCCATTACCAAAGTCTGAGAAGGCCCAACCACACCAGAACCTCCTTCACGTGACGTGTTTCCTTTTATGTAAAAAAATGAATAATTAGTGCAAATTATTTTGTCTCTATAAGTTGAATTTTGAAACGCTGGAACTGCTAATGGGTTCGGATTAGAGTCGGACCCTGGCCGAACTTTTCGGGTTCTGAACCTTCTATGAGTTGGTCACGTGTTTGATGGGTTTCTATAGTAAAGAGAAACTGATGTATTCAGTCCAGGTTTGGAAATGTAACTATACACACGCCCCATTTCATGTTTCTAAAACCAAACAAAGTTTAAACGCTGTATTTACTTGTTTTTAACTGATTCATAATTATATTTGTATTACTGGGCTGATTTCTTACCCCCAGCATCGAGTTTATTTTAATATTCAGCAGGTGCAAAAAGGAACAATGTGGTTAATAAATAAAGCATGAACACAACTCATTTCAAATTTTGGTTAATCAGAGCGTTGCTGAATGCTTTTAAAAAGTAAGTTAGACATGTTTAAATGTAAATTTGTTGAGATCTGGTTGTTTCTGCCGATCAGCTGTTTCTGAGTCACCACAAGTTTCTGTGAATCTTTTAGTTTTTTTTATATTCAGACTAAAATTAGGACCACATGTCACAAATATGGCTCATCCCTTGAGTTAGAAGAACATTTCGGTTTAGAGGTCAAGAGCTGAAAGTGGATAAAAATTCCAAATCTAAATAATAATTTAGGTCTACTTTGAGATATCTGTATTAAAAAATTCGAATAACATCGAATAAAAATCGATATGGGACTGAGGGAGGTGCAGCTGCAGGACAAAGCAGGAGACAGAATGAGAGCAAGACATAAAAATGTATCCTGAACATCGAAGTTTTCCTATTTTCCGCCCAGAAAGCAGCTAAAATCGAATTAATTCAAATGAAAACGTCTTTTTCTGTAAAATGTTAAAAGCCGTTTTGTTGTTCATGGCGTGCAGGAGGTGCTGCTTTCGTGAGCAACAGCTTTAGAGTGACTTCACTTCCCAATTTAGAGAGAGAGCGAGAGCAAAAAAAAAAAAAAAAAAGCTGCCATCCGGTTTGCGTCTCAGAGCAGAAAGCTGCAATGGTTTGCGCCATAGAGGCGATGCACGCCTGCATGAATTGAAGGAGGTCAGAGGGCTGAATTAGCTGCAAGTTCACCCAAAGCGACTAAATGCCCATCAGGCCGCTGCAGGAATGGACTGTCCGATAAAGGTAAGGTTCTGTTCAGGTTCTGGTTTGGTTCTGACGGAGCTGGAGACGCCAGGCGGCCACCCACAGCTCAGTGAGAGAGAGGCTCCCCACTCTTTCCTTCTTGTACAAAATTTCCTCTTCCTTCCCGTTCGTGGTTGTATGTCGGCTCTATAACAACACAACTAACCACCACATCTTTACACTCGGATAAAAACACCAATTCACGCCTCGGCGCGCCGTAGATGAATTACTTTTCGTTTCGGCGCTTTTCGCTCCAGCTACGCAGTTTTTTGGAGCTCGCGCGCGCAGTTCCACAGAGCCACGACTCCGACCCGGACCGAGACGTTCGTGGCTCCAAACCGGACCGATTTGGGTTTTTATGGAGGGATGCGGGACTCCACTGCGCGCAAAGCAGGTGCCCCTGAAGGCGCGGAGGACGGATCCGGACAAGCACGGTCCGGGTCCGGCAGGTGAGCCGTGCTCATGTCTTCTCACCTGCTCCAGCAGGTTGTTTCTTTGTGTTTTGTCTGTTCTGAGCCAAAAGGCCTCCGCGCGCTATTCGCTTTTCATCTCATTTAACACAAAGCTGTTTGTTGCGCAACGAACGCAAAAAACCCTCAGCCTTCACATAATGCGCCAAAAACACAAAACTAAGCTTAATGAGTATAATTATTTTAAATAATAAATAACAGCATAGTTCCAATTTTTATTTAGTAACAAAAAACATCAACTTTATTTTTAAATCACGTGATTCCAGCTGATTTATTTGGACTTTTGGGTTTAGATTTGAAAACACTAAAGTGAAAACGCACTTTTGGTTTGAGGAACTGTTGCTTCACTCATTTATTGTTTTATTTGTAAGAAACTTTAAAAATTTCTGATCCATTTCATAAACTCGATTGGATCAGAACTATTTTATTTTGGGCACAAAAAAAAACTCTGAGATTCATGAAGTTTTAAAACAAGCTATTTGAAATGTTTATTTAGATGTTTTGGATATTATTTAGTTGTGAAGCTGAATACTTTTCTGTTTCAGGTTGATTTTCCTCCCCAGTTTGGACCGGTTCGGTTCTGTTTGCGGTTATTTTAAGAAGAATTTATGGCTCCAAACGGGAGAACTTGTCAGGTGTCGTTATCTGAACTCTGCAGGCTTCCGGGCTCAAACCTCAGACTTTCCGCACGCACTTCCGGCCCCGACAGAAAAAATAAACGAAAAACAGTGAAGGCAGGTCAGAGAGAACCGAGCCTTACGGACCGACACCACCGGGCTCACTGCTCGCGCGAGGCCTGCACAAACCCGCAGTTTCACGCGCAGATCTCTGCAGACTCAGCTCTGTTGACTTTTACTTCTCCTTTCTGCCTTTTACACAACCAGAGGTCTCTGAAGCCTCAGCTCGGCCCGGTTCGGTTTAAAACGCTCAAGCAATTTATTTTTATTTAGAAACAGAAACTTATTCCAGTTTATTACAAAAACACAAATGAACAATTATTCTTTGTTTATACACTGAAAACCTTAAAATAACTTATTAAATCCTAAATTTCACATTCATGTCTGATTTTATTTAAGTTAAATCGATTTTATTTTAGCTGATCTCAGTTCAGAAACATCAGATCTAAGCAGAAGAAACGGATTCAGAACAGAATTGAACTCAAACCTGGTTCCTCCTTCAGAGAGGCTATTTCTGTTCCTGTTGCTTCAGCTCAAAAACAAGGAGAAAATGTTATTTGCTTTATTCTGACATTTAAAAACAGAAACTTTGTTCTCCAATAATGTATAAAAGTCAGAAGTAACTAAAATATAACTTTATTGAGGACATTAATATTTATCACATCTTGTTTCTGTTATTTTCAGGTATTTTCATCAACCACTTCAAAGAGATGTCAACTAAACAAAATATTAAAATTGTTTTATTTCTCAGAAGCTAAATAATGCAAAACTAAATATAAAATGAAAGCTTTTTAAATTTAAATGCGTGTTTAAAATAATTAATTACTGAAAGGATTTTTTAAAACCCCCAAATGAATTTCTTTGCTGTTACATATTCAGCTTAAATAAAAACACCTGGAAGTAAAAACTAATAATTGCAAAAATGTTTAGCTTTTAGAAGAAAATAATTCGATAAAATGAAAGTTCGGAAACGTTCCAGTGTTTGGACCCTAAAACTGTTGATTTACTGACACATATATCTGATGCAGGTTGTGGTGTAATTTCCTCTGAAAACTCTGAGACTTTATCAGCTGGAGCAGAGCGCCGGGATTAGAGCATGTCAAACATGTGCTAATCTTAGATGTTGCTCAGAAAAACAGAACATGTATGTTGTAAAGCCATCACGCTCCTCCTGCGTGATGCAACCTGCCGAACTGCTAATATGCTGCTGGTTTCACCCAGGACTCCGTTTCTCTCACAGCAGATTAAAAAAGGTGTTTAAAAGTGAATTTTAGGCCATGGAGGCGCGTTCAGGCAGCCGCGGCTTCAAGAAGGTCACGTTGTTTAAAAACTGTTTGTGTCGCATAGTAACGGCCTGAAGCACATTGAACAGGAAGTCAGTTGTGAAATTGGCGGTCAGGCCACATTGGTATATTTGTCTCAGAGTGCAGAGAAGAAGCAGAGAGCACAGAGCGATTAAGAGTGGCGGGAGATGTCACTCACTTAACTGCAGCAACAACAACATTTATAGCTTTTCATCAGTTTAGGTGAAGCAAAAGCTGCTCTGGTGTCAGTTTGATCCGGCCTTCAGGCCTCAGTTTCACTTCTGCAGAGTAAAAACTCAACAAGATCAGCTGAAGGGATGAAAACGCACTACTCACGTGCTTCAGATCCAGTAAAATTACTGGTTTGATACTCGCTCAGCTAAAGCAGGAGCAGCATTCATGTCCATTTAATGCTTCAACTAGCAGTTTTTATTCTTGCTGAGCTGTAAGGGGAAAAAACAAACCTGGTTTTGAATGTTTTAATTAATTAACAAAGAAGGTCAATCATCTATAAAACAATAAGGAGGAGGAGAATGTTCTACAAGCTAAATAAACTCTGATAAATGACTACACAAAGCCAGTCAGCCTGCACGAGGTGCTTTATGGGTAAGTTCGAGTCTGAGGAGCAGACTTGGACCTGACTCCCGTTCAGCTGAAATCCCGAGTGTCTGAAGCTGTTTTGTTGTTTTTTTTTTTTTTGTTGTTGTTGTTTTTTTTTTGTGAGAAAACTTCAGAGTTCGAAGTGAAAATCCTCCTGGCTCACACGCTGCTGACAGTCAGGTCACTTGCAGCGGAGCAGGAAATGCCAACGTTTGTGCCACGCATTAAGATGTGCTTCAGAAAACTCAGGCAACAACTGAGCTAAAAAAAACAACAACATGAAGAAACAGAACAATGTGAAGGCGGCTCTTCAATCAGGCCCACTCCCGCCTTGGGTCCAGTGAACCCGACCCCTTCGTTTCTTCTCTAACGAAGGTCTTCAGGGTTGTTTTTTAGCTTTGAAATGACCCACATTTGTACTCTGTGCCCCCCCCCCCCCACCACCACCACCATTTCCTCTCCCTCAGCCTGTGCCAAAAGGTTCCTGTGCACATGGCGGCCCGGTTTCCTGTAGGCCACTGAAGCAGGCCGGTACTGACGTACGAGGCCCAAAGACAATGCTCGGCTCCTCTAAACAAACACATGTTGGACCCGGCCGTTCGGTCTGCACTTAATTCAAGGAGCAGACAGAACAACAGGTCCGATTGTCTGAGCGAGCTGGATGAAGAGCCATCTTAGGCCTCGGAGTTCAGCAGAACACAGGAAGCTGGAGCTAAATCTCAATTAGACTCCACCTTGAGCTGACACCCCTCCCCCCCAACCTAGATCCTAACGACAAAATAAAAGTGTTGTTAGAGTTACTGATGCCGTTTGAGATTAGGCCGCCTCCTGACTGCCTTCACACTATTTCTGAAACGTTCTTTTCTCGCTTTGCCCCTCTGTTTTGTCATGGTGGTTTCATAACCTGCAGCTTCCACTCAAAACATGCTTTTAATCTCCAATCAGCAGCAGAGAAGTAAAGAGCAGTAAAGAAAAGATGAATTCAGTAAAACAACTCGGCGCTGAAGCTCTGAGGGTTTGTGTTTGTCCTGGTTTGATTGCTGCTTGGAGTTGTTGTGCTCTTACGTTGGGTACTTGTGATTCGTTCAGGAGGAAGTAACGTCACCTCCACCAGTACAGTGAGGTTATTCCCCAATAACAAACCCTGGATCACCAGAGACCTGGAAGAGTTGCTCAACAAGAAAAGGAGAGGGTTCAGGGAAGGAGACAGGGAGATGTTAAGGAATTAACAAAAGCAACTTTAAATTAAGACATGAAGCAACTTCTGAAGATCAGCAGAACAACGTGTGGTGTGGGATGAGGAGCAACTTTGGGTTGAAGCAGAAGGAGAATCAGATGGATGGAGGTCTGAAATAAACCTGAACTGAATCTGTTCAATTGCTTCAGTTCAGCATGAACCCCCCCCCCCCCCCCCCCCCAACAGACATCTGTTTGTCTCCCTTGACCTACAGCTTCCTTGTCACACCTCATCTTAAATCCAGCTCCTGCAACCTCCTCATTCATCAGTTGATACTGGTTCCTGCCTGAGAAGTTCCCATTGCTGTGGAAGACACCTGGCCCTATCCCATCTGTCCTTAATGACTGCAGACATGTGGTCCTCACATCAAGAAAGTCCTCCAGACATGGTCAGGTTGTCTCCAGCACAGGGGCACCACAGGGGACTGTCTTCTCACCACTCTTGTTTACTCTGTCCACCTCAGACCTTCAGGACAAGTGAGGGTCCTGTCATCTGAAGAGACATTAATGGGCCATTCCCATCTGTACCGGGTCGGCCCGGGCCGGGTAGCCCCAGTCGGTCCCAGCCTGGCCCGGTTGATTCCACACATCCTTGCCTTAAGCCCATGTGGGCTGATTCTACCCACCAATCAGAGGCTTGCTCTAATGGAAGGTGTGAATTTGCTGTCAGCATGGGTGTGTTGGCCCTGGTCGGCCTGAAGCAGACCCCCTCGAGAAGAGGGCTGAGAATGAGCCTTGGTTGGCCCGGAAAAATACCAGGCCACCCAGATATGTAAACAATCTACGCTACCCGGCCCGGGCCGACCCGGTACAGAAGGGAATGGCCCATTAGAGGAGTCTGCACCTGCTGGGTGGATCAGACAAGAGACCTGGTGGACCTCTTGGTCGAACGGTGTGGCTACAATCATCTCATCTTAGATGAGAACAAAATTAAGGAGATGATGGTTGATTCAAGAAGAACCTGAGACATACCAACACACAGCTGGGCAGGGGTGGACTGAGACGAAAATTCAGCCCTGGGATTTCTCTATCCCACCGGCTGTTGGGTTGGTGCTCGTGGAAATTTGCACGTCCTGCCAGCCGTCAGAGCAGGTGGAAGGGTGCGGACCGGACTGGTGACCCATCTGCCAGATGGCCTGTCCACCCCTGGTTGCTGGGTGTTTGTTAATTTAACAAAAGTGAGTCACTTTAAGTTGTAATAAAGCTCTAATTTGTTTCTGTAACATGGTTTCATCCACCAAGTCGCAAAAAAAAACAATTTTTAACAACAGATTCAGATAGGAATATATTTAAAATGAAAGATTTAGAGCCTTTAGTTTTGAACAAGTTTTGAGCTTATTTGATCTGCATGCTGCTAAAAAGGCAGCAAGAGATGGTTCACCTTCAGAGAACTTCTGCAGCTTCTGTTGTCTTTGAGGTCCAATCCTGGAGTTTTAACTTTAGATCCACCTGAACCCTAATCTGATGAATGAAGTGTGATTTGTGTCAAACAGGAAGCGCTTTCTGTGGTGACTGAAGATCAACCCATCTTTGAGCCACCCTACTCCACAACCATGCACATGAAGACCGAGATGACATCACCTGGAAGATTCAGTCAGACCGCCAAACAGAGTCCAGATCCCAGCGAGTCCGAGTGGGTGGGGTCAGCAGCACCGAATGCTGGGAAAAGGGGTGACCAAGTCAATGGGACCAGGTTAGTCAGGCCTGTGGGACGCTTGTGTGTGTGTGTGTGTGTGGGTGTGGGGGGGGGGGGGGGGGGGGGGAGGCATGTTTATGGCTTAGGAGCCAAATATTTTGTTCCCTCTGACTGGACGACACCAACAGGGATGGAAAAAAAACTACATTTTTCCACCACATTTGACCATAAAATAACTCAAACTACAGATCTTGGTTTTCACTCATTTAATAGAAAGTGCATGAATAAAGGCATCTAACCAGCTGTTCTTAATGTGTTTATTAAGTTTGAACTCTTATTGTGGACAGAAAAGTTGCATCCTGGAAAGTTTGGTTTAAAAATTATTCAGGTTTTGTTTCCCGACTAAATGTAAACAGAATGAGGCATTTTCCTCTTGCACTGCCTCCAGCACAGCTGAATATTTCCTGATTTACGGCGTTTATAAATTCTATCAAATCCATTTAGCTGCAATTTCAGGTGAAATAAGTGGTGCATGTGGTTTAACCTGCAGAGCTCACTGCTTTTACACATTTCAAACCATTTCGGTGGAAAGTTTGCAGACTAATTTTAGATCCTGGCACTAACAGATAAAAGGATGCAAGAGGAAAAAAACTTATTCTGCAAAATCTGCTCTGCTGCCAGAGACTGGCTGCTGCAGCCAGCCGCTCAGCCCATTCAGGAGTTCTGGATCAGAACTACACATCTTCTGAATGCATGCTCTGTTCCAGCCGCGAGTCTCCGGTAGACTGCAGCGTCACCAAACGCTCCCGACACATGAGCAGTGACGGGGCCTCAATGACATACCAGACCTCGTACCCAGAGCCCCGCATCAGTGCCCAGACCTCCACCCCACCCAGCAGCACCACAGAGGAGAAGAGGGTCATCGTCCCAGCAGGTGAGCCCAGAGACCCCAACCCCCCCATACACCAGAACTCGGACCTCCTTTTATCAGCTGCAGTGTTCTGCATCAACATGACATCATGCTTTCCATTCATAAAGTGTGAAAGCTAAGCACTGGTTTAGCTCAGAGCTCGCCGAGCAAACAGGAACCGCAGCTCAGGCGTGGACACTCTTCATTTTTAATCTCCCTGCTTCCTTTTTCGATTCTGTCATGAAAAAATACAAATATCCTCTGAGGCCTGAAATCAGACGTTTCTGTAGCTCTGAACACTCAAATGAGACATAAAACCTTTTCACAAATGTTGTTTTATTATTGTTGTTGAAACTCCAACAAAACGCATCTTACATCCACTGTAATACTCAGGAGCTGCTAAAGGATAGATTTGGGTAAAAACCACAGCAGCAGCCAGCTGTCAGCACATCTGGGATCAGTTTCTGAATATTTTTTGCAGTATTGAAAATCCCCAAAACTTTATTTTGTCTTAACATGACAGCAATATTATATAGAAGAGTGCCTAAAACAAACCTCAAGATAATAATTGCCCTAAAAGACTTTTTCTGTGTAAAAAAAAAAGTAAAGGTCACCTGTAGTAAATGACGTCCTGAACAGCCTCTCTTCAAAGAAGTAGAGTTAACGTCCTGTAGGACTGCTAAGCTAATGCCTAGTTTAAGTAAAGAACACTGACAGTTTACCGTTGCATGTTACCTCAACAGGAATGTTTACTTCCTGTTGGACTCGACTCCTTGAATGAAGTGCTACATGTATCCTTGTAAATATTCATGGAATTCCATGTAAATAACTGTGGAATTCCATGTTAAAAACCCTGTAATTTGTAACTGCGTTAACGTAAAATTTCTATAACAACTGGGAGATTCCTGAGATTGGCGCCATCACATGATGGCGTAATCCAGAGCTGTTAAATTCTGGGCCTCGAAGGGCTGGTATCCAGCATGTTTTGGTTTTAACCCTGCTTCAACACACCTGATTTCAATTAGTAGGTGATTAACAGGCTTCTGCAGAGACTGATGAGCTGCTGCACAGGCGACTGAACCACTGAATCAAGCGTGTTGGAGCAGAGAAACCACTAAAACATGCTGGATACCAGCCCTAAAGGCCCGGAATTGAACAGTCCTGGTGTAATCAAACTTTGGTCTCGGCTGCATTCAGACTAGCTGTTAGCTCATCAGTCGTAAACTTTATTTTGCCGAACAGAGAAGGAAGCTTCAGGAAGCTGTCTAAACACAAGAAATTAATTATACTGACTCTGTTATGTGCCATTTGTTTACACGCACCCGCGTGCGTGCGTGCGTGTGTGTGTGTGTGTGTGTGTGTGTGTGTGTGTGTGTGTGTGTGTGTGTGTGTGTGTGTGTGGGATTTATATTTACTTTCAGGATGTGACTCATGTCTCACTGTTTAGTCTTTGTTGTCTGGTCCAAAGAATTCTTTCACGTTGTTAAAAATCCCCCCTCCTGGAACGACCCCCTGAGGCATACAGGACATTTCTGGTCTTCAAGTGGCATCAGAGATGAGTACAAATTCACGTAAAGCCCAACACGGATTCATCGGTGAGTCACTGGTTGGGCCGTTCTGCTTCATAATACATGGATGTTGCATTAGAGCAGCCCGTGTGAAGCCAGAACAATCAGGAGCTCGGGGTGTGGTCACCAGCATCCTGAATCAGATGCTAAATATTCCACTGGACCAAATCCAACCTGAAGGTGTTGGAAAACACTTACTGTAAGAGATGCGATGGCAAAGTCCCATCAGCACTGACGCAGTATTTCAAATTTGATCATAAATCACTGGAATTTAGAATTAAACAGTTTAGTAACTGTAATTCAAAGATTATTTACAAAAGTTTTTTTATTGATCTAAATTAATTTATTAAATTAATCTTATTTAATTATGTCATTACCAGCACTGGTTATAAAATAAATTGATACAATTCTGAATAATGTCCATAAAGGAGGGGCAGGAGATCAGAAGAAAAATATTTCAGAAGTAAGGTAAGTGGGTGGGGCTTTCAGAGCCTCAGACTCTGGTTATGAAAATAACAGATATGTTAGCTATTAATTAGGGCGAAATTCTCAGTGTGGAATATAATGCAAACACAATATGACTGAGGCCAAACTGCAACAAGGAAATTTGCTCAAATAGAATTAAGATTTTATTTGTTGTGTGTCATCTAAATCAGTTCAGCATGATTACAAATAAAAGTTCACATAGTTTTCAGAGCAGAAGTCATTTTATAACTTTGATTCAACATGAATTGGGCTTCAAGTTTTTCATGAATGAAATCTAATTTAACCTAAATTGTGTTTCCAGCTTGTTGAATTGAACTTACAGTCATTTTATATAAAACATACAAATACAACAAAAACTGATAAATAAGCATGAATGTGTCGGTTTGAGACATTTTATACTGAGATTCCTAAAATAAAAAAAAGTTTTTTAATCTTACACATGGTTCTCTGACGGGTTTGCAAAGACTTGTGGTTTTTAATAACTCTTGTTTTTACCGTGAAGCTGCTCATCCAGAAGTGTTTTATTATTTTTCTCCCGTGAAAAATGAATAGTGTAAATAAAAGCCAAAGTCCATGTGGAGTCTGATTCCAGGCCTTCTGATAAAATAATCATCTGACGCGGTTTAGAAGTCTTAACTTCACCGCCTGGTTTCAGCCGCTTCATCAGCTTTGTTAACATCAGAACTAAAATCATGTTGCTGCACTGCTCCCTCTGTACAGAATAAAATCATTGTTTCACACCTTTAATCTAAATAAATCATCAATCCTGAACGTTAGCTTTTATTCCTGTTTTATTTAAACCAAGAAAGCCAGAACGATATCTAGGTCTCTGAACAGAAGACCTAAACTCTGCCTGCCTTTGTCCTCTGATTCCAGATCCTGAGGTCTGGACCCAGGACCACGTGCGGCAGTGGCTGGACTGGGCCATCAAGGAGTACGTCCTGGAGGAGGTGGACGTCACACTCTTCCAGGCACTGGATGGCAAAGCCCTCTGCAAGATGACCAAAGACGACATGATGAGGCTGACGTCGGCCTACAACGCCGACATCCTGCTGTCACATCTGAATTACCTCAGACAGAGTAAGAACCTGGAAATGTTTCCTTTGAGTAGAACCGTCCTGCTGGAGCTGCATCAGATCAGAACATCTACCACAGATCAGACCTTTGGGTGATAACATATGGGGGCTCATCCGGGATGCAGGTGATAAAGGTTAACAAAGTTTTAATAATGGCATTTTAGAGCTTTCTTAGTGATTTCCACGGGGCTGAGACCCATTTGTATTCACTTTTGCACTGACCAAAGAAGAAAAATGCCCACCGGTATTAAAACTTTACCTTCAACACCTGTGCCACGCGCCCTGCACGTTACTCCAGATCCCCTAGACACCAGGGTCGTAACACAGATACATTTCTGTTGTAAATCTGACACCATGCCTCATAGCCATGGCACCTTCTAGCAGCAGCAGGACGTTTACAGAAGTCTTTTTGATCACATGAACCGTATTTAACCACCTCTGTGGTCTCCACTGAGTGTTGTGACCATGGTTCCTCTTTATCAGCACATGCTTTATGTTTAAAAACAAATGTCACCGTGACTCTGGATCTTTGCTGAATTACATAACTTTCTAGGCAAAGATGCAGAAGTTTAGTTTCTGTAAATCACAGCAGTTTGACTTTAATATGAATAAAGTTTTGGATCCAGATGTCTCCATCCTTGAAGGATCTGACCTGATGGTTTTGTTCCAGGCAGCCCGACCTTCTCCTACTCCACACCTCCCACCAACAACACGCCACCCCCTCCCCCACAGCCACGGCTACAGGTCAAATCAGGTGAGACGGTCATTCCTGATCAATCCTCACTAAACATTTTCACTAAATCGATTTCTGATCAACAGCAATAAAGTTCTGTTAAAGGACTGTCAGATAAATTTCAGTCAAATACGATGTAATCAATAGTCACATCATTGTTTTTATCATTTTTATACATCCTGTTATAGTTCTGTCAAAACACCAAATAAACTTTATCAGAAAAATCTGCGTTACCATGGCAACAGAATATATCCATCAGGTTAGAACAAAACAACAACAAATAGGTCAACATTTATCTGGTTCTGCTCATTTAGATTCAGATGTTAAAGATAAACTAAAAAAATACTCTTAAAATTATTTTAAAATTAATCTGGAGATTATAAGATTACTGTTTTATACCTTAAATCTGATTAAAATTTAAAAAACGGGATTAATTAACTGTTTTATAAGCTTTGTGTGTTCTGAGGTATGTTTGAGGCTTTTATTGTGAAGAATTACAGGAATTTTAGAGTGTGGACACTGAAATAACAAAGATGACGGCCGAGAGGGGTTGAAACCGGCAACCCACCAGTTACAGGACAAATTAAAGCCTCCTGATCCACCTTTGAAAGTTTTTTTTTTTTCAACTTTTCTTCAGGAAATGCCCATTTTTTCCCTCAACCTTTTGCATTTAATCTCAACACACCTTCCGTATTTTTTGTGAGCCATTTTAACACTGGGCTGCAAAATGAAAGTTGATTTTTACAGCAGCAGATAAAGGCTTTGGACACAAACTTGTGCAGAAACGAGCTGTAAAAAGCTGCTAATGGTGTCGCGTTTCACACGTATGTGAGCAGAATGAGTAACATCCTGTCAATCAGGTTTATTCAAAATAAGTTTCAAAGCCCAAAGACTGAAAATTATCCAGCATTTAACTCGTAAAAAGCAGCAAATAACTTATAGTTACACATTTTTAACATTAGGTAAAACAAGCTAAACGGGAACGAGACGATCAGCAGCGATATTCAGAAGTTGGATGTTTCTTTCTAATTGTAACCCAGATTAAAAGTGATTGACGACTTTCATTTTTACCTTCTATCTGACAGCCAGGTTCTGATGAAGCTCTTTGTTTCAGAACCATGTTCTTTGGTTTCTGAAGTCAAGAAGGCTCCTGAACAAACTAAACTCCTGTTGACTAAAGCTGTGATGAGTCCAAAACTCAACAGCCAGTTTCAGACAGGAAACAGCTGCACCGGCAGAGGAAACAGGGCTACGGGTCTCGCTCTGGACCACAACCCGTGGTCCTGTGGTGGCACGAACAAAAGCATTCTCACCCAAGAAACCCGGGGTCATCTCCTGACCCTGAACCCTTGTCATGTTCCTTCCTCCTAAAGATGTGTCTCATCTCTGATGCTTTTGTCTGTTTGTGTTTGTGCAGAAAGTGATTTTAATGAGATCAGCCGCAGGAACAGCTGGCCAGCAAACACCATGACTGCTGCAGTGCAGAAGGGTACGACAGCAACGACTAAACCGACGATAGATTTACTGTAGCGTGAAAACCAGCTGGATTTACATAAAAAAGTTTTCACATGTCTAACAGAGTTCCTTTTCTCCAGGTTCTTCTATCGAGCACCAACACAGCACGAGGGTATCCGAGCCCGCGCCGAGAATCGGCCAAGGTAAAAGTAACTTCAGATTCATGTTTGAATCAGCTGCTGATCGGAATCAGCTGTTGGACACAAACATTGAGAACATGTGGACATTTAATAATTAAAAACAAGTGTTGTTGGATTTTAGAAAATGATTTAAAAGTCCTGCATGAGACAGACATTTTCACTTTGTATTCTTTGCTCTTCGATTTGTTTCAAGACCTTCATCCCAATCTGGTTTCAATCCTGATCTAGCTCCGATCCAGTCCTGATCTATCCTATATGTAAATATCTAGTCCGGCCAACAAACCATTGAAACAGCTCACCTTCTAGGGGCAGAATCGGCATTGTCTTTCAAACTGTCTCTTCACGTAATTGGACAGTGCTGAGACCAATCAGAGCAACAAACATGATGTATTCATTGATATGGATGTCAGTCAACAGGGCAGTCTGCCATATACCATTGAAGACGAAGAAAACAAAAGCAAAGACATCATCGTCTTATCAAAGAACTCAAGTACCTCTATCTGATCTTGTCTCAAAGAAAAGCCAAAGTCTAAATTGTCCAAAGTTGATGCCAATGCCATTTGAAACAAGCCTCATTCCTGAGCCACTGCCCTCTATTGTTTTTTTTTTTGTCCCAGCTCTATATAAAGCCTTAACTAACACAGATCGCTGTGACTGGCCAAACACAAAACTGTTCAGGTCAATAGAGATCCGGGAGTTGACGTCACTTCTCCCGGCATGCAACAGCTCAAATCGAAATGGCGCCATATTGGCAGGCAGAAGCCCACAGCTGGACTATTTGTTATTGTCAGAAAACTCAGTCAAACGGAAAATATGGTAGATTCCTGCTGTGCCCCAGGATGCAGAACAAACGCGGACGACATAAGGAATGAGCCATCTACAGGATTCCCCAAGATCCGGAGCGCCGCAAACGTTGGATCATTGTAAAAAAAATGCGCTAGTGACCGGGCTGAAATGAAACTGTGGGACCCCGAGAGTAAAGTTTTTCGCTTATGCAGCAACCACTTCATATCAGGTACTTAAACCAACGTTTCCTCAACTGTGTATGGTATTTATTTTAAATGCTTTTATTACGATTCTTAGTGGGCTTCCTAAACTTATTTAGGCGTGGCTTTTTCTGTCTTATTACTCATAGCAACAAGTAAACATCACGTAAAACGTTGCCTCGTGAGTTCTGCGTGCTGCCGTTTACGTGTTTTATGATCACAGCAATTAACCGGCTAAGCTGTATTTAATTTTAAGCAATGGTTGATCAATTGTCAGATCACACATAAAAAACACTTTGGATTGCTATTATCTGTCTCACCGAGACAGCTCTCAGACAGATCCTGAGACGCTCCTGCCTGACATATTTATTTTATTCACGGAAAAAAATCAGATTAGTGATTTCTCTTGGCGTTCAGTTTATACATTCAAACAGCACAGCACTCTATTTTAACGACTTACATGTAAATATATGTTATTTGTCCATCCATCCATCCATCCATTTTCATCCGCTTATCCGGAGTCGGGTTGCGGGGGCAGTAGCCTAAGTCGAGAGGCCCAGACTTCCCTCTCCCCAGCCACTTGGGCCAGCTCCTCCGGGGGAATCCCAAGGCGTTTCCTGGCCAGGTCCGGCAAGAAGTCCGCTCCGACAGCTTCTGGCGTTTTTAAAAAGTATCACAGGGGCACGGTAAGGGTCGGAGATGTTTAATCTATTTAATTTCTGACTATATAAAACAATTTCTTCGGTTTTAAAGTGTGAAGTAAACTCCGACGAAGTAAAATCCAAGCCGATCCTGGTCATTTTGTTTACCTTTGTTGCCTGCCAACATGGCATCTACTCTCTGAGAGTCACATGACGTCCGGAGCTCTATAGTAGACCTGCTGAGGCTACAAAGGAGTGTGGCTAGACCAACCTGCAGAACAAAATCTTTTTGCCATTGATCCAGACCCAATATAGTCCTGACCGAGTCTTGATCTAGTAGTGATCGAGTCCTACTCCAGTATTTGTCTCGCTTCATTGTCCTGTAATCAATTGACGTGGATTGGTGGATCTTTTGATTGTTTGGAGATGTTTTAAAGGTTTAGTTTTGCCTTTGGTTCCTATTTCAGGTTCAGTCGAGACATGATTCTCAATGTCAAGGCGCCTGGCCTCGCAAGGCGATAACTTGCGAGGCCAGGCGCCATGCTTAAGAGGACATTGTCCTTCCTTGGTCAAAGAAAACGGTTAAATGGAACAGACTTGCATCACATGACAGCGGCTTCCGCTAAGGTCACGTAATGTCACGTGACACAGGAGACGTTATATTTTATATATATGTTTCAATATAAATATAACAAGCCTTTTAAATTGTGTATATATTGGTTAAATTAAATATGTAAACGAGTTACTACCTGCTAGCCACCGAAGCTGCAACTACTAACCAACCATAGCTAACTGCTTTGGATCTAAAAAACATTTCAGATTTCAGCCCGATAGCTACAATTAGTTGACTTACATTTAAACAGGAAATTGTCCCCTGAAGTAGCTGCCGGCTTCTGATCCACCATCCTTTTGAAAATACCGCCAAGGCTAGGCTACAAGACACCTCCCATGTATCCTTGCTCAGCTAGCTAACCGGCTAACAAACGGAGAACAGATGACTCGGTAGAACATGAACGTTGCAATACACCTTGGCGGTTCCTGATGATGTATCTCCTAGGCAACCGGGGCGGGACCAAGACATCAAGGCTAAGTTTCTTGACATTGAGAAACACCCCGTCTTTAATCCACTGATGTCCTCCATGATGGACACGTGTCTGGTGTGTCAGACCTGAACCAGAACCTGAGCGCAGCACCATCCATCAACTCACCGTCTCCTAGTTTTCAGTCCTTTCCATGGAGACCCTTCTCTAAATCCAATCTTCATGTATTTTTGTCCTCTCACAGACCCGTATCAGACATTAGGACCCATCAGCAGCAGACTTTCCAATCCAGGTAAGAATCTAAAACCTCAAAAGGGCAAAGGTGAAACAAATGAGGCCTTTTTACTGTCTGCTTTGGTACAAAAAAGGGCTGGCAGATGGAAAATAATGATTTGCATCATGTTTACGCTAAGACAAATTGTTCAGCTGAATAGTCAAAAAGACTAAAATGACTCCATATTCATTAAAATTATACTTCACATCTGTAGTTTATTTCTAAAGTTGTTTTCCCATTTGTTTAAAGCCACCTTGACCTGGAAGTCCCGGCCCTTATGAGGAAAAACCTGGTGAAGACAAACAATTAAAAAACTAATAATTGAATTAGAGAATAATAGAGCTGCAAAGCATCTAAAACACTGACAGGGAAGGGACGTCTGTCTGAAGTCATGTAAAACAACAAAAAATTAGTCAAAAATTGAAGTAGATCACAAAAGTTTTAAAAGAAAGTTAAAACGGTTGAATTTTAGGGATTTTCTGTAAAATTTCTGCAGTATAAAGACCTTACAGAAAAATATTCTAAACTATTTCTCAAAAATCCTCATCAGAAATATTCAAGTTTCAAAGAATCATGGGAAAGAATGTCCTTTGCTTTTTATGAATATTTTAATACAAAAGAACAAAAATTAAGAATTGTAGGCTCATTTTATTTAGTTGGGAATCTTCCAAAAGAAAACAGAGAACTATTCAACCGGACCTGAGATCTGGCTTCCACCTCACCAAAGTGACTGTTTGCCCTACTGTTTCCTCACAGAAGGCCAAGTCCTCGGCTCAACCAAGAACCGAACAGGCAAACAAAGTCCGTACAAGCTGGCTGACCCCAGCGCTCACAGGCCTGTGGGTAGGTTTCTGCCCTATCTCCACCAAGACTCACAGTGAAAAGGTCACATTTGATGCAAAAACAAAGAGCTGGTAGATCTGTGTTCAGCGTTAACATGGGGAGCTCTCCAAGGTGCTGAGAAGATGGTCCTCGGCTATGTGTTAAATACTTATCTATATTCATTTCGTACTTGTAAAACCTCCTGGTTATGGGGTGCCAGTTGTAAAGTTATGGATTAAAATTTAAAAATGCTACATTTTGTTAAACATCAACACCTTTTAGAAATAAATATTTAGAATTGAATCTGAAATCATAAAGGTAAATCTATAGTATTTAGAATCAAATCCAAGTGTATGATTTAAGTAAATAAACTAAATATTTGTTAAATTTAAATATATACAAACTAATCTGACTATAAAGTCACACCTAAAGATGCATTTGAATTTAGATAATTAAAATTAAATGTGTAAACTTACATTCAAAGTCCAACAAGTTAAATCAGAATATTTGGAACTCATCTTAAACACTGTTGAATCTAAATATTCAGAAAGAGAATAAATTATCTAAAATGTTGAAATTAAAAAAATAAATGTGGTGGTTTATACACATCAAGCTTATGTGCATGTTCAGACTGCAGTAAAATGTACGCAGTATAGTAAAATAAGAGTGAGGTGAAGAGATCTAAGGTTTCAGAGTGGATCATCCACCAGGGAGCAGCAACAACCTTGAAAGGAACACGGATAAATGATTCATGACCAAACAAAATCACACAATCACTTTGACTATTTTATTTCTTGTATTTAGGAGTTGAAAGTAACCAAATATAGTCATCTTTCCACTCAGCACTCCATCCCCAGGACGGTTAGATGTTACCTGCCCAGCTCCATGCCAATCCATTAATGCTTTTGACTTTCCTCCCAGGTTCGGGGCAGATCCAGTTATGGCAGTTCCTGCTGGAGCTTCTGTCAGACAGCAACAACTCCGGCATCATCACCTGGGAGGGCACCAACGGCGAGTTCAAGATGACCGACCCAGATGAGGTGGCCAAGCGCTGGGGCGAGCGCAAGAGCAAGCCCAACATGAACTATGACAAGCTGAGCCGCGCTCTGCGATACTACTACGACAAGAACATCATGACCAAGGTGCACGGCAAGCGCTACGCCTACAAGTTTGACTTCCAGGGCATCTCACAGGCGCATCAGAACCACGCTCCAGAAGGAGGGATTGTTAAGTACCAGACTGAGATGCCTTACATGCAGCCGTACCACAGCCACCAGCCCAAAATGAACTTCATGGGAGGCCATCCTGCTCCCATGCCCGTCTCTCCAGGGAACTTTTTTGGGCCACCGACGACGTACTGGAACTCGCCCAGCAGCCCAATCTACCCCGGATCGGCTATGACCCGACACCCGGCTGCTCATGCCCACCTGAGCTCATACTACTGAGGTGGCGGCACCTCGACGGGTCAGACAGGAGAAGAACCCAAGTGAGCTTATTTCTGGTGCCACCTGAGCAGAACCCGTCTGATGGGAGATGATATGATGCTTTAAGGTCCAGTTCCTAAAAGGCATCTTCATACTCCTCCACAGAAGTGGACAGAACCAGAGGGTTAGACTAACCTGTTCACATTTATTATTTTGTAAATGACTGATACCGAACGGTTTCTATTACATCACAGGTCAACCTGCAGTTATCTCATTACAGGACCTGATTGTTTTATAAAACAAATTGTACAGAATTTTTTTCATGTAACAACATTTATGCATTATCTAAAAGTAAAAAAATAAAAAGATTTTCTGTCCACCTGTAGAACACACGATGCTTTAAGCTCCAAACCAGAGAACTCGTTCAGGTCACTAGTTAGTAGTTCAGGTCATTAGTTAGTAGTTAAGGTTAGTACATCTAGTGAAACAGTTTGAGTTCAGCTTTAATGAAGTGAAGCTTTTTAAATGTCAATCCTCAAGTGATTCAACAGTAGAAATAAAAGGTAAAAATTATGTTGAAAATAATAATCTTGTTTTATTACTAAAGAAAACAAAAGTTTCCCTGAAAATTACTCAAAAGGAAATGACATGAATTCACTAAATACAGAAAATGTCTGTAAAAAGTTTATTTTAAATCAAAAGAAAGTTCATCAAAATCAAAAATATCTTCGAACACTCTGCGAGGCTTGGAGACCCCTTCCTCCTCCTCCTCCTCCTCCCCCACAGCGGAGCCTTTCACCTCCTTCTCCTCCATCCATGTTACTCCCCCACCTCGGAAGGGCCAATCAAGCTCCGCTTCCCCCACCTCCCCCACTCCTCCCATCTGCAAATCAGCTGAGTCAACGGGCAAAGACTTCCACGAAGTCCCTGTTGTGGTTGATGTGGTGGGCGCCATCTTCTTCTTGAGTTGGAGGACAACTTTTGTTTTAGGATTTATTGTCCAAGATGTGCTGCTCATTACTGGTGTTTCTGGAAAAAATTCTGGAAAAAATTCAGATCTTAGTTCAACTCTAGCTGTGCTTCAATAACATCCCAAAACTTCCTGTCTAAACAGGAAATAAACTCATAACACACATTCAGTTACTCCTACATGTGATGCAATACTTTTCCTGTATTACAGTTCTTGTTAAAATTATTACAAATTTCATTAAATCAGTAAGACTGAGGCATTAAAAGACTGAAGTTGAAAAGTCTAAATTAAATAAATATCCAATAAGGATTTTGTTTAGGGAAGGTATGTAGCAAACACTTTCAGTCCTGGTATAACAAGTCCGGGCAGGAGCAAAATTACATGTGTAAAAATGTTTCAATAAACAAGATAAAGGTCAGATAATTGAGCTTAACCTAAGCTTAAGTAAAAATAACCTGCAAGTTTCACATCAGCATTAAAAATTTGTATATTTTCCTGGGTTTCCAGGTTTTACATGCTTGTACAGCTGAGACTCATCTGCATAGAAACTATTCTGATTGGGATGGGTAAGAGGAGGTATGGAGAAAATAAGATGACCAAGGACTCATCCCTGTGGTACTCCAGATGATCTGTAGTTCCAATCACAACAAAACTTTAGGTTTATGGGTGTAGTAAGTTCATTTTGTTGGTGTCTGGTCATTAAGGTCCCCAATCCCAAATATTTTAGATGTTTCTTGGGTCCTACACAATGGATTTGATTCAATGTGATTAACATTCTTCTGCAGAACTTGATATTCTGCTGTGAAAATAATTAACAAGAAAAAACCAATGAATTCTAGTTCATGGATTTAGGTGTATGTCCCAACAAGTTCATACTGAAGTCAAACCTTAAAACACTTGAGAGCTTCACCTCAAATCTCACATACTTCATTACAGCAGTAAAAGGTTAAAGCTGCAATCCAGAGTTTCCCCCTTTGTGCAATTATGATTTTTTTATTAGAATTTTATAAAAGGGATAGTTAAACCCTGTACTGTGACTCAAGGTGTAGGCTTTCCAAAATAGGCCCCTGACACAATACACCACATTACTACAGGGTGTAAGACGCTGGCAGGGAAAGCATACATGGAACGCCACAACAAAGTGGATGACATGGTGTGTACAGCATAGCTATTCAATTCCAGGCCTCAAGGCCCAGAACATTTTATTGGTTTCTCTAGTCCAACACACTAGATTCACTGGTTGAATCATCTGCACTGCAGCTCATCAGGTTCGGCAGAAGCCTGTTAATCACCTGCTGATTGAAATCAGGTTTGCTGAAGCAGGGTTAAAACCAAAACGTGTTGGATACCAGCCCTCAATGCCCAAAACTGAATAGCCCTGGTGAACATCTGTGCAGAGTATAGACTGGAAGCCCCAAGGTCAAAGTGGGAAACATCCCCTAAAGCTGGGCAGACACTGTGTGACTTTTTCACTCATAGCACTCAGCTTCAGCTCAAAATGTACGACTTCCTCGCAGAGCAGAACTCACGAGTCATGTGCTCACACAGTACGACCCAGTTCTCGGACGCGAGCCGACTGCTCACACCGTCTCTGGTCTCTGGTCAGGTCCCTGCTTTCTTTAAAAATGCTGTAATCGTCTTGCTTCTAAAAAAAACGAGTCTCGACCCCTCTCTCCATAGCAGCTTCAGACCCATCTCTAAACTTCTGTTCATCTCCAAGATCTTGGAAAAGGTTGTGGCTAAACAACTCACAGCTGCTCTTGATGAACATAATATCTATGATAGTTTACAGTCAGGTTTTTGTAGAGCTCATTCTACTGAAACAGCTCTTCTTAGGGTCTCTAATGACCTTCTGACTCAGTGATGCAGGGGACTGTTCTGTTCTGGTCCTGCTGGACCTGACTGCAGCCTTTGACACTGTTGACCATCACCTGCTACTGGAGAGGCTCAGAGACTGGGTAGGCCTATCAGGATCTGCTCTGGAGTGGTTCTCCTCTTATCTCTCTGAGCACTCCTTTTCTGTGGCCGTCTCCAAGTTTAGGTCCTCCACCACCTCTCTTACCCATGGTGTCCCACATGGTTCTGTGCTGGGGCCTCTGCTCTTCCTCCTCTATCTGCTTCCTCTTCAGCACATCCTGAGCTTCTTCAAATGAATCTCCTACCATCTTTATGCAGATGACATCCAACTGTACATCTCCTTTAAGCCCCATGAGATGTCTAAGCTGCAGCTGTTACACACCTGCTTAGACTATCAAAACCTGGATGGCTGGGAGCTTTCTACAGCTGAATGAAGATACGACTGAGATCCTCATCTGTGCCCCAGACAAGCAAAGTCAGAAACTCTCTTGATCAGCTTGCTTCTCACACCAAACCTTCCGTCAGGAATCTTGGCATGACCTTTGACCCAGCTCTCACCCTGGATTCTCATGTCAGTTCTTTTGTTCGCTCTTCCTTCTTCCATTTCAGGAACATTGCTAAGCTGAGTCCCATTCTGTCCCGCTCTGAACTTGAGACAGTTATCCACTCCTTCATCTCCTCATGCTTAGACTACTGTAACTCTCCTTTCACATGCCTGAGCAGAACCTCCCTGAACCGTCTACAGGTGGTTCAGAATGATTGTGCTCTTCTTCTGACCAAGTCCTCCAAACACACCCACATCACCCCGCTTCTCCTCCAGCTTCACTGGCTGCCAGTCAACTTCAGGGTTCATTTCAAGACCCTGGTCCTGGTCTATAGGGCCTTACATGGACAAGCACCATCTTACATTGGTGATCTTCTTAGTCCCTACACCCCCAGCAGGTCCCTGAGGTCCAGTAACCAAAGCCTACTGGTTGTGCAGCACCAGGCTAAAGACCAAAGGTGACAGATCATTTGTTGCTGTGGCCCCCATACTCTGGAACTCTCTCCCCCTGAGCCTGAGATCAGTGGACTCAGTGGTCTCCTTTAAGAAGCAGCTGAAAACTCACTTGTTAAGTTCAAGATTATTTATATAGCGCCAAATCACGACAAGAGTCGTCTCAAGGCACTTCACATAATAAACATTCCAATTCACAGTTCATTAAGCCAATCAGAAATAGTGTGTCCTATGTCCTATATAAGGAACCCAGCAAATTGCATCAAGTCACTGACTAGTGTCAGTGACTATACAGCAATCCTCATACTAAGCAAGCATGCAGCGACTGTGGAGAGGAAAACTCCCTTTTAACAAAAAAGAAACCTCCAGAGAATCCTGGCTCAGTATAAGCAGCCATCCTCCACGACTCACTGGGAGCGAGCAGACAGAGCGAGCGCACGCGCGCGTGCGCGTGCACACACACACACACACACACACACACACACACACACACACACACACACACACACACACACACACACACACACACACACACACACACACACACACACACACACACACACACACACACACACACACACACACACACACACACACACACACACACACACACACACACACACACGCTTTTGTATGACCTTCTTCACCATCCTCTCTTTATTCTGCTCTCCCCACCTATTCCACCTTCCTCAGGATCCACTGATTTCCCTCTTTCCTGTTCACTCTCTCTTAACATTTTTTTATCACAATTGTCCATTTTTGCTCATTTTAAATATATTTTTAAACATTTTCTAAATGCTTTTTTACATTTTTACATTTTTTTGTTTTTGTGAAGCGCCTCGTGATTTTTATCTTGAGAAGCGCTATAGAAATTATATTTTCTTCTTCTTCTACGTGTGGCATGAACTACCGCAGCTAAAAAATAGCCAGTGGATGACGCAAAACGTTGGAATTACAAAGACGAAGAAGAAAACCCCGAAAGTAAACACCAGGAAAACGAAAGACACACGTTCGGTTCAGAACAGATAAGCGCCTGCATGCTAACAGCAATAATGGCCGTGAAAACAAGGCGTTTGTCTTTGGCTCTTCTTGCCATCATGTGTGTCAATAAAAAGAAAAAGTTGTTTGTCGCTTCCGCTTCCTTAAATTCCACCCCTGCTTTCAGGTTTGCGCATGAGCTGTGAGCGGTTCTGATACTTTTTGGGTCGCAGCTGCTCGCAGCGCTGCTTCAACAGTGCGATACCCTCACGAGGGACGGGCAAAATATCAAACACACACAAGTCCGTGCGAGCTCACGATTGCTGATCGGTAGCTGGTCACTTGGTGTTAATCGCCTCTCGTAACCCCCTGTATACTACACGACGCTCAGCGCAAAACTCGCCCCGATCTTGTGGATTCTCGCACAAGTGGAAAATTGGCTCAAAAAAGTGAAAAAGTCGCACAGTGTATGCCCGGCTTAAGGTGGTAGAGAACGAGCAAGCCACACTCCTGTGGGACTTTCAGATCCAGATCGACAAAACGGCGATGAATCAACGGGACATTGTGGTGGTGGACAAACAACAGGACAGCCGTTATGGTTGATGTAGCAATACCAAGTGATGGGAACATCAGGAAAAATGTCAGACATCTCAGTCCAGAAAAGTGCGGTTCTATAGGAACAGCTACAATACTGCGTAGAACCCTCAAGCTCCCAGACCTCTTGTAGAGGACCTGAGCTTGGAAGGATGAGACCACCCACAGAGGGTCAGATAGGGATTTATATATGTAGCAAGAGGTCTTGCTTCTGGATGTATCTACAGAATGGGTGTGTTAAGGTGCAGATAGTGCAGTCAGATTATATATATATATATATATATATATATATATATATATATATATATATATATATTTAAATCACATCTTTGCACAGACAAAAATGACTTACTAAAGCTGGTTTAGAACAGTCACAGACCAGGGTAAGTTGGTGTTGACAAAGCTTCACCTGAACAATGTTACACAGGTCCTTCTCAAAAAATTAGCATATTGTGATGAAGTTAATTATTCTCTGTAATGTACTGATAAACATTAGACTTTCATATATATTATATTCATTACACACAACTGAAGTAGTTCAAGCCTTTTATTGTTTCTAATATTGATTTTGGCATTCAACTTATGAAAACCCAAAATTCCTATCTCAAAAAATTAGCATATTTCATCCGACCAATAAAAGAAAAGTGTTTTTAATACAAAAAAGGTCAACCTTCAAATAATTACGTTCAGTTATGCACTCAGTACTTGGTCGGGAATCCTTTTGCAGAAATGACTGCTTCAGTGCGGCGTGGCATGGAGGCAATCAGCCTGTGGCACTGCTGAGGTGTTATGGAGGCCCAGGATGCTTTGATAGTGGCCTTAAGCTCATCCAGAGTGTTGGGTCTTATGTCTCAACTTTCTCTTCACAATATTCCACAGATTCTCTATGGGGTTCAGGTCAGGAGAGTTGGCAGGCCAATTGAGCACAGTAATACCATGGTCAGTAAACCATTTACCAGTGGTGAGCACTGTGAGCAGGTGCCAGGTCATGCTGAAAAATGAAATCTTCATCTCCATAAAGTTTTTCAGCAGATGGAAGCATGCAGTAATCCAAAATCTCCTGCTAGCTAGCTGCATTGACCCTGCCCTTGATAAAACACAGTGGACCAACACCAGCAGCTGACTTGGCAACCCAGACCATCACTGACTATGGGTACTTGACACTGGACTTCAGGCATTTTGGCATTTCCCTCTGCCCAGTCTTCCTTCAGACTCTGGCACCTTGATTTCTGAATGACGTGCAAAATTTGCTTTCATCTGAAAAAAGTAGTTTGGACCACTGAGCAACAGTCCAGTGCTGCTTCTCTGTAGCCCAGGTCAGGTGCTTCTGCCACTGTTTCTGGTTCAAAAGTGGCTTGACCTGGGGAATGCGGCACCTGTAGCCCATTTCCTGCACAAGCCTGTGCACGGTGGCTCTGGATGTTTCTACTCCAGACTCAGTCCACTGCTTCCGCAGGTCCCCCAATGTCTGGAATCGGTCCTTCTCCACAATCTTCCTCAGGGTCCGGCCACCTCTTCTCATTGTGCAGCGTTTTCTGCCACACTTTTTACTTCCCACAGACTTCCCACTGAGGTGCCTTGATACAGCACTCTGGGAATGGCCTATTCGTCCAGAAATTTCTTTTGGTGTCTTACGCTCTTGCTTGAGGGTGTCTATGATGGCCTTCTGGACAGCAGTCAGGTCGGCAGTCTTATCCATGATTGCGGTTTTGAGTAATGAACCAGGCTGGGAGTTTTTAAAAGCCTCAGGAATCTTTTGCAGGCGTTAGAGTTAATTAGTTGATTCAGATGATTAGGTTAATAGCTCGTTTAAAGAACCTTTTCATGATGTGCTAATATTTTGAGATAGGAATTTTGGGTTTTCATGAGCTGTATGCCAAAGTTATCAATATTAGAAACAATAAAAGGCTTGAACTACTTCAGTTGTGTGTAATGAATCTATATGAAAGTCTAATGTTTATCAGTACATTACAGAAAATAATTAACTATCACAATATGCTATTTTTTTAGAAGGACCTGTAATCGTCCAACATAACATAATGAAATGTAGCAAGTCTGGAGAAACCAAATAGCATCAGTACTAGCCACTGATCCCATCTATCAGCATAGTGGTGGAGGGCTGATGGTTTGGGCTCTATCTCCAACCACCATGAATGCCTCTAGATACCAACATATTCAACATTTGTCGAGCAGCTGAAGCTTGGACCCGACCAGCTGGACTCACCTGCAGATTCTTCAGAGCCACAACTGGAATCACAGCAATCACAAACAGAGTTCGGCCCAAACAGCTCCACCCATCTGAAAACATGGAGTAATTAATGATCCGGCATGTTTCAATCCCACAACTACTTCCTGCAAAGATCTGACCTTCTAGTGTTTGAGTCATAGTTGCAGGACTTAGCTGTTGGTGTCGGGACCAGACTGCCTACAAACATGGTGCAGTGCATGTAGAGCTGCTGCAGAAGACACAAGCAGGTAAAGGGTCACACCTTTAACTTAGGAGGAGAAAGTGAAACTAAACATTCTGCTCACCTGAGCCGCCATCCCTTTGAACAGAAAAGCATCAACAGAGAATCTCACAGCGTTGTTTCTGTGAGGGATGAATCTGGAGTGGCTGCTTTTGCTTTCCACCATACATCTTCACCATCAGAAGGAAAGACAGAAGTCAGAGGTGTCAAAAATGATAGTCTCCTTCATAGAATTAAGCCCAGATGGAGATTACCCAGAGTTCTTTATGACTGGATACTGAGGCTTGGAGGTGTGGGACTTCTCAGAAGTTGCATAACATGTGTGGATGTAAAGTCTTTCGTCATTGGACAGCGATTCGGCCTTGGCCTCAAAGAACATGGGTTCCCCGAGAACATAGTCAGGCTGAGAGGTCTCCTTCCACTCAGCTGAAGTACAAGAGAAACATTTCATTTTACTAAAGGGAACCCAGATGGTCAAAGAGTTTTACTTAAATCATTAAACTAAAATTAAACTATTTAAGTCCAAATCTGTGTTTAAGATGCTCCTAAATAAATTAATAAAATGTAATGTTTTCAATCTAAATGTGACTCCCTGAATTAGACTAAAATAATAGTTGTGTGTGTTCTAGTTTTACCAGTTTGTGGCGTCAGAACAAATTTTGCGGAGTTCCTCATTTTTTTCAGGACTTTGCGCATCTGCACCTTTGGTGTGTATCCAATTTTATACGAGTAAACAAACCTAAAACACAGAACACGTTAAGAACACGCTAAAAGAGGATTTTAGCGTGAAGAAGAAACACAGCTGGATTATTATTCTGGATCTGAACTCACCTGTTAAAATAACAAGCAATGGGCAGCTTCAGAGGCGCCATCCTTCTGATTGGTCCTTTACGTTTTGGTGGGTCATAATGCAGCAGGTTAAAGTAAACCATCCGATTACCAATCATCTAGAGGTGATGTGAGACTTTATACTAGCATCCAGCATCTGGGTCCAGCAGGAAGCTCTAGACCAGATTCTGGGTCCATGCTGAACTCTAATCCCGTAACAGCTGATGTAAACCAGAGTCTGATGTCTAGCATAGTAACTATTTTATACCAAATATTCAGGTTAATTTTTTAATTAGTTTGTTCCTTTGGTAGCTCCAACTGTTTTAACATTTATACTTTAACCATGCAACAATTTATTTAGCCTTCAATCCCAAATCTGACAGATAACATGACCAAGGGTGCCAAAGAGTAATCTCGCCTAGGCACCAAATCGCACCGGCCCTGCCGTGACTTACCGTGCGCTTGGTACCACACTTCTCCAGCTCGTACTCAAAGAGCAGGTGATGTTCTGTGGTTCTGCTGACTTGGCAGGTTCCGAGTTTCAGGTGAGAAACCGGATCACCAAAACCCAGAATGCTCCGGTCTACCTGGAGCTGCATCTTGTTCAGTTCGCAGGAAGTCTTTACGGTAACGGCGGACATGCTGGGCGGGCTGGTGTCGGGCATCACCGGTAGCAGGAGCTCCCGGACCGGCCCAGGTAGGGGCTCCTGTCCGGTCCCTCTGGCCGGGGAAAAGTACTCCTTGTGGACCAGCGGCAGGTCCGAGTCCATGTACATGGGGAGGCTGAGGTACTTGTGCTGCAACAGCGCCGGTGTTTCCCTCCGGTAAACGTTCATCAGCTGATCGGTTCGGTTAGAAGCTTCAGCCATTAGAGGGCCTCCTTCCGCGGAGAACACGAGGAGAACCAGGAGGAGCTTCATCATATTTTTACTTGTTTTACTGTCTCTGATCTGGAGTCTAATCTGGAACACCTGGTGGAGAAAAGCAGCTCCATGGCTCCGCCCACCGGCTGCTGCAGGTACTAATCTGAAACCTGTGACGTCACTTACACACGCCGCTCTAAACGGAACGTGGAGAAAAAATACGAGTTTTCATCTCATTAAAAAAACTCATAAATTAGATGAGTCACAAACAGGTGGAATAGTTAGTCTTTGTTGTATAATGGGTTTTTATTAATAACATCACAAATATATTTCATGGACTCTTGACCTCTGACCTTAATCTGAACCAGTTCCTGCGGGATTTTGGATGATGTTCTGGCTTCTGTTGTTCCTGGGTTTCTGTAGAAAAGAGGACGTGTTGCTTTTTTAGATCTTTTAGCATTCATGCTCAGACAGGTCCTATTGAGGTGATTTCTTTTGCTATAAATAATCTGGTTAATCCCAGGTAACTCAGGATTGCAGTTCCACTCTGGACCACATGAAGCCTGCATGATGGATTTAGTATAACTCAGGTCTTCTGTGTTTTAACTGATGCATTTGCTGATCTGAAAGGTTTAGTAAGGGGGAACACGTGTATATATTTGTGTGTGTGGTGTGTGTGTGTGTGTGTGTGTGTGTGGTGGGGGTAATACCACATAATTGTTTTATGTTTCAGAGTCTTAAATCTTCCTTATCAGACTGAAACAAATGGAAGCAGCTGCAGCCCACTCTCTCGTTCACCAGGCCGAGCACTCAGTGAGCAGGGTGAGTAACGTGACAGACCAGAGGGGGGGAGCGGGCCTCGCAGCTCTGTTGCACAGGTGTGTGTTGCAGCACTCGTTGGTGAAGGTGAAGTTGAGTCCCATGGCAGACCTCTCACCTGTGATTCCACACAGAGCCTGCAGGACACAGCTCTTCTCGTACAGCACCACATGGAAGTCTCCTGAAAGTTCAAACATCAGTTTAATGCGTGCACGCCCCTCTGCTCCCCAGTCTCTCTCACTTTCACTTCTGACCCATTTAAATGTGGCTTGGCGACTCGAGGCGCTCACCTTTCTGACCTACGGCTCTGCTGGAGAGGCAGAGCTGCCCAGGTGGACACCTGAGAGGGAATCTGATGCAGTCCAGAGGTGAGATGGCAGGAAACACACAGGTGTAGCAGAAGAGGGTCACTAGAGGACAATAAGGTTGGTTAAAGCATTATAATACTGTTAGACATTTAATATGATTTAAATTAAATCGGCCTTAATTTAGAGAAACTGTGTTTTTAACTGATCTGCAGCAGTCAGAGTGATGTCATTTTGGAGAATCGGGTTCTCTTGAAGCTAATGGCTAACGGAGCTAAACCCTTCGAGCTAGCGCTGCATCATGTATTTGTATTTTGACAGAATAATTCAATGTTTGCTTATTTCAATGCTGAAGCATGAGTCAGTTTTCATTCCCAGATCTTAAGCAGCTCATAATCAGCAGCCATGTCTGCAGTTACCATAGCAACAACAATATTTCGTTAAGATGGTTAAATGCTCTGATTAGCTGTTAGCTTGACTCTCTGAATGTTGTCTGCTGCAGGTAAGACAAACCATTCATTTAGGCCCATGTTTGTTATTGCTGCCTAATTTAATGACATCTGCAAAAGAAGTTCATAAAGTCATTCAAATCCCCAATTTTCTAAATAAATAAGGTCAAATATTCTAAAAGGAGAGTCTTTAATGTTTAAATTAATTTTTCATTTAGGCAAAATAAAAAAAAGAAAGTGATGAGTGTTTTCTACAGAGAATATGAATAATAACCTAGTTACTGCAATTAAATTGCTTTCCCCCCAAAATTCTTAATTTTTTTATTTCATCTAAATTGAAAATCTCAGTCCGTTTGGTATTTCAGAAGTTTCCTGATAAAAACATTTAAACTGATAAATAAAACATAAGTTTCCATTCAATGAATTCTATTTGTATTTGGTTGGGTTTATAGTTTTTCTGTCACTCACCTGCAGCTGGAAGTAAAAACAGGCAAATCAGAGGACTCAGAAGCTTCAACATCTCTGAAAAATTTCAAATCCTCCAGCAGCTTGATTTATATGCCGGTGTTTACTGAAACCCGTCAGCTGTTTTCATCCCGAACAAAACAAACAAACCAGCAGCTTCAGTCAGATCCAGGAATCATCAGCATCGCTGTTGTCAGCCAATCAGCTGCTGCTAATAACACACACACACACACACACACACACAGGTCTGGTTCTGCATCCGGTTAGGATTATAATCCTGTTTATTTTCTTGTGGGTAATGAAGTTGAGGAGGCCATATTGAGATTATTAAATCTTTGTCCTCCTAATGAGGGACGTTGAGTGTTTGGGGAGGACAGTCAGCTGATCTGAAGTCTCATGACTGAAGTGAGACGGAGCCACAAACTGCTGCTGCTTGTTAATGTTGCTCAAACACAAAGAGTCTGATTTTACAACTACATTTACTTATTTTCATGAGAACTTTTATGGTTTGGTTCTGAAAAATCATCACTTTTCCTCCAGGTTTAATGAAATAATGGTTTCTGACCAGGTCCATCATATTGTGAAAGTATTTTATCTTGAATATAAATGAAAGGAAGATATGCCTTTGGTACCAGGACCGCCTGTGGATCCACTCATGTGGACTTGGGATTATGGAAAGACAATAGTATCAAAAAGATATATAGACATGAGATGTTGTCAAATCAGGTTCTTATATGCAGAGGACTTTAAAAATGGACTCCGTGCTCTTGTCACCATCATGAGCCAAACCAGGTTTGGCTAAAATGTTTTAATTAAACCATAAAGATCCTTTAAACATCCAGATCAGACCGGTTAAGACCAGACTTTTGTTTTTCTTCTCTGTGTTGCTGTGATGTCATTATTAATAAATAATATCAAAAACACAAGGTCCTGCAGAAAGCAATCCTCACAAGTAATATATGTGTTTCTACAACATATGTAAGGTTAAATAATATGTGCTACATATAAATCTATGTTCTTTTTTATTCATCACTTTAGTGTTATGTGTTTGTGGGACTTTAACAAACTAAACAAACAACCAAACAAACAGCTGACAGGTGCATTAGGCAGAAAGACCTCAAAAATAAAACTGAATCTGGACGCTCAGTGCTGCTCAGACTCTGAATCAGAGCTGAGATCTAAACATCTCCTCAGCACCGCTCTGCCCTGGGATCAGATCACACATGAAACACATGTCAGCCTGATCGATACCCCCCTCCCCCCCCATATCCACCAGTCATGGCCATGCTCTCTGCAGCGCACTGTTCTCGTAGGCTGGAAAGATGGATCGGGACCACAGACGTCCTCTGAGAGGAACAAAAACCAGCAATAGTCAGGTGGACTTATCCTGATTTACTTAACTTTCTGTTCACCATCAAAATCACACCAATTATAAACTCCATGGAGGCAAATTCAGAAGAAAAAAAAACCTACTCAGAGGTGTGAGTTCTGTGAGATTTGTGTTTGTGACAAGAATTATAATTAGCAATAATTATTTGTGTGTGTGTGTGTGTACATACTAAGGACCATTTAGAACATTTTCTCTACGAAGTGAGGACATTTTTTTGGTCCTGACTTTTTTAGAAGCTTACCATTAAATTTTAGAGGTATGGTGTGAATGAAGTTTTAGTTAAAGAGCAAGTCAACCCCTACCAGAGTCTAACTCCACTCTCACTTCATGTTTGAAAAATGCAACACATGCTGTTGCCTGGCAGACCGAGAAGGCGGAGCTGCTAACAAATACACACAAACACAGGCTCACGACAGCATTGTGACATCATAATGTACCAGTTTACATCATAGCATTCCTCTTAGCCAATAGCTGTGGCAGATTTAAATTAAAATACAGTGCAGAGTTTTTACCTGACAACGGCACAACACTAACAGTTTTAGGCAGAATATTTAAATTTTAACTAAGATGCACTGAAGTGCCAAATTATTGACGACACATGTCTGCAGCACGATTAGACACTCTTTTATTTAGATTATCGGCAAAAAAAAGTTGATTTGGGGGTGACTTGCTCCTTAAGTTTAGGGTTAGAAATATATCAGCATTGGTTAGGGTTATATATGCAGTTACCAACATTAAGTCAATACAAAGTCATAATATGGATAGAAATACAATATTGTGTGTGTGTGTGTGTGCGTGTGGGTTTTCTGCAGTTCCGTCGAAAGTTTAGGTTTATTTATTTCTCACCGTTCCTCTGGTAGTCCAGGGTCTCGCCCTCCCCTCTTCCTCCTCCTGTTCCAGCTGTGCGCTCCGCAGATGGACCGGCGCCCCGGTATAGAGTCTGCCGAGCAGGCGCTGTGCCCGCTGGATGGACCGGAACACTACGTCTTGCCAGGACTGCGAACCGATCGGGACAGAACCAAGAGGAACTAACTGGACCTGCATACTTTACCACTCAGGTATTCAGACTGACAACTTTGTTAGATGTAGTTTCTATGGCAACCGGATGCTGAAAGTTGTCCGCTGATTGTTTGCTGAGGAGAATTTGCTTTAACCTTCATAATGCATCTTCTTTTCTATTATTGTACCTTAAAGTTGATACGGAAGCCCGCTTCTGCCAGGTAAAAAAACAATCATGCAGTTATAAATTTTCTTAGTGGGAGAAAAACACTTTCTAAAAAATTTAGGCCTCCTCAATGTCTCCTGTTAATGGTTTTTTAATGCCATAGATCAATCGTTGCATGAAAAATAAGGTCAAACTCCTCCACATCAGAGTTTTATTCTCTTGAGTTTAAAGAAAAAGAAAGAAGTTTCCAACAAGAATAACACCAAACACGTAAAACTGGAAATAATTCAAAAAGTCAAATAAAAAAGGAATGCTTTAAAAGCAGAAAATGTTTTTGGTTGTTTACCTCCAAACACGCACTGTAAACTACACACATACAAGAACTTAACCTGCTTGTTTACCACACACACACACACACACACACACACACACACACACACACACACACACACACACACACACACACACACACACACACACACACACACACACACACACACACACACACACACACACACACACACACACACACACACACACACACACACACACACACACACACACACACACACACACACACATTAATTATACCTGTTAGAAATGTTCTTTAATTAAATCCCGGCATGATAATGATCACAATTACAACTAAATAAAAGGAGAAGAATCTGTTTAAGATTGAGTCTTGAACTTCCAGCTGTGTCTGCACATCTGGAGCTCCATCTAAACACAACCTTTATGGATGATGGAGATATGAATCATAAATAAACCAGATGATTATCACAATAAATATGAAGAGGAGGAGTAAAAGGTGCAGCTCCTCCTCCTCCTCTTGCTGCTGCTCCTCCATCACAGAGTGTGTTTGACTGCTGTCAGAGCGTCATGTTTGTTCTGAAAGTTCTGCTGAAGCTCTCGAAGAAGCTGGTCCCGCTCCTCAGAGTCCAGCAGGATTTGCTGTGATAAGAAAAAACAAATGCATTGAATTGATTAATCACAGTTTGCAGAATTAATTAGAACCCAGTTTTCTGATATGATTTAGTAATTTACAATCTTTAGATGTTCTGAGGTACAAGACTCTTATTGTGAAGGATTATATGAAGTTCTGAGTTCTGCTATGGACGCTACCCTCAGATAGCTCCTTGTACCAATAAAATATATCATTATTATTTCATCATCGTTTGTTTTGCCTCACATGAGGACCGATCTGGGAAAACAAAATAATATTCCTTTAATTATTTTCAGCCTGAAAACAGTTTTAACGTCTTTCATTATTGAACGATTCAGAAGCGACCCGGCAGAACCAAGTAAGATCTTCCACAACTAACCTAAACCTTTTATTCTTCTTCAACAAAGATCATGTTAAGTTGATGTTATGTCCGAGGAGCTTAAATGAAGGAACGCTCACTTCCTGTTTTATTTTACCTCGATGAGTTTGTCCCTCTTCACCAGAATGTCCCTCAGCTTCCTCTCCTCTCGCTCTCCTTCCTCTTGGTTGTTCTGCCAAGTTCTCTCAGCCTCCTTTCTCTCCTTCTCCTTCTCCCTCAGCTCCCGCTGGAGGTCTCCGAGCTGGGCCGTCAGAGATGAGAGCGCCTGACTGTAAGTAACCTGCTGCGTCTGAAAGGAGAAGAGCATCGGATCAGCGACTCAATCGCCTCCAGCCTGCTGACCTCAGAAGAGCCAGCAGCTTCTAAAATCTCCGGAAACGTCGGCTCACATCTCAGAGGGATGGATTATATGTTGGATTCAATGAAAACCTCCAGTTTTAGGTCAATAGCATTTCTAAAACTCCAGTTTATTGATATTAAAATTAGGGCTGGGAAAATTAGCGTGTTAATTATTAACGTTAATTTTGTTATTTTAACGTGTTAAAAGTAAATGACGCAATTAATTTGACCATCTCTCCAACCCGGAGCCACCATTCTCCAAAATTTCTCATATTTCCCCTGGGATAATATTGCTAAACGATTATTTACTGAGCCCAAAAACCGATCAAACCTCTACCCATACTACGGACCCTCAGCATCGAGGATTCTTTTGTGCAGAGAAGATGAACAGAGGCGGAGCGCTTGTTTGCTCCACCAGCATCTGCGGCTTGCGCACGGCCACAGTAACATTCTCAAAGCGGTGCCACCAAAATAAATGTAACACGCGATCGTTCATAACTGCTTTGGCACTTTCTGTGTTTTATTATTGGCTGACGCGCATTGCTGCTGCGCTCACCACCCGTGCTCCACGGCCGCAGCCAGGCAGCGTTTTTTCTGGAGAACTAGATCCTGCATCTCCCTGTGGCTGATGCAGGACCAGAGACAGACAGGACAGGATAAAAGTCAAATAATAAGAAAACAAAACAAAGAGCTTGGAAAAGAAAATGTAGGTAGATTTATCCCACTACATGTTTTAACGTTATAAAGTAAATAATATTTATAAGCTCATAATATTCATATATTCCATACAATTCAGATCACCTTCAAAACTCCGTCCCACCCAGGGCCGTATCAAAGCATTTGGGGGCCATGCCAGCGAGGTGTCTCTTATTTATTTTTTGGGGAGTTGGCAATCCTAGTTCAACTGACGCTGTGGAAAAGGACATTTACATTAAATAACATAAGGTGCTAGATTTATTTTCTGTTCGTTGTTTACACAATAGACTTTTTCAAATGTTTTTGAACAGAAACTGGATTTGCTTTGAGGTTTTTCTCTGTTAAAGACAGTATTCAGTGATTTTACACACTTCAACAAGTTAAAATGAACCTCATATTTTTGCACGTTTGTTGCTTGCCTTTTATGGTAAAAAAACAACTAATTGTGATGAATTTTTTTCAGATTTTCAATTAATTAATTTATTTTAATCGATTCCTGGCCTTAATTAAAATGCAATAATGAATTAATTTTCCTCATTTCAAAATTTTTGTTTTGATTTAAATTTGTTCGACTTTTGCTTTTCTTGAATTTTTTCCATAGTTATTTTGAAAAATTTAAATTTAGTATTTTAAATACATTATTCTTACTTTTTAAAAGAAATAATACGGAAAAAACTTTCATGAATTCCAGAATTAATATTAGTGTTAAATCTCACTTTTATTAAGCTTTTAAAACTATGTAGTTTCCTCATTTAGGGAAAACTTGTGAAGTTTTATTTTTAATGTAAATTACTTGACAGAATAGCTCTAATTTGTGATGTATCTTAAGTTAGATCTGAATATTTAAAAAAACCAAAAAATAAGTCTCATTTTTGTTTTGAATAAATAAAAAAAAAATCACGTCTCACCCGTTTCTGCTCCTGAATCTCCTGCAGGGCTGCCGTGAGCCTGGTGACCTCCTGACACAAGGTGGGGCTGTTTTCTTCTCCATCTTTGAATAAAACACCTGCTTCAGCTCCGCCCTCTGATGACTGCTGACCAATCACAGAGCTGGAAGGAGCCTGGAGGAAAAAAAAGACTCTTTAGAGTAAAAAATAAATAAATAATTGAACTAGAGAGATCATTTATAACAATTTGTCCCAAATGTTGAACATAATGGAAGGAAAAGTTTACATTGGCCAGTGAGAAATAAAACATTCATCCATCTGAAGTCCAGCTGACTGAAGGTTTAACTGTAAAATCAGACTTATTGTGTGTCTGTTCTTAAATCTCGTTTAAAGACCTACTTTTGTGGTGTGGCTTTTGGACGGTGTCTATTTTACTTTATTAAAACTTTTATATGTTTTACCCGTTTTTAATGACCGTGCCCCGTGCAACTCTTTGGTTAGCTCTCATGCAGTGTTTAAATGTGCTATATAAATAAAATGGAATGGGTGTGGTAAATAAATAAAGCCCCAGGGTGGAGGTGTTTACCCACAATGCACTGCTGCACAAACAGCTCATGCATGCTGTTGGTGGTTCAAACTGATTTCAGATCTGTTTCTTTAACCTTTTTATCTTCCAGCTGCTGTCTCAAGTTTCGGATCAGAACTTCCTTCTCCTGCAGGACCACTGCCAGGGCTCCATCTCTCCGTCTCCACAGCTCTCGTTCCTCCTCCACCTCCTTCAGCAGACACTCCTTCTCCCTCAGAGAAACCCGCAGGTCCTGGAAGCAGGAAGGACTGTTTTAAACCCTAAATCTGTCTGAGCCCGAGGGGTACGGAGTCGGGGCTTTACGTTGATGACATCCTGGTTGCACTGCAGAACTGTGTTGAGGGTGTCCAGGTCCCGCTCACGGTCTCGCCCAGCCTTCCTCAGTGCCTCTACCTCCTTCTCCAGGTTCTTCTCTCTCTCCATCCCATCACGCCTCAGAGTCTCCAGAACCGCCTGCAGAACACAACCCTACGCGTTTATGCAGCTACCCAACTGTCAGAACTTACTGATGAGTTTAGGGATGTTCCTGAGCCAGAGAGACAAAAGGAACCAGAACTCCTATCATGAGACATTCAGCCTCAGAGACTAAAGTCTGTCTGCTCGGGCTGATATGCACTCCAGGCAGCTGCTGATATCTATGAGTAAACAAAGCTTCGCTGTATAGTAAACAACCAGAACCGGGTCGGCTCTGACCTTGTTGTCGGACAGAATTTCCTTCAGATTCTCAGACAGTTTGTCAGTCAGCTGGGCTCCAGCTTGGTCCTGCACACACAGTCTTCGGATCAGACCCAAACACTCCTGGAGATAGAAGATTTCACCACAACAGTTCAGAACAAACAATCCGAGGGGTGCTGATGCAGCAATCTGATAACGATAATGATGATGGAGACTGATCATCTCAGCTCAGACTAAGTGTCGGTTTGGATTTATTTAATTTTTGTTCTTTTAAGAAGTTTAAAGAAGATCAGAAATCACAGAAACGTTAAAGCTGCTTCTGGTGGCTCATTAGCATCACTAGGTTAACCACTGGTGGCTTGTTAAGGTCACTATGGTAACAAGCCACACGTGTCTCTCACTTCCCGAGTCTTACAGCAAGTCAGACTAAAACATGAGCAGAAGCTCTGATGATCAGAACCCAGATTTTACACACGCCTGGTCAGTGCAGCTGACAAACACGCTACATTTTATTAGCATTTCATTGAAATACCCAGAGATAGCATCTGTAGAGATGCACGGATCTCTGGTTCCGGTTGGTTATAATCCTGCTGATTCTGGCTGTTTGCTTTGAGTCCAATGGTCTGACGGTCCGTGTTGTCTCTGCTGTGAATCATTAACACATCAGCAGCTAAACCAAACCGAGTTGCAGCTTGGGGGTTTGGGCCTGCAACTTTAAGGTCGAGCAGCGGATTCTAAAGCAAACAACATTCCAGCAGCTTTGAGCCAGAGCTACCGGAGCCACAGAGGATTCCTGCCTCACCCACCTGGATCAGACGCTCCCGGCTGTGCAGGGAGTGGGCCAGGCTCTGCAGCACCGAGCTGCCACCGCCCTCTTGAGCCAGCTGGAAGGAAAAGAGAGGAACGTCACTCATGTCAGCTTTCGTAGGACTTCAGAGAAGTCACGTCACATAAACTAGAAATTTAAAATCATATACTCAAAACGAAGTAGATCTGTTTACAGTGCACCTTCAAATCCAGACGTATCTTTTACCATCAGAGTTTCAACCATCTGAAAACAAAACAGCTGGTTTCTCTTTAAGCCTGAAGCTGGGAAACGTGATCATTTCATGAGAATCTGAGATTATTCAGGTTCCTTCAGCTCCACCAATTTTTACCTCTGCAGGAAATCAGAAGGTTCTGCATTTGAGAAGAGTTATCCAGGAGAACCTCACTGACTAAGTTTATACCCGCTGCTTCATTTTATCAGGGCAGCTTTTATTCTGACAAGTCAGCTTTTATTCTGACAGGTCGGCTGATGGGCATCTTGCAGCACAGCTGAAGACTCTGTTACTAATGACGACCGAACCCTGGGGCGAATGCCACTGGTTAAGGGAAAACACACACACACACAGGTGTGTGTGTTTACCTGTATTCATGAGGAAATGAAGACACACCTGTTCATAGAGTTTTATTTGGGCTGAGTCAGCACTCTGGCTGCATTATGGAGCTATTTGGACCAAGTAAACCTGCTTTTCTGGATTAACAGAACTTTTTACTTAACATGTCTTAAACCTCTCGGCTCAGATTGGGTTTATTATTTAATTAATGTCAGTATATATTCGCTATAGGAACTTGTTATAGAGTAGAGACCATGGAGAAGAGAAAGCCTTCAGCGCTGAAGACGAGCATCGATGTTTCTGTAAAACATCTCGTAAACATCTAGAACCTCCTTTTCTTGAAACTTCAGGAAATGTTTGATGGATGCAAATCTATAACTTATTCAAGATGGCCACCACACCTGCATGTCTTTAGACAAAACCAAGGCAAGGTTCACCAACTCCCTCCAAAGTCAAAATCCTCCAACCGGAAAATTGTGTTTGATGATAAACTTATCAGAACCAGTTCGGGTGAATGTTTAGAGGTGTCGTGGTGGATTTATTAATTTTTTCCCCGTGTCCTGTCTGGCTGTGAAGCAAACAGAATTGACGTCTGAATGCTGGTGACAAGCCTTACAGATTTACTCTCAGGTGGTGCGCCTAGTACTTAAAGCTTTGTTATCGTTTTGGATGCTTTAAAATTCCGACCAGACACGGAGACAGAGGTGAACGAAAAAAGACGAAACAAAAGGAAGGGATGAACAAGAGTCTGCTTCTAGACCTGCAGAGAGAGAAAAAACAAACAAAACAAAAAAAAAGGGGGGGGACACAACAATACAACTAGAGCAAGCCATCACTGGTGGTGGATTTAGTTCCACCAGGGTTCCTCGTCCTCCTGCTCTTTATGCTAAACTAACGGTCAGCCATAGAATGTACGAGAGAACGAAGAGAAGACTTACGAAGGTCAGGTCCTCTGATCCATTGACTTCAGCCGGGTTGTTTCCTCGTTCGGCCTCTAGGGTTCTGATGCGGGATGCAGCCTGGTCCAGTTGGGCTCGTAGGTGTTCCATAACATTCTGAACCCTTCCAGTGTAGCTCTGAAACAACAAAATAAGATTTCAGTAATCTAAGACGGACCGCTGATCTGTGCTGCTCCAACTCTAGCTCATCCCTTCTACCGGAACAACTCAAATCAGACGGAGTAAAAACAGATATGTTAAAGTCTAAAGTAAAATCTTTCAAAATGAAGACTTCAGTAATGTTTGGGAAGGCAGAGGCTTCAAGGCCAACACCAGGGTTAGAGCCAGCGTTCATTCATAAAGAGGGAGGAGTTTTATTATTCCTGAGACATCTTTTCAACACTCCTCGTTGGCTGTCACGTCATGTAGAACGCAATAAAAGTACAAATAACTCAAATGCTAGGGTCGGCATTAGTGACCCACGCTGGAGTTGGCGCTAGCGATCAACAGTAGAGTTAGGGATCTACACTAGGGTTAGCGTTAGCGACACTGGGGTTAGTGTAAGGTGCTCACACATGAAGCAGATACTCACGTCTCGATGAAGCGCCATGAACTCATCCCTCATTTCCATCAGGACATCTCCATCCATTTCATCCCTTCCATTTTCCACATCCACTAAGTCCAGAACTCTGCTCACATTGGGTGATACACCTCCATTAACTCTTTCACTGAACCTTCCGTCCTTTCGATCCAGAACTGGGATCCTGCTGCCTGAAGGCGAACTAACTGGTTTCCCTCCAATGCTCCTCAGCTTCTTCAGGACAAAGTTAACGGATTGGTCACCCGGCGTATCAAACGGGTTTTGGCCATCGATGGAGTCCAGAGACTGAACGGACTCTGTACGGGAAGATGCTTTTAAGGATAGACTGGACCCAGCCAGCGAAGCCGGACTGGAGCTGATGGATGGCTCCCCCTGCCAGTGGAGGGGCAAGCTCTGGGATTTGTCCCGCGACAGCCCCGACGGAGAGAACAGCTGGAAAGGCAAGTGACGAGGAATCCCACAGACAGACTCATAATCGGAGTCAGAAACCCGTAAAGAGTCGCAGCCTTCACAGCCCTTACCCCTCCTGCACCTTTTACCGGTTCTGATGAAATACGGACAGGCGTCCCACTTCTCGGACCAGCATTCGTACTCCGAGAGAGCCATGTTGTCTTTCAGCATGTCCCTGTAGCCCTCCTTCTCCTTCTCTTCTCCATCATCCTCGCTGGTGCTGCCCCTGTTCTGGAAGTCCTGGGGGTGGCGGTGGAGGTAGTTCTGGTGAACCCAATGTCTGATTTTGTCCCTCTCCTGAGTCAGCTTCTGAAGGCGCTCCGATGAGAGCACCTTGACCCTGGAAATCACTGTGTCGAACTTAAACACCCGCTCCAGGGCAGACACACATTTCCCACAAACAAACTCTCCCACTCCACCGCCACGTGGTACCGACCGCCTCAGAATGTGCGTCAGCACAGCTAGCAGGTCCACTGCTTTGGACGGGGAGTTCACGGACACCTGGGACTTGGACAGAGACACAGAGGACCCCAGAGACAAGGTGCTACCTGAGGAAAAAAAGAAGTTTAATTTCTGAGTTACAGAATTCCAGACACTTCCCAACATTCCAGCCTTACCCCAAGGGCTGCTCTGAGAGGACCAGGGCAGGCTTCCACTTCTCAGGGACTGTGTTGGGGTGTGAGACAGACCAGTCCTCTTGTTTTGTCCCCCAAAAAGCCATCGCCTTTGGTTTCCCTGGAGATTGCCGCCACATATTCGGCAGAGGTCATTTCTCCCTTTGCTGGACATCACGGAGGAACAGTTGACCAGTTCTGCTCCACAGGTCCAAGGGTTGAGGAGAATTCTCTGTAAGACAGGAATTTCGACACCATTTGACCAAGATATTGACTGTAAGATATCTGTAGAAGACTCCAGCGCTGAACAAAAACACACAAGGGCGTCAGTTTGTTTTAAAAATTGCTGGGGACAATAAAGTAGGCTAGCACAGGGGTCGGCGGCTCTGGAGCCGCATGCGGCTCTTCCATCCATCTGATGCGGCTCTCTGTGCTTGTAAAATAATGAATGGATATTTAAATAAAAAGCTTTATATTTTACTGCATTAACTTTACATTTGTATGCCAATTCTAAATGTAAAGATTGTCTGCGTAAACCTGAACAGGTCCAACCCGGTCTTACTGTGAGACCGGGTTGACGCGTCACGCTTGTGCGTAATCATAGGCGCTTCCTGAGCTGGAGGATGTCAGATTCTGGGCTTCTCCTCAGACAGGTTCCTGGATGCGTCGCCACATTGGAGACAGGAACAAGCACTATTCAGCCAAAGTTTCAGAATCAGGTGTGGCAGTGTGAGCATCCTGTCACAGTGTCCCGATAGATAATGCGCCCTGGCTACTTAGCCAAGGGGTTGTCCCTTTGGCTGACTGGTTAGAGCGTATGACTCTCACCCGGGAGTCTGGGGATCGAATCCCGCCCGGGCCCTCGTTTCTCCACCTTGCCACATTATTGACGGATAAACTCAAGGATGCTGGTTGTTTTGAAAGAATTACCCCAACAAACTTTGATGCGCATGGATGTAATTGTTAAGCACATCGCAGAGGTAACTTGATTCCCATCAGAACATCAGAGCTTTATACTGGACACTGTGTTCAGCGCGGCTCGGAGCGCCCACGGTGGACAGTGGGCTGAAGATCTGAGGGGTTCGCAGCGCAGTGCAGAACCACGGCGCATGCGATAAGATTTCCTCCCACTGAAGCGGTCTGGAAACCCGGTCTCTCTGAGGGATGTGTCACTTGGAAAAATGTTCTTTTTATGAAATTATGAAACTTTGGCTGAACAGCGCTTGTTCCCGTCTCTAATATGGAGACGCATGACGCATCCAGTCTGAGGCAGAATAGCTCTTCAGCTCATAAAGCACCCGTAGAGACATTTGATTACGCACAAAGTTTATGTGGAGCAGAAGCGGTCGGGCCACGGCAGGTGAAATGTTCCTAGCCTACATGAAGTGTAACATTAATATGTTACTGGACACGCTGGTCTGGTTGGTTAGACCAGTGTTTGAAGTGGAAAACACACACACACACACACACACACACCAATTAAAATAATGCTGATAGCGTGGACTATAAGACAGGGGATGGTTTACGTATTTAAATGATGATCAGGCTGCTGTAAAATGTAATCTCCATCCACATCCAGACAGAATTATCCACTATTCTTTCTCTATTTCCTCTGCTCTTGTCTGGGCTGACGTAGCTGATGGTGCGCGCGATGCGCCTAACTAGCGGCTGATGCACATTTTACGCATTTGGAGAGGTGGGCTGGATGCTTTGTTTTTACTGGAAGTTGGTCCACTTAACGCACAGGTGTAGACTACATATTAATGACAACTGAATGAAAATTAAATTGTGAGTTTTTCTTTCATATTTTAGAAATAAAAATGACGGGGGAACACATTTATGACGTCTTTTTAAACAAAATTTTCTAGCGCATCCTGCCTGCTTCACTAAGTCACTGCTTATTAAGGTCTGTCCAAAATTACCGTGGCCCACCCAAAAATGAAAACCTGGCGCCGCGCCTGTTATAAACCTCTGCAAATGGTTGTTCTTCACTTTATCAAACTCAGACTTTGTACAGCTTCTGTCAAGATGTAAAATTATGAATTCAGTCGAGCTCTTCCGTCCCTCCCTCTCCTGCTCTCCTGGAAACCCGACATTGGCTGTCAGAAGTGGGAGGTGAAGAAGGAGATGAGGCAAACAGAGTGAGTGCGACATAGAGAAACCAGACTGGTGTGGAGGTGAGCAAAACAGAAGGAAAAGTGTGGGTGTTGAATCCCCCATGGGTGCGACGCCCTTGCGAGCGACCGGTACCGGCTGCTGTCACCTGGTTGTGAGCAGCTCTCTGCTGTCTGAGGGTAGGCCCCGCCCACAACGCTGCGGCCGCTGTGGCTCCCAGTGTTTTCTTTACTGTGGGAAATGGGTAATTATGGCTCTTTGATGGGAACAGGTTGCCGACCCCTGGTATAAGATCTGAGCTGGTAAAACAAAAATCCTCATCAGCAGGCTTTTTTTAAGTGTGGGGGGGGGGGGGGGGGGGGGCGCACAGCTGCCAATCACAAATTTTGCCGGGGACATGTCCCCGGCGTCCCCGGTTAAAATGACGCCTATGAAAACACAGACCTAATATAATTATATAATATTTAATTAAATGCATATTTATAATTACAGAAAGTTTAAGAAATTATTCACTTAAATTATATATTCTTTTATTTCATATTTTAATCACAGAATTTTTTTTAATGCTTCGTTATTTAATACATTTTGGCAGGTCTGGGCTTGCATAGAAGTCACTCTTCAGCCATGTATTCTGGAATTAGCCTTGCTTTGTGAACGGAGCTAACAGGTCTGCTTTTATAAAAACTTAGTGAAGGTTTGTGCTACCACTAGGTAATTCACTTGATGAATAAAAGACTTTGATTGGAAATTTTCTTTATTCTAAACTTTTATTTCTGTTCAGACCTACATTTCTGAAATACACGCATAAAAAATCTGAAGTGTTTTAGCATCAACGTTCTGATGGAGGATTTTAAAACCTGAGGGCCGCATAATATCATCCCAGCAGCCGAAAAACGGCCCCCAGGTGACATTTTGGACAGCACTGGTCTAAAGTCAAAAGTAGAAACTCTGAGGAATTCTTTTGAACTTTACCCACAGAAGCTGAATTATGTTCTGTTTGAGAATTTTTCAACTGAATCGTGCTCCATTTTTATTTAGGAACCAGAACTTCTACCTAAAAGCTTCCGAAGCCGCTCGGGCTCTGGCCGATTCTCCGGTCCTTTCCGGGGTTCTGGGTGTTCCAGGGACGGACCGAACACGTCGCCCTGCTGCAGCCACGCTGTCACCGATTCCACATCAGCTGGTTTCAGCCGACCCGAGCGGAAAAACAAGCGGAAACTCTTCCTCCACTCACTCGATTTTTCACCTTCAGAAGTGATTTACATTCAAACAGCGCGAGGAGAGCGGAACCGAGCGGTCCAGTTCGGTCCGGTTCTGTTCCGGCTGTTTTCAACGATCCAAGCTTTTATTTTGAGGAGCGGCGAACTAACCTTTGAAGTCTTCCGGGGCTCACGAGCTCAGCTGGATCAAAGCTTCAAATCACGATGTTAGTGAAGAAACCGGAACTCCACCGGGACCGGAGCTGGAGCCGCGTAGTGACACACCGGAGCTCTAGGGAGGGTGGGGGAAGTGGGTGTCACCTTCCTGACGTCACTGGTCACACCTGTGGAACCCTTTTTCTAGTCATTGGGAGTAGCAGGAAAAGTCATGACATCAAAATGTTTCTATTCTACGATTTTTTTTTTCTGAACAGCCTCAGCTTGGAGAAACAGTTTAGTGGATAAAAACAATTTTGATGGTAAAACTTTAAAAACATGGTGGTGACCATTTTATACAGAAAAGAAAACACCCACTTTTTATTATATAAGCATTTTTGAAATAAAATAAATAATATGAGGTAATTATTTTGAACTAAACCCAGATAATTCATGAGCAGGAACTCTCACATGTTTTAATGTTCTCATCCCAAGTTCTCCCTGTGATTTCAGATCATATACACACTATAGTGCTGATTGGAATCAGTAATCAGCTGATCAGAAACATGACTATGACTACTCACCAGGGAGGCTTCGTCCAGTTATATCATAGAAATAATAACAAACTTGTACGTCTTCTAAGAGGGTTCTTCCCTTCTAAATCTGGGTTTCAAACTGCTTTGTCAAAAATCAGTAGGAAACAGCAGGAAAACGTCCCTTTACTATAGATGATTTTACTCAGATGTTTGGGTACAAACATAATTATCTACATTTCAAATACAGAACAAAAAAATCAGTTTGACTGATTTATTTTATTTGCTTGGTATTTAAAGCAGAGTATAATTTCGATTTTTTTTCATTGCAACAAAAGCAGGAAAATGTTTTTGAAAAAAAAAAAGCAATGTTAATAAAAACACTACCAGCCCCACTGTGATGCAGAGGACATAATTTATTACACACACGCACACACGCACGCACGCACGCACACACACACACACACACACACACACACACACACACACACACCCGACAGGGTGGCTTTAATTTGTCAAAAGTAGAAATTTTAAGAACCACAAATGCCCACTAGGGGGCAGCATTCAGTTTCACAACAACAAACCGCATCCTGTTCAATTCTAAAGTTCTGATGTTGATCCGAACGTTTGGCAACAAATAAGGGAAAAAATGCATTTTTTTCTTTTAAGTTTCTTTTCTGTTTTATTCCATCTATTCATTATATTTTTAATGGTTTATTCCACAATATTTTTCTTTTGCCATCTTCTTTTTAAAAATTTAGTAAAAATTAAAAACAAAGGAATGTCTCCCTAAGGCCTATAGAATCACTAAAATTATACATTTGCAGAAGTATTATTTCAAGATATCTGTTAATATTTTCACTTTTATTTTTTAAATACACGTGACTTTTATTTTTGAGTCTGATTTAGAATTTTATGCAGAAATTTCAAGGATTCTGGATCTATTTTTAGTTCAATAAAACTTTGTTTTCAAACAGTAATTTATTATGCCAGCTAAACACTGCCAACATTTACAATAAAAACTAAAACCAACTTCATCACGTGAGTTTAGCAGCAGTTCCATCAAGTAAATTTACATCCCCCCTCCCTTCCTAAAAACCCACAGAACAGATTATTCAAGCTGGTGTCATGATAATCCATAAAATCATGTTTTCTATCTATTATTGATCAGCTCTAGTTGTATGGACAGATTCTGGTTTGTCTAAACATTTGTGTTGGATGGAACGGTTCTGGGAGGAGTTCAGGTTAGCCACTTCTCTATGCAGGTCTGAAACACCATCAGGTTTGAGTGCCACTCGGTGTGTTTCACTCCAGATATGACACACTCCACCACATCGCCACGCTCATCCAGCATCTTCAGCCCAAATGTGTCGCGTTGGTAAAACTTCCACAGAAACACAAACAATTAAATATCAGTGATGTCAAACATACAGACACACACACACACACACACACACACACACACACACACACACACACACATATATATATATATACACATACATACATTCATACATACATACACACACATTTTATTTATATATATATATATATATATATATATATATATATATATATATATATATATATATATATATATATATATATATATATATATAATTTTTAAGGATTTTATTCTGACATTCACTGAGAAAAAGAACTTCAAACTAAAACTATTCTAAAATATGGAGACAACGTTAAACTTTACATTTATTATTCTAATAAAAATAATAAGAATCATTCCAATTATATTATACAATTTGTCATAAAATTAGTAAGAAAAGCAAAAGCTTAAACTTAAATTGGTTTTTTCTTGTAGCTTCGTCCTTTTTTTTTTTTTTTTTTTTTTTTTTTACTCTCAAGCACTTTCAGGGCGACTTTTACAGACTTTCCAGCACCTGACAACCACACAACCATGACCAGTCAGCTGTAAATGGTTGTTTCACCTCTTTGTGGCATAAAAGTGAACAGTCATGCTAAATTTAAATTCTCTCACAGTTTTTGACATTTTGAAAACATGAAAGTACCAAATCACAATTCAAGCATTTCCAAGGCCTTCCAGGCCCTGTAAGAACCTTGTCCGTGTTTAAAGAACAGGAACAGCTAAGATGAAACCATCAGGAAGTTCTCTGTTCATCTAAACAGATTCTATAGAAAGTTTGCCTCCTACCTCCTGGTTCCTCATTTCTACAACATCTTCGTTTTGGTCGTAGAATCCAAAATGGCTGCAAAAGAAAACAGGAAGTGTATATTTCAGGTGAAGAGGAACCCACTCATCCAACCTTTTTTTGACAGAAATCTCAGTTCTGATAGTTTCTACTTCTGTTTGACTCAAAGCTGCAGCTCGTTTCTCTTTAAGCTGTGACAGTTTCAGCTTTTGTAAAGTTTACAACTAAATGCGATAAATGCAAGATGTCCCATTTCTTTAATTTTTGTGTTTTAATTTGTAAACATTATATTTTTAATCTTTTGAAATTTTTATCATCCATTAATATTCCTTATTTTCTTTTTTGCCGTCCATCAGTTTGTTGCTGCCCTAGAAATAAATGGACACGTAATTGTTATTACCACCATCTTGCTAATTACACGCTAAGGGATTGCTAATAGTAATGTTAATACACGAATCACTGATAAATAAGGCTAATTTATTGTTTTAATTAGTTGGGATGAACCTGGACTGCCACGGCGTGATGACGCCATCATCTGGTCCTCCAATCAGCACCATCTTCTTGATACGCAGGAAGCTGTCTCTCCATGCTGAGGACAGGAAGTAAAGATGCTTTCAAAATAAAATGCATCTTTATGTTTAACAATAAGAGACAACTGGTTTTCCTACCTTCCATGAGCCTGTGAGGTTTTTCACCATTAATCAAAGGCAGGAAACTGTTGGATTTCAGGTACCTGGACATATGGTGAGGGTCTGCAGAGAAAACGCTTCCTGTTTATTGTATCTTAACAGGAAATAAAGCTTTACCCAGGGATTACCTTTCCAGTAGTCACAGACAGAGACTTTCTGTCCAAATTTGCTGTAGCAAATCAGGTAAAGGATTTCCTTGAAGCTGTCAGGAAAAACCTGTTTCATATAGTCCGTGTCTGATGGAGAAACGTCAAGTTGTTTAAATGTTTCAGAACAAGATCAACATCCACCCTGAATCGAAGCACTCTGACCTCCAAACTGGCCCGCCAGCGGCGACGACAGGGCAATGAACATCTCCACGTTGTGAAAAGGAGTTGTGGAGAGAAGCGCTCGACAAATCAGACCACCTTCAGCAAAACACGATAAAACAAAGAGCGGAATCAGACAAAAAGTTCCATGTCAGGAAACATTAATTTCAGGTGACTTAAAGTGTGTGTATTTTCCCTGGCAACAGGGCAGTATGCCCAAATCATTGCAAGCAAACAGTACTGCACTTCCACCCTTGTGCCCTTCAATTGCACATTCCAGTCCAGGGGTACACATTCTCTTTTTAAATCTGGAGATGAACCGATTCTGATTATGGGAACCAGTACCAATTTCTGAGTCTTTTTTGCTCTAACCTGCCAATTTCACAACACACTGTGGCAGTTGAGGTTTATTTGTTTATTTACATAAAACAATAGGAAACAAGCTCACCTGACCTGTGTTTCTTGCTGCAGCAGAAACTTGTGAGAATTCATTCATTTTCAAGTTAAGCTGGTTGCTTAATCAAATCAAAGATACGTAATGCTAATGCTAATGCTGATGCTAAAACTGATGCTAAACACATATACTAGTGTTGATACTAAAAACTGATGCTAATGCTAATGGTGCAATCGACCTCAAAAGTTGGAACTTGGAACTGGGAATGGCGTCACACCCAAGTTACCCGCGTTCTGGTTACCGTAGTTTGAGAAGTCAGGATTCCAATAAGGCAACGCCCACTTTCCAATAGCCATTGTTTGTAGATTCCTCTTAACATTGTTTTAAGCTGTGTGTTCAACTTGCAAACAAAACTTTAAGTAAGTTCAACTTAAGAGTTGCAAGCATTACATGTAACATTGATTTGAAACGCACTCCTATAAGTGTGTGTTGTAAAATAAACATGTTTCACCCAAATGCTGTAGATATGTAGAGCTGCTCTTTAGGATGTCGAGGTCGGAGTTCTGAAATTCGTCCGAGTTAATGACTAGGAGGTGTCATGTTGAGGGGGGGGGGGGGGGGGGGGACCCAAGGGGGGGACCCAAGATGCAGAAAACCCAGAAGGAGGCAGCAGCGGTTGTAAAAAGTAAAGTCCTTTTATTTAGGTTGCAGCACAAAACTCAAAAAGGTGCAGGATGCCAAGCCTGAAAACTAAAACTCAGAAAGCCAAAAAACCTAAAGCTCATTTATGAGCACAAACCTAGTGTTTCACAAGGGGCCCAAACCAACGCTGACACACGACAATGGACCGACACACACCGAGAGACAAGACAGGGTTATATACACAGGGGCTGGGTGATTAGGGGAATTGGGCACAGGTGAAACTAATGAACTGAGAGGAAGAGCAGAAACAAGCAGGGGAGAAACTCATATCTAAACATCGTAGAACAAAGACACAGGGGAATCTAAAAATAAGTAAACGAATTATCTAAGTGGGGAAAGAAACACACACACTAAAGGAGACTAATGAACTGAAAATCTGAGCCTATAGAAAACTACAGAGGAGTGACTATTGAGAAACATGAGGGAAACCAGGAGGGAGCTGGGGACAAAAAGGGGCATAGAACATGACAGGAGGGCTGACTTTGGAGGCGTTTCGTTTAATTTTTCCTATACTTGGAAGTCGGGATTTTTGAATTTTGAGGACAAATCGAACACACCGTAAAACTGATGCTAATGCTGATGCTAATGCTAACATACCAGCAGCAGAAAAGTAGTGTCCCATTATGGTGTTGCTAATAGAGAACTATTCAATAAGGACTCAAGAACCAGTTCTGGTTAATGGTTCCAGTAAAATCGTATACAGAGACAATCTAACTATCTGGGCCAGCTGGACCAGACCAGTTACTCGATATTGGTCGGATACCAGAGGCTGTCAGAAACCTCTGACCTGCTGCCCAGTATAGCTCCTAGACAGAATTTCCTGTTTAAATTAACCAAAAGAAACTGGATGGAATACACTTTGCATCTGAGAAATGTGACTTTAAATGCAATCTTATCTGCTCTGAACCAAAAAAAAAAACTAAGAAAAAAATGTCAAATGTTTTAGAAAATGTCCAAAGCGACCTGTTTTGTTACACGTGGAGCAGAAGGGGAGTGACTGCTTCTAGTTTAGGATTTTGCCATTTCAACTCCTCAGACTCCTGAACAAAAACAAGGTAAAACGAGCCATCTGTGAGGCCTTGTGGCCAATAAAACTGATTTATCATGAGTTTTCAGATGTTCTTTTAATCAGCTGCTTTTAGAATAAATAAAATATTAAATTTGATGTAATTTTAATTGTGAAACCTGACTAGTGAAATTACATGTCATTGTTTTGACATAGTGGATCTATTAACAGAAGTCTATATAAATGAGTTACAAATGAACGTTGAGCCTGAACATCACTTACTAACCAGGATTGTGACTGATCCTGTTTTAAAGGTTTAACTCGGTTCATGTTTGTGTTTAATGACCTTGTGAGAAGCAGAGCAGATGGATTCCATCAGGGTTTTGGGTCATGATGGCCAGGAGGGCTTCCCTGAAGTCTTTAACCTGTTGCCACAGCGGCCTCACGCTTTCCAGGTAGTTGTCCACACTTAACACCATCACCTTGGTACCAGGATGCATCTGGATGCAGCAGAACCCAGATTAAACACAGAACGCCGGAAGCTGCAGCAGGTCTCTAATTATTAACTCAATGTGAGGAAATGAAAACCAGACAGATTATTTTCACTTCAGCATTAATCTGACATCTGTTTCTCAGATATGCAGGATCACGCTCTTAAGATTATTTTAGTTGAATTTTCTAACTTTAATCCAGAACAACTCTGATCTATTTCTAGATGTTTAGGTAAATAAAGACTTTAGTAATAAAATAATAATGAATGTTAGTTGAAATTAAAGTGCTTCCTTCTCTCTGCATGTTGTTTGCTGAGCAGAACTTCCTTTGTTCTTTAAATAAATGTAAAGCAGTCCTTGGGTGTAAAAACTCAGCAACACAAACGAGTTCCAGGCAGAAATGTCCTGTCTGTCTTTAACTAGTTCTTTAAGAAGCTCCTAAATGATGAACCAGGAGCAGATTGTCTCTGACCTGCTGCTGCAAATGGAAAATATAAAAACGTTTTTCAGAAGACAAGTTATTATAAGTTAATAAATTCACTGTTTTAGTTAATTTGTCTCTAAAATGATAAGGAACTCTCACTTTTCAGCTAAATTATCTTTAAAATGACTTTTATTATAAAAACTTTCCTCTTCGAGCGTCTCAGAGTCATCCTACCGTTTCAATGAACCCGGAGAGGTTATCTAATTCTTTAGGTCCATCGAAAATCCCGTGCACGATGACGACAGGTTTGTATGCGTGAACGCACCTCGCAGCCATCATCACCATCAACATCATCATCATCAGGAGCGCAGGGGAGACCCGCAGAGCGTCCATCGCAGCCGGTCACAGGTCGCTGTCACAGGGGTTCCGACCAGGGACCTCTCCCTGCTGATGCTTTTTATTGTTGGGGGGGGGGGGGGGGGGGGTGTTAGTGCGCAACCACATCCGTTTTCTGTAGCGTTAAAAACGCACGCCTCCGGCAGCGTTTCGGTATTTTTCCGTAAGTTAAAACAAAAAATAAGACGGATCTGTTTATAAACTTCATTCAGTCACAGATTTGCTGACTGATCATCTACAAAACACGCACAACAATATAATACTATAATTTTATATTTTAATCACATTTGAAAGTTGGTTTCATGTTTCTGATAAAACATTAGTCAAGGGATAATATTGTTCATTAACAAGCTCCTTTAACTCGAATATATTTGGAATAAAATAATGTAAAACTAAGACTGTGTCACGCTGACAGCAGGAGGTTTGTTAGGATGATGGGTAAAAATCCGAAGGGGCAGGAAGCCAAACTAACTGAACTACAAAAACAAAGTTCATTCATAAGCAAGAACCTGGAGTTCCTGAGGAGAACAGAACAACTCTGACAAAGACAATGGACCAACAAACACTGAGGGACAAGACGTTTTTAAACACAGAGGGAAGCAATCAGGGGAACAGGTGACAGGTGTGAGGAGTGAGGTCTAGAGGGGAGACAGGTGCATCAATAAACTAAATGGGGGAAAGAACTAAGCAGAGGCGGAGATAAACTATAACCCATAAAACACTAAATAACTAAACCTAAAGACTAAGGGCAAAGATAAACAAATAATAACTAGAGGGGTGAGGTGGACTGATACAAACCAATAGGAACTACAAGGGAGTGACTAGGAGGAAACATGAGGGAAGCCTAGAGAGAGCTGGGGAACACAAGGGGACACATGAGGGGAACGCAGAACATGACAAACTGGAATCTTCCATTCTGTAAGAGGTTGCCTATATTTCGTTGGGTTTTACGCTCATATCCAAAAGTCAGCCTAATATGACACAGATGTAAAGGTAAAGTACAAACTTTTTTAACCCTCTCAGGCTCAAAATAAGTTTTGATAAAAGGACGAACAACTAAGTCCTTCAGGCGTACTTCTGAGCAGGGCTTAATTTGAGCCGGATCTTGCCGGAACAAGATCGGGGAACTATTTTATTTTGAAAGGACCGTTCCGGCAACTGTCTGCTAGGATCCGACAACTCACGAGACAAACTTGTGCTATACGCAGGAATCGAATTAAAGCCTGAATCATGCTTCTGCGTGCGTGTCTCTCCCTTTTGGAGCTGACAGAGAAGCATGACTCAGGCTTTACGGGTGAGCTCCTGGAAGCCCTCAACTTCCACACCCAGGGGGAGCCCAAAAACGATCCTGATATTACATTTTCTATGTGGACTCTCCAGGGATTATTTAGAGCTGAGAGGCGCAGAGTTCTGTTCGTTGACGCTCCAGACATGCGTCTTGAGCATGGCCACAGTAACATTATCAAAGTGTCGCCACCTCAAAAAGAAAGTTAGCACGCGGTCGTTTATGTCAGCTCATATGCTTTTATGATTTCTGTCTGCTGCGTTTCGCTGCTGCGGGGCGGAGCGCATAACCTGTTTTGTCCTCCGGTGACTTCACCTCACTGGTGCGGTCTGCGAGTGGCGCGCACTCCACTATTTTTGCGGTCGGTAGTACTTTTTGAACTTCAGTTCAAAGGTAACTCATGAGGTTGAAATATTACAGCCAGGTAGCAGTTTTTCTTTAGAACTGAGAGGAGATGCAGGAAGATTAGACAGTCAAATTATCATGTTCTGTGCCCCTTTTGGTCCCCAGCCCCCTCCTGTTCTTCCTCCAGGTTCCCCTCGTGTGTCCCCTGGTTTTCTGTGCCCCTTTTGGTCCCCAGCTCCCTCCAGGTTTCCCCCCAGGTGTCTCTAGTTTCAAGTTTGTTAATTTGCTTATGTCAGGGACTTGCACAAACCAGCCAAAGAAGCACTGCTGATGATTCTGAAAACTCCATTTTATTTTGGAGAAGCTTCAAAATTTACATGAACTTAACCTAATCAATGCAAATTAGTCAGAATGACACCAGCACAAGACACACATTATCCAGAAAAAAAAAACACTTCAGACACACCAGGTTCAACTTAAATAGTGGCTGATCAGACCACTCTACATACAAGAGGGGAACAATTAACATACAATTAACACACACACACACATCCTCACACACACAAACTAACCAGTCTAATCATTTCAGGCAACTCAAATAACTAAATCAAAATTACAAACTCCCTATCCATAACAGAAAATGTCTACATTAAATTAAACACAAGCATAAACATGAATCTCCCCTCCCTTGGGAGTAGGTAGATCCCAGGAGTGCTGATTAGGCTTCCTGAGGAGATGAGCTGCAGGTGTGAGATGGGCAACTCCAAGTCACTGGTAACTCAAATAGAAGTACAAAATTAACACATGCATTCATAAACAGAAGACTGATTGTGTGCACATCAACCAGTCATCCTGGACAGAACACAGAAAACAAACACTACCTGAAGACCATGTCCCTGAGGTGACAGACACTGCTGTCACAGCTTATCTTTAGTTCTCTGTACATTTATGTTCTTCTTCTTCTTCTTCTTCTTCTTCTTCTTGTTTAATGGCGGGTGGCAACCAACTTTCAGGTGCATTTCCGCCACCTACTGAATGGGAGTGTGAGTCGAAGTGGGGAGTATCCTACTTTATAAAAAAAAAAAAATTCTAACAAGTAATCCACTGTCCCTTAAAAAGTCTATGACCAACTTATACACCACCAGTCCCCCATTTAACAGAATACCCAACTCAAATTCCTTAAATCCTCTAACTTTCAATTTTTTTAACCAACAGCGTCCTATCACCCACATATTTCCTACAAGCACATAATACATGTTCTACTGTTTCCCTATCAAGTCCACAGTCACACATCCCGGTATTATGCCATCCAAGAATAAAAAGCGTACTGTTCAAAGCTGTATGTCCCAGTCTCATCCTTGTTATCACTGCTTGATTTCTGTTACTCATTGGAATGATTTCCATTCTTCCAACCTTTCCCTTTAATTTGTATAAATGTCTTCCTTTCACGTCCCTTATCCATTGTTCTTGCCATTCATCCAGATTCTGCTGACTAATAACTGATTTCACCTCTGCAACACTGTATAGAACCTCCATCACAGCATCCAGTTTTGTTGCCTGCTTTGCATAATAATCAGCTATTTCATTACCCTCTACTCCACTGTGAGCTGGAACCCACATAAATCTAACCTCTGAATCAGTCTTCATCAACCTAAACAAGCACTCGAATATCTCATACAAAATGTCTGACCTCTTATCTGCTGACATTTCTCTAATTGACAACAATACAGACATGGAGTCCGAGCAAATAATACTTTTCCTAACACTGTTTTGTTCTATCCACTGTAAACTAAATGAAATGGCTAACATTTCCACTGTATATACTGACAGATTATTAGATGTTCGGCTTTTATGATATTTACTAAATTTCGGAATCCAAAAAGAAAACCCTGTTAAATTTCCTGACTCTCTCGACCCGTCAGTATATATAGGGACAAATGATTGATGAGCGTCATTTAATCTTTCTTCCACAACATTATCCCAGTTTCCCACACCTTTCCGTATTTTAATTACATTGTGAACATGAAAATCTATCATCACTTTTGGAAACAACCAAAATGGAGTAGGCGAATATAAAAATTTCTCAAGAACAACTATATCATTTAATTTAAAAGCTTCCGCCAATCTACACGATTTCCAGACCATGCTCTCATACTGTCCATTGAAACATTGCCCTCCTACTGTCATCTCTCCCTTAACCATATGCACATCCTCTGTACTACCTCGTACACTAGCCCAATAATTTAATTTCAGCAACTTGAATCTTAGAGGCAATGGCATCTCCCCCATTTCCACTTGTAAGGACACTATCGGTGTGGTTTTCATTGCTCCACAACAAATTCTCAAAGCCTGACTTTGAATAACTTCAATCTTCTTCAGTAATGTTTTACTTGCGGAACTATATACAATACTAACATAATCAATAACCGATCTGATCATTGCTATATATACCTGTTTTAAAGCCTTGGTACTAGCCCCCCAATCATTACTCCTTAAACACCTCATAATATTTATTACCTTTTTACATCTTTCAACTATGTTACTAATATTCTCCTTCCAAATCAACCTTTCATCAAATATAACACCCAAATATCTAAAACTACGAACTTGCTCCAAAGGTTCCCTATATAGTTTAAGCTCAATCTTAACATTTCTTTTTCTTGTAAAGACCATACTTTTTGTTTTATCCACCGAAAACTTAAATCCCCATTCAAAAGACCAATTCTCCACTTTAATTATTGCTTCCTGAATTTTCTTCTGCAAGTATTGAATGTTCCTTCCCCTTTTCCATAATATTCCATCATCTGCAAACAATGCTTTCCCAACATCATACTCTATCTCTTCAAACGCATCATTGATCATAATAGAAAATAGTACAGGACTGATCACACTTCCCTGTGGCGTCCCATTGTCAACTCTATAACCCTCTGACAATCTATCACCTATTTTTATCTGAATGTATCTATTAAACAAAAAGTCCTTAATCCACTCATATGTTCTTCCCTCTGTCCCCAACCTTTTTAATTTAATCAGCAAGCCCTCCTTCCACACCATGTCATAAGCTTTCTCAATATCAAAATAAACAATAACTAAACTCTCTTTATTGTTTTGTGCTTTCCTAATGTCATTTTCCAAACTCACTATGGCGTCCATCGTTCCTCTACCAGTCCTAAACCCATTTTGATATTTCATTAACAAATTCCTACTTTCTAAATAATAATTTAACCTATCCGTAACATTTATGTTATTTAGTCAGTATCTTCATTTTGTACAATGTGTTTCTCTCCCACTTAGTTAATTAGTCTCTCCTGGTCACTTTGGTTCACACTCCCCTCCTCTGCTTGGTTTTCCCTTCCCATTTAGTTAATTGGTCTCACCCTTCTCTCCTCATTTCTCTCTCCCACACACCTGCT